AATTAACATACATATTTGTTTTTTTATTTAATGAGATGGCAAACGGGAAAGCCGCCAACTGAATACACCGAAAAGCTAAGATATCGCTGCCCTTCTTTATAAGAAAAGGGTAGGAATGGAAAGGAAACTTCCAAACAAACATCCATCCATTCATCCAGACTTTCTCATTTAAAATATTAAATTATAACAATAAATAATAGGAAAGCTTACCATGTTTAGCGGACGTTTCCATTTCGGTGAGTTCAACGAGCACAGTGACGTACCACTCGAAGTCGACTACGTGCTGGTAGTTATTCTGCGAGCAGATCTCTATCATGCGCGTCAGCAGCTCGTCGCGGTACAGGGTGCCCTCCGCGCGTTCCATGTGCATCATCAGCTTCTTTACTATCTCCATTAAATTCTTTTTCGATACCTACAAAAATTTACAAACACCCTTAATATTTAATACTCCAGAGATCAACAACATTTTACACATTGATTTCGGTCAGTGGGGTCTTGATTTTATGTATTAAATCAATATTTTTAGACTGCAATATTTTTATAATGGCGTGTAAGTAAGGGGTCTATTATTGCACAACTTGTGTAGCAAACTTACCATACCATAAAGAAGGCCCAAAGCTCTCAATCTAATTGACTCGTCCTTATCATCTAAACATGTTAACACTAGGTCCTTGTGAGTCTGTACGGACTTCGGGTGGGACTTGAGTATTCTAGACATTGCCAGCAATCCTAGATATTTCACTGAAACAAACATTAACAAAAGTAAATATAATGTAAATTATAGTATAACTCTATTGATAAGTTAAATACTTGAATCTAATACACTGAAAGTCCTTTTATTTAATTAATAACGTTTGCCCGCGATTTTAGCCTATCTTCCTGTCAAAGTCCCATCAAAATCGGTCCGACCGTTCCGGAGATTACCCGGAACAAACGTACCCTTGAAGACAGACATACAGACAAAGAAATTTTTTTAAACACTGTTATACATTATCAACTACATATGTTTGTACGAAATATGATTACATACAGACACTCCAATTTTATTAATATGTGTTGACTTACAATTCTGATCGCTATCCTCAATGAGCACTCTTAGCTTTTGCACGCAGAGCTGGACAGAGGCGGCGTGTCCCGGCATGCCACTGCTGATGCTGATCAGCACCGCTATCACCGTGTTGATGCACTCGTATAGCAGTGACATCGCAGATGTACTGACACAAACACAAAGATATACAAAGCTGTTTTAAAAAGACTACTTTTAGGTATTATTCATCTGATGAACACTGACTCAAGAAGTTAAATTATGTAATCGGAACTGTAAAAAAGCAGATTCAATTGAACAAGAAAAGTGGAAAATAATCATGTATTACATATAATTATATTGTACAGACCTTAAACTCCTGACTGTTTATTGACAATGAATGTGAAAATATATGATATGTCAAACCGTTTGAACTTATTTTGAAAATTAAAAAGTGGAAGCTTTATGAATTAAATTAGCATAATATGTGAAAATAATATGAGAAAATATAATGAAATGTGAGTAGCTTTCTTGATTGTGTTTTGCAGCTATCCATTTAAAACACAATTTCTTCGGAAACAAATCTTGAAGAGGCAGAGAAAGCAACCTATTCTTAAAATATGGCATACTGAGAGTTTTCATTACTAAAACATTAACAAATTGATGGATTACCAGTTTTATATCAGTATTCAAACAATATTGACTATATAGTTATTCAACATGTATTTATGTTAATGTTTCCGGAATGCAAACACACAGTTACTAATATTTTGTTATCTGTTTGCTACCAAGTTTGCTAAAGTCACTACTATCCCTTTACCCCATAGAGACCACCAATTTTAATAGTTTATAACTATTTGCCAAACATCAAACTCACCTATGTATTAAATTAGTTAATGGTTCAATCAGTTTCTTGCCAAGTCGAGGCTCTAATGGGGTTAAGGCACCAAACTGGAACAAACACAATGACACTAAACTAGCTTATGTGATACAGCATGTTTTATATTGGGGCATGATAGGACCAATTGGTACTCCATTATTCCGTTGCATATTTGTTTGGTGTTATTCTAAAATTGTGTGAATTTTTTCGGTTCTCCGCAGCAAAATATATAAAATGTGAGACATGCCAATTCTGTGTGTATATTCTTGTAAATTCATATATTGATTAAATTATTAAAAATTTGCAAATTTAAATATAACCTTGATGATATAAGGAAATATTTGACATAAGTAATTTTTATGGCAAATTCAAATGTGTATAAAAAATTATTCACCTAATAACAAAAAAAAAGATCATTGATTAAACCCATATTTGGATTTTACAACTTTGAAATTAAAATCCTTGATATAATTTAAATATTAAATAAATAATTATTTATTTAATACTGGCATATCATCAAAAGCATTTGACTTGCAAATTTTAATCAAACCAGTTTGTGAGTGATATCTGTGTTATGAAACCTTCAAGTTCTTATAATTGGTGATAAATGGTGATCATTTCTAGCAACTTGTCAACTTATAAAGTTTAACAAGTGGTTTGTACCTGCAAATTAGATCAATGAGGCTTTGTGTTATTTTTCTTCCAATATCTGGTTCATATTGTGTCATTAAACCAAACTGTGGAGAATTCATCATTTTAATTAAAAAAAGAAATAAACATTGTTATGCATTCCCACTGGTGATACACTCATAAAAAAAAAATATATATAGTCACATTGTATTTTAACAGACAGTTTGTTTTTAAAAAGTAGTTTTAACAGTTTATATCCACATCAAAAAATATGTGAATATTGTGTTGTGTTCATAATTGTGTGATATAAATTTTAAACTAGAAATAAATAAAAAATTGATAAACATCAATAAATACCAGTTTTATAATCTTGATCAGCATCCAATTGTTTGTAGAAGTTGTCATTAGTTTAAAGAATACAGGCGCTAGTGATAAATAATTTTTAGGGTTCTTTCTTGCTAATTCACAAACAACATTTACTGCTGCAGACTGTACACCTGAAAAAAAAATCACGAAGAGTATCAATGGCACAGTTTTCAAGCACTTAAACAAACTGGAATGAAATCTACATCATCATCAATCAACTCACTATACATCCCCACTGAGGGGCTAGGCATCTAAAGTAAAGTTAGGGGTGAAATTTGCATGACTAGATTTAATCTCCTCCCTGCACCAGTGTTTAAAAAAAAAAGTTATAAAGTGTGAGATTCAAAGTTATTTTTTATTTATTGAAATTTTACTTGTTATGAACACTGTATGTGATTTGAAAATCAAACTGCCCATTCTTCAAAATCATCTCTCTAGGCTGTCACAATAAAAAACAAACTTACATATGTGCTAATAACATTGCACTCTTTATCAGCCAAGTAAAAAGAGACAACTAAATGATTTGTATTTATACAGAGAAAGGTTAAGCATGTAAAAAACTCACCAGGATCCGGATCCTCTAATTTTTCTTTTAATTTAGGAAATGCTGGCCTCAAAGCCTCTGGATACCTTAAAAATACTTTATACATCATGAGTACAGCTTTCATTCTTAAGTATGGCTTTGTTGAACTCATCTAGAAAATTAATATTACATTTTGTTTAACTTGCTAAATACATAAGCTTTTAAACATACAAGTTAAAAAGATATTTAAAAAAAAGGTATCATAAATGAAACAAAATAACTCTCATATGAAAAGATAAAAAACACTTGTGTGTATTACAAATGTCCTTTATTAAAGTATTATCAGTTTTATGTACACTGAATGGATATTATTTATCAAACATGTAACACATTAACATTAATGATAATATTGTTTTTATTTACTTACCAATGTCATAATATCATTTGCCAAATCCCTTGCCAAGTCATGTGAAATAAAACAACTTAGACCACTAAGTGCCAGACCTGCTTCATACTGGTTTTGAGCATTCAAATCCTTTCTTATCATATTTGTTGTGAGCATAAGTAATTCGGAGTCTGCATGGAATGATTGGCTTGCAGCTAAATAACCTATGCGTTTAAAAGTAAATTTATTTGAACTCATCACTTCAATTATATTGAATATTGCCCATGAGATATCATAGCCTAGCATTTGAAGCTGAAAAAAATATCAAATATTAATACTTTCTAATAAGAACTTTGTCAGAAAAAGTGTACTTTTTTCCATTACTTGTAGGTATCATTTCCATAATTCTTATTTATATTTTTATAAATGGAAACTCATTAAACTATTTAGTAAATCAGTTAAAAATACTGTATCGTTTAATATGTATTTTCTTACGTATGTCAGTTTCGCGACGGCATTAGCTTTCACACTGATATTATCTTGTCTTAGTTCTACTTTTATTTCTTCCATACACTGGGCTATATACTTTGCCTGTAAAATGTAATGGGTTATTTTGAAAGATTGAATTAATATTTTCTTCACTTTATTCTAATATATAAATCTAATTAAGCACAAACAGCAAGTAATACCTCATTATCTTTGTTATTTCTGATTCCGCGTACTAAATCAGTCAAATTTTTGTCAAACATTCTTTCAAAATTTCCTTTAACTTTCTTCAAAGCCATGATGAAGATTTTGTTTTCGCAATCATAACAATCTATGTTAAACTAAAAAAACTGTTTCTGATATCAAAATTATAAATTAAAGATTTATGAACGATGTCAAAGGAATAGTTGAATGACAATCTCCTACCCTGCAATGTTGGCTTTAAATGTTGCAAGCTTTTAAAGTTGGTCTATAAATGACATTAGAATATTTTTTACCTAACCTTTCCATATTATTAGGTTATTAAATTCGAAAATAAGCAGTTTCATAAATGTTCTTAACGTGAAAGTAGCGATACTTATTTTAGATTTTATGAATATTCATTTATTAATCTTCATGACAGTAGCGAACTACTCCTCTACTCTGTGGTTGGAATAGGAATAATTGTGACAGCGCAGTATGACAGTGACATACTGACATAAAAAAACTGACAATTAGTAAAGAAAAATTCAGCTTTTCAATCAAAACAAAGGAATATTATTTACTATAAAGCTTTTGTAATAGTTTCACAACTATAATATGAAAGATGATTATTTTTCTTAGTGAGTTACAAAAAGAACATCTCGATGTATTGCATAAGCAATCTTTGCAAGGTTAATTTTTTCTAGATTTTTAATTCAATACTTAAATCGTGTATTGTTATGGGTATTAATGCTTTAGAGACGGTTATCATATTATGTTTGTATTTGTTGTAAAAAAAATTCTTATGATTCTGTTATATTTTTTTCTTTCAGTTCTTGTTGACTTCTGTAAACTTACTATAGATTACTTAAATAATGGAATTAATAGCGAGAAATATACCATTGCCGCCGGTGAGTATTTTCATATAACAGGTACTAAACTGAATATAGTTTTAGGTTTTTAGAGAGAATTACCATCACAAGAGTCAAAGTAATACAGTGTTTACTATTGCTAAGATGTTTATTTTGCAGAGAAATTGGGGATATCAGTGGCTTATATACAAAATTTAATTCAAGCTCTAGCCTATTTAATATTAGAAGGATGTAAGCATAATGTAAGTATTTATAAGATCACATATTAGCCCTAAATACTTATTTTAAAATTATTTATATTTTCTATATGCATCATTTACTGCACTTAGTGCAAAGGTATCCTAAAAAGACTTAACTAAAAAATATTGATCCTAAAGGGTTATTGCATAAATTTGTAAACCATAACATTATTTATTTTATTTGACAGTTATTAGTGTAATCTGTTATTATTTTGTACAAAGTAAAGAAAAAAATTGTTAATCATTATCTCATTACTTCAAAATCAAGGTTAAGCTTGCTTCATTATGTTTTTAGTTATCAGAAACAGATTTTAAGTCATCACTAGCGTTAGCAGGATTTTCAAATGAACACCAGCAAGTTTTACTAAAGTTATATATTACTAAGAAAGATGAATTGTCAAGTGCATTAAACATACTTCAACAGAAAGACCCAAGCTATCAGGATTTGACATGGCGATTTGAAATTCAGGTAAAATCTTGTGATTTTTTTATACTTGAAAATGACAAACAAGTTATTGGCTATGGCATCACTAAAATTGCTAAGTAACAAGTGCCCATGATGAATCAGTTTTTAATAAACATTTATTTATTGTTTTATACATTTCTTTGTTCCAGATGGCATCTAGAAGATGTAATAATATGATCAAACCAATGATTACCCTCAATTTAGTTGTCACAATACCTAAGAACTTTGGTCAAACCATAGATTATAAATACAAAAACGATGTCAAAAACTTAACTTCGGTACATATTAATTCTTCTATACAAAATGCTAAAACAGCCAGCCAATGTCAAAGAATGATCAACCACTTTTTATTGCAATGTGATTTACCAAATCTAATACATCTCACAAATAAATTAGAACAAGCCTTAAAAGAATCCAAGAGCCAACATGTTAGGAAAGTGCAAAGAGCTTTGTAATTTTATTACAAGCAACACATATGCAATGGCAGTACCAAGTAGTAATATATGGCTGCTTGCTTAGTGCCACCTTATGATAAAAAAGAAGAAAAAATAGTACCAAAATAATATGACGTGTGTATATTATTGATTAATTAATTTAAAAGATGAGCATTTCTAATTCATACACATTCCTGTTCATGTCTTTATATTTATCTTTTTTCTGAACTGGCATTATATCTTTAGCATTAAATATAATTTAAACATTTATTAAAAAGTAATAAAAGAAAGTGATACATATTGTAGATGTTATTATTATTTTACCTTTCCCAATGCTAAAGGACGTCAAATCAATTGTATGTAAAAATAATTTTATTGTACATTTTGTGGGACTTCTATCTATGCTGGGTCGACTTGCTTATGGTCCCCGTCAGAAAACTTTTAGCCCTAATGGTCAATCAGCCCATCAAGCAATGTCTGGTCTTACCACTTAATTCGCAATTTTTAGGGCAACGTCTTTGACTGACATTGGTTCTAACACAGATCACATTATTTCCTAGAAATCTCTCAGAGATACTCTGACTATTGCCCTCTACTTGACCTTGATGAATCCCTTGCAAGTTACAACATTACGACATTGCAATATATGTTTGCGTAGGAAAATATAAAGTTTCAAATCATCATGATTCATTAAAATTATTAAGATACAAGTTTGCACATGCTGTGAATTCATCAATCAAACTGATATGTGGTTTTTAATCTGCAGATCAGTGGTTTAGATATAGATCTATTTCAAAAGTGTTTGTCATTTCCTTGGGATATACAGATAGCTCAAACAATACGTGCTTCTGTTATTGTGGTATTTTTTCGAAAAGCTATTGAGAAAACTGTTCTCGAAAGTTCTGTTTCATACCTCTATACAAAAGATGTCAAGCGTGCAACATTCAAACTAGACCGGTTTACAACTTGGAAATTCTCGTGTTGGTCAATGTCACGGCTCAAGTTTCAAATCATGTTTAAATACTGGAGTGGTCGTCTTACATTAGCACGGTAAAATTTTAGTATGACATTTATCTCAAATATTACACATTACATGATTTACAAAACCGTTTTATGTTATAGTATTATTTTAAGTTGTAGATTTTAAATTATTCCATTATTAAATAAAAATGTTGACGCCTTCCAAATAAAAATAGCAATGTACAACAATTAAAATAAACAAAGTTGTCCGGAACCCTTTCATATTTATTACTTACTGCATACACAATTTTATAATGTGCAATAAAAAATATTGTCCGAACTTCTGATACGAACATATTAATTAATTCCTTAGCTCATAATTTATGTGTTAAGTAACGATAATTAAAAACATGTAAATGAGCTTTGTTTTTAATGTTAACTACATACTAAACGTTTTAACAACCAAGCATTACTAAAGCTATTATCATGGTAAGAAAAAAGAAAGCACAGCGTGAGTTGGCATCTTACGGTCTTTAATTCCCTTATTATGCTACTAAAAAGTTTATTAAATATATTGTTCATAAAATAGCTGAACTAGTTGAAAATTGCAAACACACTATACCCTATAAAGGTTTAAAAAATGGAGGAATAAAACTATGTATCAAGTGCATTTTTCTTCAAAAAAAAAGCAAAATAACTCTTCCATAAAATAATTAATTACTTACTATTGTGGTATATTACACCCTGCCTTCTGGGATGAAGCCCTACATATCAGGGGTATGTGGGGTTTGACCCACCAAAACCCCCTCGATGGCCTATCTCGAATGCAATAGAAAAACAATATTGCTACGTATTGTGGGTGTTTTGTATGACGATGCACTACTCAAAATATCTAAATGACGTCAAAAACAATATCATTACGTCGGTGATATCTCATATTAAGGTAATTTACGATAAAAAAAATGATTTGTGATCTCCAAGCCATGGCGTTAAATTTGAACACGAAATTGGCAAAGCTAGTTCATACTTATTGATTTCACAGCATTTCATAAGAACTGTGAGTTGACATAAATGTCGCACGAATAATAACAAAAAAATAAAAGCGCAGTCATCGATCCGATCTTCAATACGGAGAGATACAATCAATGAGTCGATGATATAACACGTAAGTATTTGATTTGTTATACTACTAGCTGCTAGCGACTGTCTTCGCCTTTCGTGGAATACTGTCTTTGGTATTGGTGGTCATTTTGTAATATAAAAATACTGATCTTATAAAAGGAATCGTACCCCCAGCGTCGAATACAAGTCGACCACTTTTATCACCAGACTTTGGATACCTTACGTTGCAAAAGTTAACAGATATCTTTATTTACGGGGATAACATAAATATTTCTAATGTATTTTATACGAATAAAAACTACTCGTACGATGACAAATAAAGTACTCATAACAGTGTGTCAACTCATTTAAGTAATAAATCACTAGCACTGATAGCTTACAAGGCTTTTCAACATAACTGTATCAATCAAAAGGCACGCTTATCAATCTTCAATGACAGAACATTTTACAGCAATTATTACTCTCTGGTTAGAATAATATTAGAATGCCTTAGTATTATATTTCCAATTAATTTTATCCCCGATTAAAGATTAAATATTTGATTAGGGACCTTTGTATGTGATTTTATTGACGTGCCTAATAGGAATATGAAGGTCAAAGGAGCGTGGGTAAAGGATAAATATGACCGAGTTTCCACTACCGAAACACTTTTCGAAATACACTTATTTCTCTCTTTATAAAAACTGAGTTTTTGTATAGATTTTTTGTTAGTATTACGGTAATGTGTAACACCAAGTAACGAAATAATAATTCAATTCAGACTAAAATTCTTAGAAAGTAGGTATGTAACTTTGGATTTCGAAAACCAAAATCGCTGTATAAAACATATATCGTCCTCTTTGTAATTATCTTTGACAAAACAGAGAGAACAAATTGTTTAAAAGGGAGATTTTTGTCTCAATATCACATTGTAAATATTTTACATTTGTAATTTATGGAGGACTTTATTTTTAAAGCGATTTCATGTTTCGATAGAGGAGCGAGGTAGTGAGCGACAGACGAAATAGGCCTGCGATAGACAGATGGCACCTGGCACCCCACCAGACTGAGGCCGGCAATCGGCAATCGGCGACCGCGCCTCCAACTCCAATCCGATACAGTACGACACAGACGATCGGCGTGTGTGCATCGCGCACGAATACGCGCAGCACTATAAATACTGCGTTAACAAATCAGTGGACAAAATGTTTGTGTCGGTGTGATAATTGTCGGTTCAAATACGTTAATTAGTGAATAAATATAATAAAAATCGATGATTGTATAACAATTTGTGCAGTAAAAACTGTGCTAGAAATAATATTCCTCGACAAACCAAATTTTTGCAATCGGAAAGCACTGAGTTGCCAGTTGTCTGTCAAAATAATCATTCATTTTAATTAACAAAAATAAAAAGGAAGTTATTCGTAATTCCAAATGGTAGTTACCGATTAATATGAATTTTTTTTCCGGCTTAACTTGTTTATTTTTTTAATCGTTGTGATTTAGGTTAAATTCATTTTGTTTTTACTGTATGTATGACATTTAAGCTGCTATTATGGATTCAAAAGTCGTTCTCAAAGAAAAAAATCCGCACGACAAAGCAAACATTATATCGAAAACTTTCCTCTTGTAAGTATTTAATTTATTTTTGAGTATTATTAATAGGTTCATAAGTTAAGCTTGAAGCTGAAGCTTGAAGAGATGGTGCACTTATGCTATGTACACGTAATTATACTTACTAATTTTAATAACTCACTTCTGTCTACCTTTTTTGATTAAATTTGGATGTTATCTTCAAAAACAAGTAAAGAAATAATTAACATACAATTTATAACTATATTGCGTCTAGGTCTAGGTTACTTATTTCATTGAATATTTTTTCAATCATACCTATGTAGCATTATTCCAAGTATTTACTGCAATTTTGAGACTTATCAAGTTTAAAAGCTTACCGTATGTAAAAGTTACCATTTAGTTCTCGTTTGTTTGTCTGACAATCACGATTATTCTTTGATGTTCTGGGTCTGACTTAATATGGCAATAAGATAACCTCCTGTCACTTTGTGACCTAATGACCCCGGTACAGTCGCAAAGTCGCAAATCTGTAAGTGTAATGCTGTCGTAAAGAATGAGCTGTATCTTATTTTAATGAAAATAGGAATAGACGAAAAATGGAATGAAATCATGTTTCTAGATCCGATGTGGGCTAATGGAACCTCGGTTAAATTTATCACATTTTGTATCATTTGTTAACTTCGCAAGTCATGTCATTTAATAAATCATACTTATCACAAATCACATATTGATAATCAGTACTTTATATTAATATATTTATCTATATATCTTAATATTTATTTATTTATTTATTTACATGGAAAACTTACAGCTATAATAATCTTATTAACTATAGACTAGACTACTGAGAGCCAATGACAAGTCTTCACTTATAACAATGTTATATCTATATGTATGCTATTGTTAAAGTACGAACTTCAGTATTACTAAGATTTACCAACTAGTTATAGTGAAAATTCGAAAAGTTTTCTTGTATATAAATTAAAGGATTTTTTCAAATAATGCGGCGAATATCGATAAACAGCCGATTCGGTTAATTGGCGTTCAACGACAATTACCGTATTTTGAACTAACTCGTGAAATTTATCAAGTGAATCGTGATGATTGCTCGAAATAAACCAATATCTACCAATTTTTAGGACTTTTGCCATAACTGCTAAACTAGTTGGTTTGGGTTAGATTTTACCGAGAAGTTCGAAGATTCATCGTAGTTCGGGCCTTTACAAGTAACAATCATTATGAATCAATATTAAGCTGGCTGTAGGTTACCACTGTTGTCATTATAGCTGTTAGTTGTCCCAGCAAGGTTATTGAACGGTAGTTGGCGTGACTAATAGGCAGGCGGTAGATGACCCGAAAAAAATATTTTTACTTTTTTGGCTTGTCTAGTACAATAGTGTTACAAATATAACGTCTAGTATGATTCGAATCTTGGCTTTCTTTTTACATCATACTAATGTTATAAATGCGAATGTTTGGATTAATGGATTAGAAGGTATCTCAAGAATGGCTGTATGGATCTCATGTACATGTGGACATAGATGTAGAAGAAGTCTGAAAGAGCACATAGGCTACTAATTTAGGTTTTTCGTGACGCGGGCGACAACTACTGTATTTAGCGCTACTTATATGTTTAATTTGTTAATGATTTTTAGTTTCTATTATAATAATTAATTAATCGTACATCGTACTGATTTATAATATATATTTGGTTCTTGTCTAAGTTACCGTTAAATAGGACTCCCGAGACATACATATTCTGACTCTGTTTTTGGACTAGTATGAAAGTGACGATAATGTTAGGTATTGAAGTCATTCTACAGCGAAAACCCATTTATTTCACTGGCACGTGACACACGTGTATGCACCTGCGTATGTTACAACTAAATTACCTTTTGCGTGACTGCTCGCGGTAATAAATTATGATAGACATATATTTGCCTCTTACTTTTCTATTACTTTGAGTTGTTTTTAAGTTAAATATCTGACAAATCTTACTTCTTACTAATATAATAAATGCGAATGTTTAGATGGATGTTTGAAGGTACCTCTTGAACAGCTGAACGCAGCTGAATCCCGCTAAAATTTGGCATGATGTAAAACCTCTGGCCTGGAAGAACACATAGGATACTTATTATTATTATTTTAATTCTGCGTGGACGGAGTCGCGGGCTTCAGCTAATATAAAATAAATGTTTTTCATGTTAATTTGATGTATCGGAAACGAACCCTTGTATTGAAACAGTTATTACCCGACTGACAAAGAGGGTAATGTTTTTCGTGCCTATGTAAGTTTGTTTTTATGTATGTGCGTATATATATATGTTAATTTCATTATGATGGAATTTACATATAAGATATCTTACGAAGACCAGATACCAAAAAATGTTTTAGTGTAAATTAAAAATATATTGAAATAAAAAAATTGCAATTTTTACAATCTTTAAAAAGCAATTACAGTCTCAGTCAGTCAGGTTTTTTTTTAAATCAAGGTTAATTTATTTTATTTTAATTCTTTTGTGGGTCATGTTATTGTTCTGGAATATACATGAAGTTGAAGTGGTACAAGTTTTTTTTTCTATTTCACACATCACATACCTTTTAAATAATGTTTCGTGATTCACGTCCCATGAGAATATTTCTCATTGTAATTGTTTTGCAAGCACGTTAGCGGAAAATAACATCTTAATAATAGACCATCAGCAAGACACCGGGATGTTAATATTAACTACGATTGCTACGTCTCTATGTAAGAACAATGATTTAACTAAATTGAGTTTTCTTCTATAAAATTTGTATAGCAAAATTATTATTGAAATGAAATTTAAGTATATGTATAAAAGTCAGTCACGTTACACTATTAATAATGTAAGTACGGCTGAACTGATTTGGCTGAAATATGGTGGGGTTGCAGCTTTAGAACCAGGAGACGGAACTTTTTTTCCCGTTTCCGTGGGACGTCATATTTTGTTTTATTCCGTGCATCCGAAGTCACGTACGAAAACTAGTTTATGATAATCAATTTCATTGTAAAGTATGTGTTTATTTATGAAATATAAGAAAATAAAATAAATAACATCCATCTGGATTGAGCGCACACAGTTAACTCCTTTCAATTGAAGTGTTGGGCCAAACAATTGACAGTTGTAAACGATTTCAATTACTTTAATCTAAAGTTGGACACGATCATGGTCTTTGAATGTTTGTTTCAGTGTACATATTTTGAAACTGGAAAAATGTTTACGTTTCATGTTTATACGAGTTTTTTTCTTAAAATAAATATATTTACATCGATCTACAAACGCGTTATCGTAAAATGACGCGTTATTTAAAAAAACTTAGTAAGTATCCTATCTGTTCTTCTAGACTAAGTTCTACATATATGCCAAATTTTATCGGAATCTGTTTAATCGTTCTGGAGATAACTTCTAACAAACATTCATCAAACTTACGCATTTATAAACTTAGTAAGATTAACAATAAAAGAAAGTTTAATTAAATTAAATATTGGTTTTACTTGTACTGACTTGATCGCAGTATGTCAACAACATATGTTAGGATTTGCGTCACGTAGTAGCTAGTTAATAGTACTAGTTGAACTTTAAATGCTTAAGGTTACTACAACCCAATGTATTTTAGTTAAATCAGTATGTTTTAAATTACATAATAATATATCGCATAAGAAGTTATATGAATGATCTGTGTAACACATAAACATTGATATTCGTCACGGCTTACGCAGAATAGACAGAATTAACTAATTTTCATTTTCACACCTCTTTAATTTCTTTAAATTACAAACTACGCATATATTATACGTAAGCATTTCAATGTTACAAGTATTTAAATACATATTAAATATCAATACGTAAAATTAACATAACATTTTTTTTCGTACACGCTTACATCATACAGATGCTATTTATGGATAACTGAATACTTCTGGCGGAATATTTAGTAACTGTGAACGCGTTATATGTATCAGTAGTACAGAATCTATTTAAATTACTATGTAATATTGCGCAGTCTTTGGTACATGACTTTTAGAACATACTGTATATATGATGAAGCGTAAAATGTATTATTACATCAACTTTATTATTATTATTATTATTTGTTCACACACTGGCAGCTAACTAGCTGCTGTGTTTATGGTTAATATCCGTTATGCCGTTAGACAGACTACGATTTTCTGTTTAATAGCAATGAAAACTATTTACAATGTACTTCATTACAATGTTACTCTTTTATAATATTTATAGTCGTAGTAAAGAATAGTTTGTTTAATATACAGACGACATTAACACAATTAAATTGTGGGACATGCTCAACTCTTATCTATGAGGTCGCTAATGTTTGATCAAAATTATAAGCGGACATTAGATATTCTAAGTCAGCACTTTGAAATCAGGTTATATTATTTAATAAAACTAAGAAAATTTATTAAATATAAAGACAGAGTAGCAAAAGATAATAAAACCTGTTTTCCTTCAAGAAACGTTTTAACAAATACAAGGATATCTATAAAATGGATATTGGCTTTATTGGAATTTACAATTATGTGATCCAAATCTTAGTACAGTTTTGCATTTTTTTTTACAGATGGAGTTTCTCCTTGTTTCGCAAGGGGTTCAAAAGTAGTCTTACGATAGAAGATCTGTTTCAAGCACGCGCTGGCGACCATTCAGGCCGATTAGGCGATCGTTTGGAAGAAGCGTGGCAAAAAGAACTCAACAATGCGCGACATAATGGTACAAGACCTTCACTCTCAAGAGCTATTGTTAGATCCTTTTGGTTCGAATACATGATATGCGGATTTTTCGTAGGCATTTTATTTATTATTTTATGGTAAGTCATACACATTAGCAAACTTGTCTTTGTCTATTTTATTTTGTTCTAAAAAGTAATTTGTATGTATTTTGTTTTAGGCCATTAATCCCATATATGTTAGCTTTGTTTATTGGATACTTCGCTGATGAGAAGACACTGGAAAGTTACAGAAATGCTCATATTTATAACTTCTTATTGAACTTCTTCAGTATTGCTACAGCTGTTATACTGAATCATGTATATTTAATGCAAGGCTGCGTCGGTATGAGAGTGAGGATAGCGTGTTGTTCATTATTATTTAGAAAGGTTAGTTATTATTCAGTATTATGATTTTTAACCCATTGACACTTATGTATTTCCTGGGTACGACAGTTTATTTATATGTACTTTGTGTCGCATGTATATCAATTCCATTCTGACTTGGAGACTTATCAACTGAACTGATATTTTTCAAGCAAATAGGTAATATTTTTTTCTTATTGTAGATTTTGAAGCTGAACCGGACAGGTCTTAATAAAACGGAACCTGGACAAGTTATAAATTTAATGTCAAACGATGTGAATCGTTTCGATTTGGTGGCAACGTTCTTGAACTACATCTGGGTGATGCCGATAGTTGTGGCTGTTGTTTCATATCTCGTGTGGCAGCACATAGGCTGGGCCACACTCGCAGCGCTTGCTGTTATATTCTTACAGACTGTTCTTGTTCAAGGTCAGTATTATACGACTATAATTTACACTACACTCATATTATTGGACATCTACAGGATGTTTTTTTGGGATTAAGCGATAATAATTGATGTAATGAAAATAACGTTTAACTTAAAAAAGAAGCACCTAGTTTAAGGATCCAATTAGTTTTGAAATACGTCACTTTTAAAGAATTATTTGAGTATTCAGTAGATAGCGGTATTGTTTTATGACTTATTTTAATCTTTTTCGCGATGCATTCGATATTTTAAAGATTATTATCATTACGATAACGAAGAAAACATATGTAAATATGTAAATGTTTTTTTACAATCAGGTGAATATATTTATAATCTCTGCCATTATAAAATATTCGTCATCTGTAGGTTACTAAGCGCTGATAGCGCATAACCGAAATAATCAAGGGTTCGGACATCCGATCACGTGGTAGTGGGTTGGAACTTCGAATGCGCCATTTCACTTTCCAAGCACAAACTTGAGTAGAATAGAAATAAATTATCCATATAATTTACCTTTCTATTAATGCCATATATAAATAACCTCAAGAAGACCACACTGTTCTCTCTACAAAGAAAGCTTGCATCGAACTAATAATTACCATCAAAAGAATGGGTTACTCTTTAACTTAGCAACTTGCAAGTTATTGGCACGTAATATTGGTGTTTGCATTAACGAAGTAGTATAATGCTATAATAATATTTATATAACACTTTAAATGAATTAAGTTAAAATAGAATAAAAATAGTCGGTGAGTTTTATCTTTTCGGAACTAATGTATCGGCGAAGAATCCGCTCTCTACCATAGTAGGATAGTATTGGAATCAAAGTTCACAATCTAAGAGACATTTTTTTGTTACATTATTAATATGTAAATTATTTTCAGCGTATTTGAGTAACCTACAAGGTAAATTTAGAGGGAAGATTGCAAATCGAACCGACGAAAGAGTCAAGGTTATGAGCGAACTCGTTAACGGAGTGCAGGTCATTAAGATGTACACGTGGGAGAAGCCATTCGAGAAACTGGTCGACAAACTGCGCAGGTTAGTGACAATGTATCACAAATGTAAACCAATGCGATCCAAGTATCTATCGTTTTCGTATTAAAAGATTCAAACTTAACGACCGCTCGTGGGTAACTTGCGTAATTGAATACATTACGTCTGGAAAAAAGTTTCTTGTGTAATTTTTTCAAAGTACAGTTTGGATGGTATTATACTAAATTGCGTGGTAAAATAAATTAAAGCTCCGTGGCCTTCACATTGTGGTGCAAGTGAGCTGAGTAAAATTTAATTCAATGTATTAAATGGAATTACAATTATCCACCTGTTTGCATTAAGCACAAAAAATACATACGTATTCTACTCCGAGATACAGAGCATGTAAATTATTTTTTTACATTGTCGCGACTTTCATTTATCAAATAAAACGTAGTGCTCACACAACGAATTCTAATCATATTTGAATCATCAACCCACGTTTGTATGGAAAAAAGTATAGGAATACATTTAAATAATTTAAACATAATAGTACCGTGTCAAAAAATATAATTAACTTTCAACACTGCACATATTAATTTCTTAATGATATTTCATAAATACTGAGTCACAGATTAGATTCAGATATAATGTTTTTGATGAATGTATGAACACGTCGTAAAAAGTTTATATAAGACTTAAAGTTATTTACAATGCATCATAAGAGTATTTTTGACTGTTTAACGTGTGTCAGAATGTGTGTAAGAATGACACATATGATAGTTTCATCGTTCATTTATGACAAAGATAGGTGTTGACATTACGTATGTTAAAAATCAAAATGGGTTTGAGATGCCATCATCCAGAAATCAGTTTAATCAGTCAATTGTATGATAGAAAAAAATACAAATGGTGAATGAGAAGAGACGGCAACTTCATGGAGAGTTTATATCTAACTAAAAGAAATGTTTAAAGTACATGTGAGTTGTAATCGTAATAAACAAGTAATTCTGAAGAACATAATGATATTGTCAACAGAAACTTTTCGATTAGAACATTATAATTTTATGTGTTGCAACTTTTGTCCTAACTAACTTGTAACTTTAATATTAATAATAAATTTCTGATTATTTAATACCTAGCATATTCATTATTTTAAACTTTATTAGATTATTTTATTATTCACACAACTTATTAGTCTAATATTATTTTATGAGTAGTTATCATCATCATCACATATTATCATATTATGTACTACCTACTTTTATTAGTATTCCAACATTATGTGACTTGTTCTACTAACTTTAAAATATAATTAATTGTAATGAGTTATATATTTCTTATTTTAACAGAATGGAAGTAAGCTTTGTACTGAAGACTTCGTTCATTAAAGGATTCTCAACCGCGTTGAGTGTGTTTACGGAACGGTTTATATTGTTTTCCGCGGTGGTTGCTTTCGTGGTGATGGGTGGTTATATACGAGCAGAGATCACCTTCTCACTAGTCCAGTACTTCAATCTGCTACAACTCGCATGCAATATACTATTTCCAATGGCGTTGTCATTCCTCGCTGAAGCTATGGTTTCCGTGAGGAGATTAGAGGTAAGACAATAATACTAGAAGACATTGCGTTTCATTATGTTATACATTGGACGTCTTTAGTGACTAAGTGCTGCAATTTGGCCCTGAAAGCACAATGAATACAACTTATTTAATATCTACAGACTTACTATAAAGTACTGCCTGGAATTTGTATTTTACGTGATAATGAGTTTGAAAGTATGTTTTAGGATTTCCTATCATTAGATGAATTGGAATCGGCAAAGGCTAAGGAAGTTTATTCCCTCGCTCTCAACGGTCAAGGCCTTATCAGTAATGGTGCGGATAAAGAGAAACATATAGAAAAAGAAAAAAGCCAGCCAACAGGACTGACGCTGGCTAACGTTAGTGCGAGCTGGCAAGAGAATCCTATCGTGGAAACTTTAAGAAACATTACATTGACAGTAAAACACGGAGAGTTCTTAGGTGTCGCCGGACTTGTTGGATCTGGAAAGGTAAATAAATTTACTTAACATAATTTGCACAATACAGACCAAAAGAAGTGTGTTGACATTGCAACTACCTATTATAATACAGTCAAACATCTGAACTAATTGCGATAAATTTCTTCCAGTCATCACTTTTACAACTGATCTTAGGCGAGTTGGAGCCATCCCATGGGACTGTGTCCTTGGGTGGCGGTAGAATATCATACGCCAGTCAGGAGCCGTGGCTGTTCGTCGCCTCAGTCAGACAGAATATTCTGTTCGGTCTGCCCTACGACCGCGTTCGTTATAAAAAGGTAATTTATTTGGTGACGTCATCTACACTATCGATCTGTGTGTCCACTGTTTGCCCTTGTCACGTGACCTTCAACAAAATTGTTGCTTTGATACTATTATGTTAAAAAGTTTTTTTTTGGTTTATTGATTAAAAAAACAGTTACGTGTTTTCCATAAAATCTATGTGCTGAACTATGTATGTGTTTTACATAAAATATTATGTTCCTACTGAATACCTATGGAGTAAAAGAGTTAGTATAGGCTGAATTTGCCAGTAGTTAACACTGCCTCTGCGTAACGCTTCGTTGCATTTACTAAAACTTTTAGCTACAATCAAGTAGCTTAGCTAGCTTAGCACTGTGACATAAAAAGCAAAAGAACTTATAAGGTGAAAAGTATAGTATCTTACTGGCATGGTTTTTGGTTCTACGTACAGTCAGCGTCATATAGATCGTCACAGACAAGATATGCAAATATATAGGTACATCAAAAGTAATCAATTATATCGGTACAACAAAAGTCCTCAAAATAATAGATACATTCACCCTGCTCAAATACATCGGTACATACACAGCGTCAAATATATGAGTACATGCAAGGTGCTCATAAATATCGTAGCAGCCACAGCGTCATAAGTAAAGAAGCAGTCACGGTGCGCAAAAATATCGGTACATTTGACAAAATTGAACTCTATCTCTATATACTTGTGATACAATTTGGAATAAACTACTTCTGTTACATTCATTTGACACTTTGTATTAACATTATAGGTTGTCCGGAAAGTTCGTTCTGATTTTCGATATAAAGCTTACAATAGACTGTAGCTGAAGTGGTTTTATTTTCGGATTTCCACCATTATCAAACGTCACAAAAATTTCTATATTGTGAAGCATTTCATTTCATTGGTTGAGATAAAAACTCATTTTTAAAATTTTAGCCAAAAATAAAAGACATTTTAGGTATAGAGTCGTACCAATATAATTTAAAAACATTTCAAAAATTTAAGAGAACAGAGTTTTAATTTTCCTTATAAAGCGGCACGAACTTACTGGGCAACCCAATATTTTTCTTCTCCTGTCATAACGCTTAAATATATTATAAAAGTTTGTCACGCCGAATATGACAGATACGTAATAACTAATATAAAATTTTGCCTTGTCACAATATATACTAGTTTGGCGCAATATTCTAGTATGTTTGCTGTAATATGTAAGTTTATCGGTTCAAATCTCAGGCTACTTTTTTTTCATTTTATCAATCACGGGGTTATTTTTTCATAACCAGTAAAAATTTGGTAATGTAAAATTTTGCTCGACAATTTTTTTTTTATAATTTTCGCTGTCGGGTAGAAAGAAATTTAAATAAAGTTAACAACAATTAGGTCAGACCATCGCCGGTGAAGTGAGTGGGCGGAGCGTGGATTGTCTTTGCGGGTTTTAAGAATGGTACGCGCGGAAACTATACGTACAAGTGTTATCTACATATGTGTGCGCGCCCACGCACACTGGAATGTTTATTGCAATCGACCAAAAATTTGATGTAGTTTGGATATTGACATTCAGTTTTTTTTCTTTGTTTCTTAAATATAATCAGTGTCAGTAAAAGTAAAAGTGTTATTTTTACCGGTACAAGTTTAACAAACATGAGTAATAAACAAATTACATGTCAATAGCATCGCTTTATCTCCTTCATTTTTGTTTGAAATAGAAAAGTACTTTAACGGTCAAACTCATTAGTCCAAGGCAATATCAAAAAGTACCTAATAACTACGGCGATAGAATTTAATTACATGTGCTTCGATATGGTTTGGTTTAGTTTTAGTATATAGTTTATAGTATTATTTTGGTAGTTTAATTAATTAGTTTTATTTAATACATATTTTTAATTCAATGAATTGCTCTTTAACAACTAGTTACATTCTCTTTGCTTGCTCCCATCCATCCAACTGTTTTTTCACCATTGTTGTTATAGGTTATTATAATGCTTCGATATTAAAATTAAAAAGTTTAAATATCAAAAAAAAAATAGTGGCTTGGGATTTGAACCGCCGACCTTACGTACCAACGGCGGCGAACGGTAAGGCCACGAGACCAAACTAGCATATATGATGACAAACTTAAATTTGATGTTGGTTTTATCTACCTAATATCTGTCATCCGCGTCGAACACTTTTAGTAAATTTTGAAAAATGGTTTGATGCAAAGTGTCAAATGAATGTAACAGAAGTAGTTTATTCCAAATTGTATCACAAGTATATAGAGATAGAGTTCAATTTTGTCAAATGTACCGATATTTTTGCGCACCTTGACTGCTTCGTTACTTATGACGCTGTGGCTGCTACGATATTTATGAGCATCTTGCATGTACTCATATATTTGACGCTGTGTATGTACCGATGTATTTGAGCAGGGTGAATGTATCTATTATTTTGAGGACTTTTGTTGTACCGATATAATTGATTACTTTTGATGTACCTATATATTTGCATATCTTGTCTGTTACGATCTATATGACGCTGACTGTACAACTCTAGGATAGCCCAAGCGTCTCATATTAGTCGCATAGAAGTAGACTTTCCTTTTTTAATAAACAACTCATAACTTAGATTAAACTATCGGCTCACTTATCTGTTTTTGTAATCTTTGTACATAAACATCACGAGACATTATTGCCCTCGTGTGAGGATTATAGGCAATATCTAATTTAGAAATAAGTACCTTTTTACTGTTATTAAATCTATTTTATTCTTTGTAAATAAATCTTTTTCATTGAATGAAAAGAATTAAGATAAAAATTGAGATATTCCAATTGATTCCACGTGACGGGCGTAGATATGACGGATGGATAAAAAATTATGGAGTAAAAATTGAACATGACGTATAAATGATAGTGATAATGCATTGGCGATTGGCGATGTGCTTGAAGGTCGTCCGTTACCTTGAAAGATTACATTAATTGGATTATTTTTTTACAAGCTTTTAATTATTTTCTAGTGTCTCGATGTTTGTCATTAAATCTTGCAAATTAAATTTGATTCATTTTCCGGTTACTGATTATGCTGAAATTTTGCATACGTGTGAATATGTGGTAATGCAATATTATGATGACTTGGTGGCTGATCTGATGGTGGAGCTGGAATGTGGCCATAGGAATGCTATAAACGACACAACCTCATTGAGTTTGGGCTCGCTTGAATCGTTTTATCGAGTAGTTATGTATTTTTTTTTAATTAACAAAGCTTGTTTTCGAGAAGTTTTTTTTAACTACTTTACAAAACTGATAAAAAAATTGTTGGATAATAATGCAAAATATACTGTCTTCGCGAATTAGTAAACGCAAAATGAGTTCCACGAACATATGTTGTTCTTATTTTGCGTTTTTCGTTTGTTTAGCTAGAGTGAGGTATCTATGAAAGGATTAGTCATCCTTCTTAAAGTATAAAAATCCTCGCTTGTACCTAGTAATTCAAAAACAGACAACTGTAACTGTTTTAATATTATAAATGTTTATACTTTAAATAACTGGCTGTCACCGTCTGTACTAACTTTAATTACTTGAGGTAAATTACAATACAAAAAATTTATGAAAAGTAAAAATACAAGGTTCAAGTAATCCTTGACAACAATGGTGTACTTACAGATAGTATTAACTTGATTATGGTTTAATTGACACAGATAAAAATTGTTATCAGGTGTTGAACTTCTGAGCAAATTGATTCTCATTTCTTAAAAAAAAACAGTGATGAAAATATTACATTACTTGCGATGCTAGTGTCACATATCTTATTAATATTTAGACGGATGGATGGATGGATGTGTGTTATTCGTATCGCCAGAACGGCTTAACCGATATTTATGAAATTTGGTTTTGATAGAACATAATCTGGAAGGCTACTAAATATGTTTTAAATTAAGTCCGCTCAGACGAAGACCCAGGCGACACCTATTATAAAAACCCTAGTGTAATAATATTGAAACAATTTGTCAAAATTAAAACGTTATTATTAAGGCGCACGAGGAACTTTTGATAAGGTGACATAAAAGATGTTTTAGTCATTGTCATGTAACGTTTTAGCTGTTTCACCATTACTGTTTACTTTTAATTTGATAAAGTTTGACCTATATCAAAGGGGATACGTCGCGGTCATATTGTAATTATATCAAATAACGTAAATCAAACAACGAGTGCATGATAAGAGCAACGCGAGCACAGAAGGAACTCTGCACGCGAACGAACGAGAGGTCAGATTCGCAGAATAGATAATGCGACACACACTCGTGTCCAATCGACGGTCCCTATTTTGTACTGCAATTCATTAAAGAGGTGGACAATATATTCCCATTTATTCTTGCATTTTTTAATATGTCTTTGAAAATAAAATATCTATCATTCCCAATAAAAGTTATTATTGGGAAAAGTAATCAGAATTAAATACCTTTTCCGATCTGCTACTTAAAAACTTGTCTTTGTTTAGGTGGTTTCGGCATGCGCTCTGATGCGGGACTTCGAGCTGCTGCCGGCGGGTGACGCGACGCTGGTCGGCGAGCGCGGCATCAGTCTCAGCGGTGGACAGCGCGCGCGCATCGGTCTAGCGCGCGCCTGCTACAGACAGGTATAACTCTAATCAAATGTATTGACGGCTCAAGATCATCGGCGAGCTGTGCATTGTCCTTCCGCATCCCGATACACCTAAAACTGTGTTCTGCGCAGCGACTCTTGAGGTATCTTGAGTGAGCGATGAATTTGATCAAATTTATCAAGATTAACAAAATGTTTAATACCTTGATATTATAACAACTAAATACTGAAATATCTTGTAAGACGATGAATTTCATGCAGACAACTCCAGGTAGATGCTAGTTTTATTTTTGTAGAGATCCTGAACATTTGAATTTGACAATGACTCTTTATAATGTGACATTATTCGATAACACTTTGTATTATTTTCGTTATTCAATAAGTTATAGTCCTCATGATTCTGTAGTGAAACAAGGTCAAACGTAACTTAAACAGAATAAACAAATTGGTCGCAGTTGTAGTTACGATTTTTATTTATTATTTTATTCCAAAATCCTAGTATTAAGGGGGTGATTAGGTTTAAATAAAAAAAGTAATTTAATAATTTGTCCAAACAGGCGGATATATACTTGCTGGACGATCCCCTGTCCGCCGTAGACACGCACGTTGGCAAGCACCTGATGACCGAGTGCGTCCTGGGCTTGCTGAAGGGCACCACGAGGATCCTCGTCACGCATCAACTGCATCACCTTAGAGCAGCAGATAACCTCATCATACTTCGAAATGTAAGTGGATTATAAAGTGGCCATTTCAAACGACATTGTGCCAACCCTGCCCAATATTGTGGAAACATCTCTCAAATCGAACAATAGGGTACATTAGCCAAATTTTTGAAACATATTTGTTTTAATTCTAACTCTTCCAGTAGAAAAAACATTATATTTCACTGAAATCTGTAGATGCAGAAATATATTCAGTGTCTTTTTATTAATACCACTCTGATTACGTTGGCCAAGATTAAATAAAGTCAGATAAAATCGAGTGTTTGACGTATTTTTTTACAATATGAAAAAGACATTGTTATCACCAGTTAGACATTCGCGTTTTTATCCTACCGCAAACTGGTCTTTCAATAATACGAGAATGTATTTAAATTTATAACTTGTTTTGATGTTGCCAGTCTAACCATTATGATAATCGTGCAATTTGATCGTACGCTACCGAAATAACATTCATATAACTATATCTACTTAAAACGTAGAAAACCTAATAACATTCATAGTTTTTTTTGTCGTTTCAAAACGTTAAATCTCTGCAAGTAGTTTATTTTTAGAACAAAAGACACTTATTTTATTTTAAGATTTTTTATCGCAGATGACTTCTTTTGTGTTCTAAGAATGTCTTAAATGTAGACAAATGTATCGCATTTGCATTGGGAAAAAACATTGATGTTTTATATAGAAAAAATACGTTTTACGCAGCCCGGAATCCGGTTTACGTTCAATGAAGCTAGCAGCTTTAAAAACAAGTTAAATTAAAAAATACAGGTGCACACAGACTTGTTAAAGGTCAATGAGTTTGAATTTTTTAAATTCATTTATAGGAATTTTACCATATGCACTTATTAACGTTATTATACGCTTTGCATGAATTCCTTTATGATTAGAAACAAAAATGTTAAATTATCGATAAATGTTTTTGGACAATTTTTAAATCAATCAAACACGAATCTTTCAAGTTTATAGGCAATTGCGAAAATGTATTTAAATCTTCATGTGAACAAGCAAGACAAGTTCCACACAAATAAAAAAAACTACAATTTTTAGGTATAACAAGCGCCCTTAACATGACCCCATTTTCATGGATTTATCATAATCCATCCATAAACTTTGTTTTAACTTTTTAAATTTACTTCTCTGATTACACATGTCGTGCAAATAAAACTAATATAGTGCTCATTTAGGATCAGACAAAGCTCTCTTGCATTTTATTTGTGGACAAAAGTAATGGTAGACTATAAAGATAATGCTATTGGTACTATACAATTTTATGTCAATGTTTACAAGCTTTAAAAAAGATAAGAATCGTCTTGCTTAACTCCATAGTAACATGGCTTTACCTAACCTTAGTTTTAATCCGTAACCCTGCATTCCAATCCCTGTGTAGGGAGTGCAGTAAGTTTGCTCCATAGTAGATAATTTAAGGATGACGAATTTATTTTGTTTGCGTTACTGATGACTTTAGTATTTTAGTCATTTAACGCTGAGTCATTACTCATCTGCGAGCTATAAATCCAAGGACATTCCTCTTCATTTCAATTATATTATAATAAATGATTTTAATGAATAAATATTCATGGACTAATTGATGGAATATAGATGGAATTTTATTTGGAAATATTAAATACAATATATTGTCAATCATTGTCACGTGCTGACATAAATAGAAGGACCCATAAAATATACGTTGGCCTTACATTGTTTAGCGGCATATTGTTACTGAAGCAAACTAACATTGAAATGGCGCTGCTTTTAACTATTAATAATATAATAACAAGAAGCAATGCCACAAGAAATAATCACACGCAAATAATTTTCATTGTTATATTTGTATAAAATTAATATAACTACTCAGTCACACTCCGTTATCGTTGCAGCTTGCTACACTTGCATGAAACACAACGCGGTTAATCGGACTTTGTCGTTTCGCGGAACATGCATATTGTGTACATTAGCAACACAAGTATGTACGTACAAGGAAATGTACTACAAAACACAATCCAATATTAAAACCTCACATCGTTTTAACGTAGTTCGGATCCGGAAAATTCGCTATCCTATTATACCGTACCAAGGCTAGAGCTGGCCCTACAATCGTCCTTCACTGGTCAAATATAATAAGGCGTTGTAAACCGTTAAGCCGATATATAAGTCAATAATCTGCACCTGTCAAAATATTACGCAGCCGACACTGATGCCCGCCACCTTATCTCAAAAGTACAATGAACTTCCAATACGAAACGTTCGCGTCGTCAGATAAAATGAAGTAATTATTTTGCCCGACGGTCATTCACTAGTGAAATTTTAATTTAGCAGTTACCTAATAATAAAGTCTGTGCCTCGTTCTTAAAAACTTAACTACTAGGTTAGAATGCTGCAATAAATTTCAATTAAAATCTTATACTCTTTTCAGGGTGAAATCGAGACACAAGGTAGTTTCGAAGAAGTGTCGCGATCTCCCCTATTTGAGGAACTGTTGGAGGAAGATGAGCAGCCGCAAGAGGATAGCGCGGCCAAGGCGCGCTCCGAGCAAATGCGACAACGCACAATGTCAATCAAGGTGAGAATGAAATATTGTTAAGTAGATTGTTACGTATTACTAATAAATGTCCGAACCAGCAGACGTTCTTTGCACGAACGTTGGTTTGCCTGTATTATAACGTTTTCCGAGAAAAAAAATCAGAAACACTATAGGGACCCACCTACCGTGTCCAATTGTGAAACTTAACAATTTGCTATGTAGATAATAATTTAGTATTTAATGATCAGTTTGAAAACAGATAATGATAGATAATGATTAATAGATACAGTATATGACTTCTATTCTTCTTATTTTGGCAGTAACAAACCACTTTATAACAAATGAATGTCAGTTCAGACATAAAGATCGTTGCATTTTAAGACAGCGTCATATTGTTTATTGCACGATCAGACATGCGTATCATATAAACAACAATCAGGTTAACGCCCTTCTCGTCCGCTTTTTAATGACATAAAGAAAACCTTTAAGTAATTTTTAATTAACACACAAACCGAATCACCGATTTACGTATTCGTTGATCAGAACTAATTTGTTTAATAAATTTATTTACAAATACAAATACCTATGACCCGCGACAACTTCCGCGCAAAATACAAAAAAAACTTAATTATCATATGTTCTTCCAGGCTATTTTCTACACATAGGCCTTCTAAAATACATCCATTCAAACATTAGCATTTATAATATTAATAAGATAATTCAACAACAAATGTTTTGGAATAAGTTTTTGAAATAACTCAAAGAATTGTTTTTAACATTTGACATGGGTCGCTAATGTTATTTAATGTTACACAGTCACACACGAGTACCAGCACGCTGGCAGAGGGTGAAGGCAACCAGGACGAACCGGGTGAAACAGATGAGCTCATGGAAAAAGGTACAACACAAACCGCGAGCTAACCTTGAACATTCAGTTTATTTGTACCACTGAGAACTTACCACAAATTCTTTAATTTACATTTTAGTTAACGATTTATCATATGTCTTGTAACAAAAGGTACAAACACACCAGGGGTACGGATGTTTTCGTATGTTTATTCCATTGTGACCTTCAGACCTAATAAATTTGTGATCCAATAGACTCGATCGATTTCTCGAAAGTGCTCTTCGGGTCGTATTTTATCTCAGTACATATATTGATTTAATTATTTGGGCTTAGTAGTTTCATGTTCTATCATATTATATTTTAATATTAGTTACTAACTGTAGCCCGCGACTCTGGTCGCGCGAAATTAAAAAAATCTTGATTAGTAGTCTATCTGTTCTTTCAATTATAGTCTTTGTCAATGCCAAATTTGATCGAGATCTGCTAAGCCGTTTTGTAAATACCTTCTAATAAACATCCCATCAACAACACATTCGCGTTTATATTATAATATGTTACATATTATTAAGCTTGATATATTTAACAACAAAGTAGAAGTTTGTATTTCAGAAAATAGTTTTTTTTTTATAATTGGTAACAAAATGCAGGTCGTGTGTCGGGCTCCGTATACTTGAAGTACTTCCGCGCTGGCGGCGGCTGGCCGCTGCTTATATTTACCATCATCTCTATTGTAGCCGCGCAAGTCGTCACCTCCTTTGGTGATCTCTGGCTTACGAGTTGGTAAGATTTCAACACTTTCTTTACTGATATTTAATGCTTTTCTACTAAACAGCAGTAACGATAAAACTTACCTAATTACATACATGTGTGTTTGCTCATAGAAAGATCTTAATTGCTGCATGGCTTTTTTGTTTCTATTATTATGGTCTTATTTTTATTAACATAATGCGACTGGTTTATTTATAAGATCTCTAGACGACTGTAGTAGTCTGTGAAAAAGATATTCGTTTAAAATGAATGTGTCACATATTTTAGTAAGTAAAACATATTTAAAATTTTTCACTTACGAACAACAATGACTTTGAATGGTGTGTTTACTTTTAAAGTTAATTAACTGAAGAATAATTCGTATTGTAGCGGTTCTGAAAACATGCCACAAAGTTTTTGTGTGAATGCAAATAAAACGTTTCTTTGTTTCCTGCATTTTTCTTACTATGTATTTAAAATAATATCTATATTAAGTTTACTCGTGTAAAACATTTTATTTTACAATCAATAGTAAGTATGTATTAAAAATAAATATTTATGTAAATATTTTCTGCCAAAATACAGATTACAAAAACATACTATTGTCATTCTTTATAAAAAAAATTATTTTTGTACACGTGGCTGTAAAACACACGGAAAATTATAATATTTCGGTTACTATATTAAACTTTAAAAGTAATTTTATAAATATTTGCTGACAGCTGCAAGAAAATTTAATAACAAAGTTCCGCCTCATGCGTTTTGCGCGCATTGAGCGTGAAACTGGTATTGACTTATGCCCGCTACCCACCTTCAGTTATAACAGTACAGTCGAACTGCACAGTTGAAACTGTGTGAACTGGGCCTAGACAATATAACAACAACAATTTTTGTCGATTCTAATAGCGATACCTATGATTCGATCAAGTCAAAATGTGTCAAAAGGAAAAATACGTGATATATTGAAAGTTATTGTCACTTCCATACATTTTTGACTTTTCGATTAGTAACATCACTTATCGAATGTTACTTTGTCTAGAGGCGCAGTACAGTTAACCGACAATAAAAATTTTGTCTACAAGTTTTTTTTATAAAGTTTGACTGTACAGTTAAAACTGCACGTGTATAGCTGGCTTTATAAAGTCGGCAAAACTCTTTATAGCAATATTATGTTTTACGCTTCAAGTAATGTTTTGAACATAAATTTTAATTTTATCAGAGCATGAAACATAAACAAATGATTGACAAGAAAATAACTTAAAGATTTATTTTTAACCTAAAATTAACATAAATATCTTCACCAAGCCTCATAAAAGATTAAAATTTTATTGTTTACAAAATAGATAAAGTACAGGGCAATAATTACTGTTGGCACACTAAACACTACAGATAATAAAGAAATAAAAGAATTGGGAAAGTTATTTTTATTTTCAACGAATGACTTAAGATTGGTTTCTAAAATCTCTGTATAAAACATATCGTCATCCCTTTCATTATCTTTGACAGAATAGAGATAATTTTTTTTTAGTTTTAAACGGGGTTTTATTCTCAGAAGCCCTCAGTTATTGACTTAATTGATTTACCTTTTTTCTAGGATGAACAAAGTAGAAGCGAGGCATGCGAGATTAAATACCGAAAACAATGATACAAATTTAATAAATCCCTTAAATTATACCGACTCGTTTAACGATACTACGGAACTACCAAGCTTTATGGATGACGTAACGGACACGATCTCAACAACGAATCCAAACCATACCATCATTGGTACTATGCTTAAGACGGCTGTTACTATGCAGAATATAACCTTGACTGAGCAGCAGCCATTGGATAATAACTTTTATATCTATATTTGGGCAGCTGCTATACTTGGATGTATTATTTTAACTACAGAAAGGTATGTTGTTTCAAATCTAAGCACAAATATTATACATCATACAAAGCATCATCATTCGAGCAACCTTTTTATTATTTTCTCTTTGTCTTTCTTTTATAAGCCAATTTATTAAGAAATGTTATTAAGATTTTGCTGTGTAATCATATTGGTTGACAATATAACATGTTCATTTTCTTTTATTCTACTAGTATGAAGCTTAGCGTTGTAGGTGAACTGTTAGAGCACTCTTTTACTAATAAATTAGTTATATTTTCTCCTGTTTCTTACTTACTTATCTTATTACAAATACGTAGAGAATCAGGTCAAAAATTCCGTTTTTTTAATAACGTTGTTCAGTAACACATTTGTATATTTATGTCAGCTGATTCCACTTTATAATATTTCAGATCGTTGTTGTTCCTGTGGGTGTGCATGCGCAGCTCTATAAAGTTACATAACTTAATGTTCAGTAACATTTTATCAGCTACGATGCGCTTCTTCGACACCAACCCATCTGGTCGTATCCTGAATAGATTTTCTAAGGATATGGGTGTCGTTGACGAAATATTACCCAGGATGATATTAGACAGCATGCAGGTTTGTCCTTATTTTGAAATTAACACGTTTCGATTTTTTTGCATAAACAAATAGAACAAGTTTCTTCTCAAAATCGCACTTCTTACTATGCGAATGTTTAGATGGATGGTTGGATGGATGTTATAAAGAAGATATCTCCAGAACGTCTAAACGGATCTCCCTAAAATTTTGGCTAAAATTTACACGTATTTACTAGCCAAATATTTTTTTAGGGTTCCGTACCTCCACAGGAAAAAAACGGAACCCTTATAGGATCACTTTGTTGTCCGTCCGTCTGTCTGTCAAGACCTTCTCAAAAACGCGTGAAGGTTTCAAGCTAGAATTTATTTAATTAAGCGGGGATGGTCTGCGGGCAACAGCTAGTTCTGTTATTAATACTACACTATAATATTGTAAGACAGGGCAAAAAGAATGATGGATTATTATTGCAGATGTTTATGGTGATGTTCGGTATTCTGATAATGGTTGCGATCGTGAACCCGTACATGTTGCTGACTACGGCGGTGTGCGGAATCTTCATGTACCTTTGGACTGTCATCTACCTCAACACCGCGCAGGCTATTAAGAGGTAGGTCTTTGCCTTACCTAAATATTATATACTCTAGCGTTTTAACTCGAGTTCATTAAAAATTGCGATAAAGCTTAATTCTGTAGTTTAGTAATAGTTTAGGTAAGATATTGTTTGTATTCAGGGTGGAGGGCGTGTCGCGCAGCCCGGTGTTCTCTCACGTGTCGGCCACCATGGCGGGCCTGCCGACAGTGCGCGCCTGCAGCGCAGAGGAGATGCTGCGCGTACAGTTCGACGAGAAACAAGACGTGCACACTGCCGCCTGGTGAGAACATACAAGTACAAATCCTTCGAATACCTCCGTTCAAAAAAAATGTTTTTTGGAACAGGGGTTTTGGAATTCCGTTACCGATTTCGGATCCGTGTCGATTAAAATTATAAATACCTTTTTTTTCAGGTATCTAACACTGATAACGAATACCGCGTTCTCGCTTTGGCTAAGTCTCATATCGGCGTCGTATGTAGTCATCGTCGCTTACACTTTCCTACTGTTGGACGATGGTGAGTAACAATTTTCCTATGAATTGTATTGAATTTTAAATAATCTATTCAAGCTTTACTTGTCTTCTCTTCTTTATAATCTTAAGGAATACGTAAGATTTTTATCGCTTGCAAACATGTGTCATGATGACTATAAAAAACTACGTTATTGATTTTTATCGTAAGTCAAGTTCAATATTGTTATCAATTTTGACTTTATTCCTACTAAACTAATTTTATGAATTTTCGAGAGCTTTACGACAGTCAAGATTACAAAGAAATTAAAAAGAGTTTCATTGCCTTAATAGAAGTCGTTAGCGATCGCCCTTAGTGTAGATTTTCAGAACAAATCCCTAAGTGACATACAAAATTATAATTTGTAGGTACGACAAAGTCAGGTGACGTGGGGCTGGCGCTATCCCAGGGTCTGATCCTGGTGAACATGGTGCAGCACGGCATCAAGCAGGCGACGGAGGTGATCTCGCAGATGACGAGCGTGGAGCGCGTGGTGCAGTTCACGTCGCTGCCGCAGGAGGAGAGCGCGGGTCCGCCGCCGCCGCCCGCCTGGCCGCAGCGCGCTCGTCTCGTCTTCAAAAACCTGTATCTCAGATACGACCGAGAAGCGGAACCTGTGCTCAAGAATCTCAATATCGTTATCGAAAGCGGTTGGAAGGTAAGAAATTAACATTAACAAATGGTTATAAATCTTTCGTAAGTTGAAGTTTTGATGACTATTTTGAAAATAATTGTATTTTATGATATTTCTTAGCAATATTTGTAATAATTGTCAGGTGGGTGTGGTGGGTCGCACGGGCGCCGGCAAGTCCTCGCTCATCTCTGCGCTGTTCCGTCTCGCGCCCATCGACGGACATGTTTACATCGATGACGTCGAAACTGGCTCCATCGCGCTTAAGGTATTATGATGTCAAAGTTCTACGCTGTCTATGGTAGAATCAATACAAGCAGCTCTTCTTGATAAAAATTATCTTCAAATTTTTATACTTTGTAGGACTTGAGGTCGAAGATCGCCATCATCCCCCAGGAACCGGTGCTTTTCTCGGCCAGCGTGCGGTACAACATGGATCCCTTCGACAAGTACACCGACGCCGAGATTTGGAAGGCATTAGAGCAGGTACCTACCCTGGATAGGTCCCAAAAGTAATTTATCACGAAAACTACAACTTAGGGAAACGTCTGCGACACAAAAACCTTTATTTCACTTCAGTGTTGTATGAGGTCCTGGTAATTTCTCGATCGTATCGGCACATACTGACGCTGGTACTTTGTAAGTATAAATCTACGCAGTCAGTAAGATGGTGTTATCGTGCAGGTGGAACTAAAGCAGAGCGTCTCGTCACTGTCTGCGGCGGTGACTTCGGGCGGCGGCAACTTTAGCGCGGGCCAGCGGCAGCTCGTGTGTCTGGCGCGCGCCGCCCTCGCCCGCAACCGCCTGCTCGTGCTCGACGAGGCCACCGCCAACGTCGACCCCAAGTAAATGACACACACGTACATACACACAACACATTAACACACACTCATACGAGGAAATGTTACGTAATTCTTATGTGATTGTGACCTATTCTCGCTATAATCGAATCGTCGAATTACACAACCGTATTATATGTACAAAAACTACACGCGATATAGTTTTTTTTTAATATCAATTCCCATTTGCATAATTTCTCATCAGAGTATAATGTAAAGAAAAAAAGAAAAACGAATCGATATGTTATGAATACATGACTTTATATTTGCAGTACGGACGCGCTGATCCAGAAGTCGATCCGCAAACACTTTTCTGAGTGCACGGTGATCACTGTGGCGCATCGCCTACACACCGTCGCAGACTCCGACCGTGTCATCGTAAGTCACCGCACACCGCACACCGCACAACATTTATGCTACCCTAGTCATTCGCTTTACAACATCTGACACATACTGAACACCCGCTATATCTATAATAAGAAACCATTTTTACATGATACATGCAACAATGATCTATGTCAGTGGGACCCCTTAATAGAATATTTAATGTAAAAAATAAATTACAACATTGATTTAAAATATGTTAACTTTTACAACATGACCCGTTGTCTTTGATTTAACGTAATTGGAAATTTAGGTATGACATATATTTCTAAGTTCGTCTAAGAGCAACCGTGACGTATAAATTCTGATACTACGTTTCAGGTATACTAACATGTCGTACTGATAAATATCCAGACAATAGAATAGAAATATACTTAAGATAAAACGGATAAGACGCTAGACAGACTGTTCCGATAACTAGTAGTCATGATTTGATACGTCAATCAATCAAATTCATAAACGGTTACATAAATCTAAATCCTATACAGTGTTAAACTATTTCGCTTTTATCTTTATGATTTAGATAAAAATATTAGGATCAAATCTGACTATAGAGTTGTCTTGGTTGTAGATAGCTCTTAATTTTATAAAATATTGTTTGGAGATAGGGAGATACCTACTTTAAACATTTTCTAAGAATATGTAAACTTAAGTACTAATTTTAGATTACTTTTTTTTTTGGTAAAAGCAACCCTTAGTGAAGATTAAGTATGAGAAATGTTTAATATTCTAGCGATTGTAAATGATTTGAAATTTGTATTGTACTAGGTGATGGAAGCAGGTCAAATAGTGGAATCAGGTCATCCGCACGAACTGCTGCAGAAGAGCGACGGTCACTTCGCGCGCATGGTGAAGCAGCTCGGCCCCGCCTCCGAGCAGAGCCTGCGCAACGTCGCCCGCACCGCCTACGCCGACCACATACGATATGTAGATGCTGACGAACAACTCCAATAGAACTGTACCTCGAGATTACACAGACTCACTAACATATAAAGATATCCGAATGATATCTGGCTATCTGGAAATACACTTTTTGCTTCGTTCCGACTTAAAAGCGCTGAAATCAATGTCGACTAATTCTATATCTTAAATTAGTTCAAGTTTTCAACACTGCTACTAATAGCTACCGTCAACGTCAAAATGGCGAGGTATGCACGTAACTCAAACCAAAATCTAACTGTCTGCAAAACTGTCTTTAAAAAAGTACTGTCTATTGTAAAATGTACCAACCAAATGTATAACTTTAAAATGGATAACAGAGATAAAAATGACGGTAGCGTAAAAAACATCCAGTTTTTGTCTTTGTGGATCTGTCATTTTGTGGAAGGTATTTATAATATTGCGTCTGTGGCATAGAAGTTAAGGACTTGTAATCTGCAGGCTCTGGGTTCTAATCCCAACATATACCAATGTGTTTTTTAATTTTAGAATTTTATATGTACATTTATCTAACGTTCTTACGACGAAGGAAAACATCGTAATGCAACCTGCACATCATTGAGAAGAAATTCAAAGATATATACGAAGTCAACCAGCACTAGACCAGCGTGATTGACAACTTTAGTCTCCAAGACCCAGAGGGGACATATAATGAACTGATGATGACAATATTTCAGCCTTTTGGTTAGCAACAAAACTTGTATTGAGATCGAAAAACAAGCATGTAAAACTGGTACAAAAATAAAATCTTGTCAACTTGTATGACATGTTTCAACAGGAAGGACAGTTATAATGAATTGCTATTTATTACTTCTAATACCTGTCTCAAATGATAAATATATTAGGGATAATTAAGTAAGTTATATCATAATTAAATTATTTACTATTTGTTACTTAAAAAAGAAAACAAAACATCCACTTTTGTGCATTAAACTGTGCTCATCTGGTGCTATAAACGTAAAGTTACCTTTTGGTACTTAATTTACTGAATTCATATTGTTCTACAAACATAGCCTCTTAACTATTTTACTATTGCATTCTTGATAACAATATACATGAAATAAATTATATTAGGTTATGATAAATATGCAGAAATAACATTGTATTTGTGATTCATGTAAGAAAAACCATTTAAATATTTTATAATCTATTTATTTATAATGAGCCATATAAGCTATTATAAATACTCTATAAAAGACGTAACGATAATTATATACTTTTAAAAACAATGTGGCCTAAAAACCTGTGTTACTAAAAATTAATTAAAAACAAACATACACAATAAGAAGAGGCGCACCTTACAGTGTTAGTTAATTTTACAAAATGTGACTGCTTTATGCTTTATAATAATAAATAGTACTTAAAATATGTACTTGAAATACTTTTTGAAATATTTTTATTTTCTTGAAGAGAAATACACTTGAATTAAAGTTTACGATGTTGAAAGATATATTCTCATATATTTTAAGGTTATAATTAAGAATATTGAGCCAATACAGCTCACATGTATTTATTGTTTCTTTTGAATAAAGGTTAAAAACAAAAAAAAACTGAAATAATGCCATTACATTTTGTTAGTGTTTAATAAACCAGTGTTACTTAAATTATATTTTGTAATAAAAGAAAATATAAATATTATACCAATCTTTATTTTGTGTATAACACAATTTTAAGTGTCTTAAAAATAAAAATAATTGGAAGTTTTACGTTTTGTTTCATTTTTTTATATTTACATTGACAATAATCAGATCAGAGATATCAAAGTTACCTCCAAGTATCCATCCATATATTTTTCACTTTTGATTGGGGATATGTCTAATAGAGTTTTACTTTGTCTAGGATTAACTGGAAAAGGATTGGACAGAAGAAGATGAATAATACAAATGGGAGAAATACTGAACTGTTTTCTAATCCTTCTGTGTATAAGATTAAAAAAATCACATTAAAAAAAAGGTATATTAAACAACAATTTATTAACATTAATTGCACTTTGTGAATTTAGATAACCTTACATAAGTTGTACTTTTCCACTTTTTAATAAATCCGCTATTGGTTTGTATTGAAGTATATGTTGTGAATTTTCTGAAAAAGAAAAAATATTTATGTATAATAATAAATAAAAAATTCTCAACTTGTAATAACAATCATTTAGGTATAATACGGGAATGAGTATGGGTACAGGTTAGGTGAATTGACACCAATTCAGTGGAGTGTTTGGGCTCCCTAGGATGGCAGCTGATAACTTATTATTTATGGAGGAAACAAAAATTATTATCCTACTTTCAATACCCCTGATGGTCTCTTATCACTAATACAGACCCTATCACAATAAACCAGAAAGCAAAAAACTGTTGTTAATAACAGTTTATTAATTCTATTTAATGGAATATTGAAGTTGATGAAAATAAATATTCACCTTCTAAATCTATTTCTTCATCTTGATCACCACCCAAATCTTCTAAAATAATTCCTGTAACTGTCTCATTGGCTTTAAGGAACACATGTGCTTGTAAATTAGGATATATGACTAATTTGTTAAGGTCAAAACTTTGCATATTACCTGGCACATGATCTAATGCTGCTTCTTTTAAATGACTTTCCATGTTAATCAAATATTCCTGAGCATACTTGTATTCGGAGGGAGTCAGGTAATTTGTTCCAGATTCCAGCCTTTGTTTTTCATCATTCAATATGGAAATGCAATATTTTTCAATTTTATCCAACCTTGTTTTCAAATAATTGCAAATTATAAACTTAATTCTATTCAGTTCCATTTTGTGTATAGAAGCACGAAGATCAGTTTTAGGCAGTTTGTTTATATTTCTTTCCATATGCTGTATTTGTCCTAGCATACACTCGACCATTTCATTTTGATGTGGAAGTATTTCTGGTGCCAAACGTTCATTTTGCCAAGCATTTTGAAGTGTTCTCAGTACTGTTTGAGCTGTAATTTCTTCTTCATCGTCGCTTAGTTCGATGTTATCATATTCCATGTTTTGTTATATTTAAAACATTCTATTAATTGTTTTACTTATCACCGCCAACATATAGATCACAAGAAAATAAATAAAGTAAACAAAATTATCATAAAAACAACCTATAAGTTTGAATTTGAAAGGTATCTTCCTTTGTCACCTCATCTGTCATCTGTCACTTTCAAACTTAAAAACAATTCATGCCAAAGTGCCAAATGATCAGTGCTACCATCTTTAATATGCCCGTCCATTACCATCGTTACCACATTTAAACTCATTATTCTTTTCAAAGACCTATTGTCTATTTCTAAAATGTTATAGTCAATATCAAATTTTGATATTTCAAAGCTATCCTATTTATACAATTACAGGATTTAAAGTTTAATCAAAACTACTTTGTCAATCGATACCCCTCGCATTTTGTCTCCAGTGCCATTGTATTGATATGATCTTGCCTGCACTACTTATTACTAAGCCAATTCCTAATGGTTAATTAATATGACTAACAGGTCTTTTTAAAGGCTGAGCAAAACAAAAATTTCGAGGTTGTTCATATTGTACTTAGCAGCGAGCAAAATAATTAACCATGAGGCTCCAGTACAAAACACAATAGCTGAGATATCAAAATGTTTGTTAAAGCTTCCTGTCGAATTCCAGTTTTGATTTAATTTCAATTTGATTGGAATAGATCCTAAGAAGGGATAATCCCACCTAAATGCTGTGTCGCCCTAATTATTATCCACCGCCTTATTTTCGTCCCCTTTCCCTTCTCAGTCTTTTCTTATAAGGAAAGGATGGGTAGGGGAAGAAAACTTCCTCTTCGTTGATTGAAGATAGTCAACGTATCGGTATTTGCGAATCCTCATGGGCAGTGGTCGCTTTGCTATTTCCGCGATTTCGGTGGCACTTGCTCGTTTGCCACCTTATAAAAAAATCTCAGACCTGGTCCATAATGTAATAGTATATCATATGGTCCACGGTGCAAACGTAACATAGCAGGTAACATCGCCATCACATTAACGTTTCTGACTGAAAACAACTCACAGCGATGCACTATTGGGATCATGTCAAATATAACCTCAACCTTTGCAAACCCCTTGAGGATTTAGTCTTTACAGCTACAGCACACCTTTACGATAGTAACGTATTAAATCAAGTAATAAATTTATTGTTATAGTAGCAATCTATATTTCTATAATATATTTGTTGACAACTTCATGTAGTTAAGAGTAACTAGTGGGATTAATTTTATTATATCAAATGTTAATAAGATACACTCGCCAGACAAATAGTTGATTCTGAATTCCTTTAAGGATACCTCTAGCTATCGGCGGACTTTTAAACTGCCGTATAAAATAAAATGTTAACGTTTGTTTAAAATGTCTGTAGTTTATGTGGTTATTTGTTAGAAATATTTCTTACGTTATAAGTTAATTGTCTTGGAATTCGAACTTGTAAGGAATTACGCTTAGAAATTTAAAGAAGTACATGTTAAGCTAATTTACATCCACATACCATTGGATTGTCTTACGTTTCATTCTTCAACTGTTCCAGAGAATGAAGAGACCTCCAGACAAGAGGTTTGGAACTAGGTAGCGGATAGGAGGAGCAATGATTATAAAAACAGTTTGTGGCCATGGTGTTTAAATTATTCAATTGTAAGTCTCTAATATTTAGTTTAGTTTTTTTTTATATGATAAAAGTAGGTGTGTAAAGTATACGTATTAGGTAAGTATGCACCCATTGTGTAAATTTGATTCCGACGAACAAAGGAAAAACTGTTTTACTTTTACAACTTTCAAAAAGCTGATTTTTAGGTTCGCTTTTAAAGTACCGGTTCAAAAACATTTAGGATACATATAATAATTATTGGGAAGAAATAATACGTTATAATTTTATGCAGGTATAGAACAATTCAATGCCTAAAATTCAGTCTACTAAAAGTTCAAACAATTGAAACATTCCTATCTTCCAAAATATCGTTTAGTAATTCGTGAACTACTGTAATTCGTATTAAGTAATTTCAAATCTTTATTATTATTCCACAAGCCTGGTTCTTATGGTTCCCTAATTAAAGCCAACATTTCTACTATACTTTTTAAGTAAATGGTCGAAAACGAGCAAAAGGCCACGATAATTCGACAAAGTAGCGAAGCGACTGATGCTCATAAACTTCTTAATAGGCTGAGAAAAAGGATATTTCAAAAAAGCTCATATATTTAACTAAGTTACTTGAAAATATTTAATTTCATTTATTGAATAAAAACAATCTTGTTTAGGTCCTTAATTCCTTCGTGTTGGAAGAAAGCATATCAAATCGGCTAAACGCATGCAGTGTGTGCACAAATCAGTAAAATTAAATTGGAAGCCACATATATGTGGTATGCATTAAGCTCTGCTTTGAACTATTCATCATACAAGATTTATACACTAAAAGTATCTATCGCGTGTCATATAAGTGCCTTATTAAAACAGCTGGTAGTGTTAATCTGTCTATTATCAATGCTTACTCAATGCTTGCTCTGCCATTTTACAATACTTCATTGTATGTACGCGGACATGAAGCCTATGACATGTTTCTATTAAATTATTCTTCGAATTTACATATTCCAGTGCTCATTGTAAGAAAGTCTACCGAAATTCGTTATGAAATGAATTATTTATTATTTTGAATTAAAAATAACTTTTTGCCCTTATCTACGATCACATTAACAATGTCCAATTTCACGTTCATCTAACAAACTATACTAAACTGAGTATCGGTTCTTCCAGACTACATTCTATTACTGTGCCAAATTTCATACACATCCGTTGAGATGTTCCGTAGATATCTTCAAACATCCATCTATCCATCCATCCATCTAAACATTCGCATTTAGTAAGGTTAGTAAGATTTGACATTTTTCGAGCGACCCCAATAAATGCATGGCCAGGACAAGGTGATGTCTAATTTTATAAGTAGAAAATATTTGATTTGGATAACTCATATTTCTTGCCGGAGCATAGATAACACATGTAAAGGGTCTTCAGAAACTTTTAAAAGGCAAGACTATTTGAGATGTTCCGTGAAAGATATAGCCTAAATCCATGTACCTTTGATTGCAGGCGTTTTTTTTTGTGAGGGGGGGGATTCTTCCAAAGATACCCTGCTTTCAGGGGAAGACAGGATTATGTGGAATTTGTTTCATCAAAACATCTTCGGTGGTAAAAATCAAGTGCAATATGATTCCGAGTTCTCCAAGGAGAACATGATTACAGATCTAACTCCTGAAAAGAAGAATTAGTTACCATCAAGATTCTTATAATATATACGCTATAATTGCATTTCCTAGCATACCTATCATAGCATACATAAGTATAGAATAATCCACTTAGGGTTGATATTTTTGTACTCAATACCGACTTAGTGGGCTCCTAAGACATAACGACATTAGCCTTTTACTTACTAGAATACAGGGAGGTACTTATTTATTTATGTCTTTTATACGAATAAAAAGACTTCAGGTTATCTTTTGTTAAATGATCACCCCCTCCAATTTGAATATTCATAAATACGGAGCAACACCAAATACGTTGACTTTAAAGGAGTATATATTTTTTTATTTTTAGGGTTCCGTACCTCGAAAGGAAAAAAGGAACCCTTATAGAACCATTTTGTTGTCCGTCCGTCTGTCTGTCGAGACCCTTTTTTGTCTACTAACCAACAAGACATGACCAACGAGTAACGATCAACAAGAGTTATTATTTAATTCATCAAGATTAGTCTTAGTGAGAGTTTAATGCGCAATATATGAATTTCAAATTGAATAGACTAAATACTTTTTTTCAGCTGCCAAGCCCATACAAGCGAACAAATTAGTTCAATTCCATGAATATAAATATATTCAGAGATTAATATAAAATGGGGTACAACAACGCTCCACATTCAAGGACAAGCAAGAAACGGCAACAATACGCGACGTTTGAAAATAAACAGAAGAGCTGCTATATAAATAATAGGCTGGTAAGCAAGGAAGCTTTACTTTTAAAATTTGTGATGAGAGTATTTCTATATGTTTCATATTTTATTATTATTGGGTATTTGAAGAAAATAAGTTTTTATTGGCTAAAAGAAAGAACGAAACGCAGATGTACAGCCGGCCCTGTGTAAAAGTTATGTCTTGAGTATTTACTTCTTAGTCGTTATCTTATTATGAATATCGATTTTCAGTGACCACATTATGCACCTCTTCGCAAGGAGTATAAAAGGGGTATGCGAAAGATCTGAAGACGAGTAGCCTCCGCAACACAGCCACGGCGTCCAGCCGGAGATAGGTTTATAGCACACTAAAGACTGGAGTAGTTCGTATAACGATTTTCTTCAGTATTTTTGTTATTAACCATCTCAGGCTAACATTCCCTTTCCTTTTTGTAAGTCTACTACTGTCTAGAGAATTCAATAATCTTTTCATTAAGCAGTTCTCATACATTATCGATTAAAAAAATACCATATTATTTTATTATTGTATAAACCATTTGTTTCCTTTGCTAATGTATTTTTTTGCTCAACAGACTTTATCACATTCGTAAAACAATGGCAATTGCAAACCTCGAGCCAGGGATGGGAGCGTCAGAAGCCTGGGGCGGCCAGGCGGCGGCCTTTGGCTCCAACCAAACCGTCGTCGACAAGGTCACCCCTGATATGATGCACCTCATTGACCCACACTGGTAAGTTGCCTTAGAATTCAAGAAAATACAGTTAATATCACCGTAAGAGTTGGTAACCGCAGTAGCAGGTTATAAATACGCACGGTACGGCAAAACATTCCTGTTTGTACATCTTTAATGACGTTCTAAAATATCTAAGAACAACTTGAAAGTACGCTGTCCTGTGTTCCAAAACCAATTATTTGTCGTATTACTGATCCATTCTTAATGTTTTTAAATAATTTCTATGTCTGTCATATTTTTGATAAAATGACTAGCAAATGAAAATGCCAAAGACTTTATGTGTTATAGGATGCAATTGTGAAATGATCTTTCTCATTCCAGGTACCAATTCCCACCCATGAATCCCATGTGGCATGGTTTACTGGGATTCACGATCGGCGTCTTAGGCTTCATATCGATCACCGGTAACGGAATGGTCGTTTACATTTTCACATCCACAAAGGTACTTTATTTAACATTAGGACCTATTGGATGATTCAGGACAATATACAGGTTTTTATGAGACGAATGCTATTTTACAGAGTCTCAAAACACCTTCAAACTTGCTCGTGGTAAATCTGGCTTTCTCCGACTTTCTGATGATGCTGTGCATGGCTCCTCCGATGCTCATTAATTGTTATTATGAAACATGGGTCTTTGGTCAGTATAGTACTTTTAATTGTGTCTAATAATAAACGTTTTACAGCTTTATATTAATACAAAAATGTTTTAAATCACAGGTCCTTTAGCTTGCGAACTTTACGCTTGCGCCGGGTCTCTATTCGGTTCGATATCGATTTGGACCATGACCATGATTGCCTTCGACCGATACAACGTAATTGTAAAGGGTATCGCTGCAAAACCTATGACAATCAATGGAGCACTGCTACGAATCCTCGGAATTTGGCTGTTCTCTCTCGCCTGGACTATTGCTCCCATGTTGGGCTGGAATAGGTAATGAAGACTTTTCTCTATCACATAGCTTGTTATATAAATAAGCAGTTATAACCGTGGGTTTGGTGTGCAGGTACGTGCCCGAGGGTAACATGACCGCTTGCGGAACCGACTACCTCAGCAAGAGCTGGCTCAGCCGCAGCTACATCCTCGTCTACTCCATCTTTGTTTACTACACGCCTCTGTTACTCATCATCTACTCGTACTTCTTCATTGTTCAGGTACGTACACTATTATTAGCAGTATAACAATTCAAATTTTAGTTTGAAACATTGGAAATCACTACTAATATGATGATATTGTTTAGGCTGTGGCAGCTCACGAGAAGGCAATGAGGGAGCAAGCTAAGAAAATGAACGTGGCCTCTCTGCGATCCTCCGAAGCCGCCAACACAAGTGCTGAATGCAAATTGGCTAAGGTATACTGTTTTATTTTTTTAATAAATTTTATACTTTTATAAATGTCTTCTAAACTACACGTGCCGTTTTTGTTTAGGTGGCACTTATGACCATTTCACTATGGTTCATGGCGTGGACACCATATCTGGTAATCAACTACACCGGAGTGTTCGAAACTGCACCGATCAGCCCTCTGGCCACTATTTGGGGCTCGGTGTTCGCGAAGGCCAACGCTGTCTACAACCCGATTGTGTATGGCATCAGGTAAGAGAACGAAAAATAGTCAAAGACAGATGATTGCGAACTTCAATTATTTAAATCACACTTCTTTTAACATTTCAGCCATCCTAAATATCGCGCTGCTCTCTACCAGAAATTCCCATCGCTAGCGTGCCAACCATCAGCGGAGGAAACTGGATCTGTGGCCTCTGGAGCTACGACCGCCTGTGAAGAGAAACCCTCCGCGTGAGCCTCGCCCTAACAAATGGACAGAAAACACAACGACGACCGACCCGCTGCTGCCCTAAGGATCTGATACTGCTACAAAAAAACGTTATTTATTATTTTTATACAACGAGATTTATAACTGTACAAAGTGGATAACTTAAACACGCCGCGAGCTGATCGAAAAATATACAGGATGTTTCAGTAACATTTACTTAAAACGACCAGTTTAAAGTCTGCATCATTTTGAGTTCATGCTCGATGCGGCTAGTTCAATGTTGCACACATTTGGTATATTTTTGTTTGTATGCATCGGCTGGCGACATAAAATACTAAAAAAAAAATATTAATCAAAATTACATTTCGTCAGCTACTCCGGTAACCTAAGAGACTGCTCCTTTTAGTTGATAAGCAAGACGATAACTATGATGAAACAAGCTGTGTACCTCGGACAAAATGAAAATAATAAACAGCACGATGGTGACAAAACATCAATATTGCTTTTAATTTTCCTTATCATAATATCTTAATCTATCATTATTAACATAATACACTCTACATTTGGACTTGAAAACTTGGATGCAATATAGAGTTCAACAGTTAAATAAATTATTTCCATTTTAAATGAGTGGAGATAGTAGTAAAAAGTAGTGGTCTTCACTAGGGATAATAATCTTCAAAACATCAAACAAAATAGTCTTCATTTAAAAACTTACCTTTTTACCGATTTCCTTCACCGGCCATTTCCCTTAACATTTGAAACAGAGAAATTGAAATTCTTATAACAACAGTATACAGTTACTTCCATGGTCCTTAGCTTTAATGAACAACTCGAAAAATGGTGAAAATAATTTTGACAAACAGCTTTTAAAAGTTAATATTTATAGATAAATCTACATAGAGTAAAACATAATCAAATATAGTATCAGTTAAAACTACTTTGAATCTACAATATACTATGAATATTTTTCGTGAGAGAGAAGGTATTTATATAAATGTTAAGTTGATTGGATAAAAGATAAACCATAATGTTATATTATTTAAATATGACTCCCAATATTTTACAATAGTTTTTAACTTTACACAAATCATTACTAATAAAATATTATAAATGCGAATGTTTAGGTGGATGGATGGATGGATGTTTGATCTCGATTAAATTTGATACACACATAGAACATAGTCTGGAAGAGCACAAAGGCTACTAATAAATTTATTTACTACTAAATATGTTTTTTTTTTATTCCGCGAGGACGGAGTCGCGAGTTGAGAGACAGCTAGTAGTTAATTAATAGAATTTAATTTACTTTAAAAAATACATCTATGGTTATATTTTTCACCTAAACACAGTATTGGGTTAAGTTAGGTAGTTATAAATAACCTGCGGCTTATATCAACCGAATTGTTTCAAAATATTATATAGGACTGTTTCTAAAAAAACTTAATTAGTGTAGCCAATGTGTTCTTTCAGACTATGTTCTATACGTATGCCAAATTTAATCGAGATCCGTTCAGCCGTCCATCCATCTAAACATTCGCATTTATAATATTAGTAAGTTAAATTACAGGCAGAAATTCGAGAAAAAAAAATGAATAAATAGTATCCTTTGTCCGTCTCCTGACTCCTACCTCCTACCAATTTTCAGCCATATCGGTAACGCCGTTCTTGAGTTATAAATAGTGTAACTAACACGACTTTCTTATATATATATCTGTATTAAATATCTCTCCGAATAATAAATGTCATTTGAATACAACACAAAACGGGGTAATGCCGCCAGCCTCTTGGGAACCCTACCGTGCGACCGCAGCGATTTGGGGTCGATTTTTTATATTATTTAGTTTTATTTTTAGTTTGGTTTAGTTTTAGTATATAGTTTATAGTATTATTTTGGTAGTTTAATTAATTAGTTTTATTAAATAATTTTAAATTGATTTATTTATACAACACATATCTAATTATAAATATCGATTTCTAGCTGCGATAATGTGCAACTCTCAGCACTCACCGATGACTATAAAAGCATTCCGCGTCGGAGCTGATGCCGAGTAGCCTCCGCAACACAGCCACGGCGTCCAGCCGGAGATAGGTTTATAGCACACTAAAGACTGGAGTAGTTCGTATCACGATTTTCTTCAGTATTTTTGTTATTAACCATCACAGGCTAACATTCCCTTTCCTTTTTTGTAAGTTATTTACAATTATTTTTCTTTGTTTTTCATCATTTCCTTATCCATAATTTACTAGAGTCGAAATATTCTTCAGTCCTCCTTGCATAGTGACTTTTTCTTACCTTCTTATGTCTATTTTCCTTTATATTTATTAATACTTTTCTTAAACATTTTGTCCAGATCCATAATCATTATTACTGTAATTCAAAAATGACGGTGACATATCCCGACCCTGGTGTGGGAGTAACGACATTGGAGATGTCGGGCGCACAGAATTTTGGTTCCAACCAAACCGTAGCCGACAAAGTCACCGCTGACATGATTCATCTTGTCGACCCTCACTGGTGAGTATTTATGAGCTATATCACGTAACATTCTCCAGTTGGATCCAAATATCTGTACATCTAAGCAGTGTCCTAGACAAAGATTGAATACTTTTTTCAAGTAGTTATTTTTTTAAAAGCTCTCAGAAATCTTGATATCGATTCTCTTGAGAATATAAAAAAATACTTCAAGAATCGTAGCAATGCAACAATTTTTATTTTTATAGGTACCAATTTCCACCTATGGATCCCTTGTGGCACAGTTTACTGGGATTAACGATCGGTATCTTAGGCATTGTTTCTATAATCGGTAATGGAATGGTCGTGTACATTTTCACAACTACAAAGGTATTGTCTACTATGCATTTATTGTTTGTAAAAATGCATCATGTTCTCAGTAAATCTGTACGCGTGTAATTTCCAGAGTCTCAAAACCCCCTCTAACTTGCTTGTGGTAAATCTGGCTGTCTCCGATTTGTTGATGATGATAGCGATGTCTCCAGCTATGGTGATTAGCTGTTATTACGAAACATGGGTTTTTGGTTAGTATAAAGCAAAACTATATCACTTTCAATCAATTAAAGATTGTGATTAATTCATTGAAATTATTACAGGACCATTCGGTTGTGAACTATACGCAAGCACAGGTTCTATTTTCGGATTCGCATCCATTTGGACTATGACTATGATTGCTTTCGACCGGTATAACGTTATCGTAAATGGAATCGCAGCAAAACCAATGACTACCAATGGGGCACTATTACGTATCTGTGTGATTTGGGTATGCGCTGTCATATGGTCACTTGCACCCTTCTTTGGCTGGAATAGGTAAACGTAACTTTCATCTAGCTCTTAATAACTCGTTATATCAATGAACAATTAAAATATTAATTATTTTGGACAGATACGTACCCGAGGGCAACATGACTGCGTGCGGACTGGACTACCTCACCAAGAACTGGTTTAGCCGTAGTTACATCCTTACCTACTCCTTCTGTGTTTATTATACGCCTCTATTACTAATTATCTATTCCTATTACTACATCGTTAAGGTAGGAATTGTTTAGTGCGATAATTAAAATTATACTAATAATTTTCTAATTAATTAAATAATTTTCTACAGACTTAATACGCTTCGACTCCTTCAAAAACATTGATTGGCTTAATTTTTGCCTTTTTAGGCCGTGGCAGCTCACGAAAAGACAATGAGGCAGCAAGCCAAAAAGATGAACGTGGCCTCACTGCGATCAGTGGATGACACCAACACAAGTGCAGAATGCAAATTAGCTAAGGTTTATTTTACGTTTTTTTGTTACTCTACTAGTCGTGATGCTTGTATAGAAAAGGTTAATATTTCAGGTGGCACTAATGACCATTTCGCTTTGGTTCATGGCGTGGACTCCGTACACAGTCATTAATTATACGGGAGTTTTCGAAACTGCATCTATCAGTCCTCTAGCTACTATTTGGGGTTCCGTTTTCGCAAAGGCCAACGCGGTTTACAATCCAATTGTTTATGGTATTAGGTAAGAGATACGGAAGAGAAATTCCTTGAACACTTAAGTAGTGTTGTCAAGCAAGGATTATAGCTTAATCTTTTTGTAATATTTCAGCCATCCAAAATATCGAGCTGCCCTCTACCAGAAGTTCCCGTCATTGTCGTGCCAGCCATCGGCAGAGGAAGTCGCATCTGTGGTCTCAGGAGTAACCACATGCTGTGATGAAAAACCATCTGCGTGAGCCTCCAAAGGACCGATAACCAAAGACGACCGACACGCTGTGACTTCGTGGATCCGATTCTGCTACAGAAAAACTATATTTATTTTTATAAAAGAACAATAACTAGTATATAAAGTGAAATGTGAAATCTTCAACACGATGCGAGCTAGCTGCATAATATACAAGATTTCTAATGCACTCTAGGTTTTAATACCTTATTTTGAGTTTGAGTTCGATGCGACAAGTTGAAGATTTCCATGCTTTTGATACTGTTTCTGTTTGTATGCATGCTGAAGAAAAAAACAAAAAAAATGCAAAGTAACCGACCAAGTGAAGCAAAGAAATCCTTTTAGTTTATAAGTGAGACGACAACCACGACGAAACTGACTGTATACCCGGAAACATAGAAATAATAAACTGCATTCTGATGATTAAGCATCACAAATGTTTTTTTTAATTTTCCACCTAAATTTCATTTACAAGATAGATTTCGCATAGCTTATTTTTTGCTTCAATGTAACATTATGTCTTCTGTTAAATTTCAAATTTTACAATATACTTATGTGAAAAGGGTAAAATCATACATATATAACGTCTACTAGCCTAATAGGATGTAAGACATAAAAATATATAAAATAAAAAGGAAAGATTAATTAAAGAAATAAAAAAACGTCCTATTATCGACGGTTTTAGCAGCGCTACCGTTTTGGTTACTAGGCAACCATAACATAAACAAAAAACATTGCTTTTGTACTTCTAGTTTTTCTTAATGCTATTAGATAAGGTAGTCCTATAAAATGGTTAGATTTTACTAAACAAAATTAAAATGGCTTGTAAAACATCGTACGAGCTTCATCACAATTTTCCCAAGCTCGCTGAAGAGTCCGGCTTCACATTTAGCACACATAAACCTCGCGTACACATCGAATGGAACAAAATTCGTAAGAACCAAGCGTTTTTAAAATTATTAGACAAAAATTTATATCAAACTTTGCACTTATATAATTTTTTTGTTATTGTTTTCGTTTCAGGATTAATCGATATAGAAAGTTTGATGCGAGATAGAAAATTTGTACAAATCGAACAACATATCAATGATGTAAGAATATTAATTTTAATTTAAAACAACAAGACAATTTACGAATTATCTTACAACTTGAATTAAATTTTCTTCTGTACTAATATCATTTTTTGTTTAGATTTTGGACTGCGTTCTGGAATCAGAGTTTGATGTGCGCATTCTGGATGAAGGGGTTCTAAAGATATTCCGGCTAGCACAGTTAGCTGTAGAATATCAACAATTTTGTCGTCATTACCTCGACAGGAGTGTCTACGTTTTGCGCGAAGAAATCACTGGTTTAGCTCAGGTATGATTGTTGCATTATTAAAATGTTTAAGTAAATTCTTTTCCATCAAAAAAAACACAAATATTAAGTACGTTTGATAAAGGTCATGTTAAAAATCTGTTTTAGGAACTTGAGTATGCGAAAAAAACAATACGTGAAAAAGACGATGAAATAAGAAAGCTAAAACGTAAAACGAAATATAATATTCGAACTCCACTTCCTTATGGTAATGATAATATCGCTAATATGATTTTACAAACACTAGCTAATAAAAGTGATATATTTCCATCCTCAAATCAAATAGACAATGTGCATTATAATAAATGCAGTTATTGCGATAAAGTTTTTATGAATCATTTATATTTAAAAAGTCATATTTCACGGCGACATAGTAATGTAGTAGAAATACCTCAAAAAGATTTACCTCGTAATGAAAACATTCAAATTGATAACGAACAATCAAAACTACAAAATGAAGTTATTGAACTGAAATCAAAGTTGCAAGAAATGGAAGTTCTTTTAAAAGTCAGTAATGACCAAAGCAATCGCGAATCAAATACAGTAACAAAAGAAAATACCAAAGAAACAACTGGAAACTGCTCAAACAATCAAGCATTAAAAATTAATGAGAGTAATATTAAAAGTCCACAGAAACAGATGAAAGATGTTGAGGTATCTACAAACAGCGAAGTTTACATATTAGATAAAATAGAAGAATGGAAAAGGGAAGAATTTGAAAAATACAACAAAGAAATAGGTCTACTCCGGACACAAATTTCTAACATCTTAGATTATAATAAAGATATAGTTAAAACAAACTCAGTGCCAAACGATAATAAAATAATGGAACAACTTCAAGAAACGATAAAACAGCAAAGCGCAGAAATAGCCTCGTTGAAAGATGAGTTGACAAATTCGGTGAGTACTTTGAGATTTTAATCCCTTCTAAAAATTAAATTGGTCTTCATTGTGTTATACCCCAAGTCTCTCCGTGTTATATTTCATAAAAATGTTTTAAAATTAGTTCAATATAATTAATTACTTGAAAGGTAAGCGCACATTTGTACATTAATCAAAAGTAAGCTTTTACTTAAGATTAACCTTATCTATATTACCGACCGAATTTTAGCGATTAAAATCAAAAAATGATGAGTTAGAGAGAAAAAAAGAAATTGACGCACAAATCGCACTTTGGGCTGAAAGGACTGAAGCCCAATCTAAAGAATATAAGCTATTGCTACAAAAATTAGATATAGTAGCTAAAGAAGCCAAGGAATCGCGTGAGCTAGCCGAGTTAGAAAAACAGCGAGCTGTTAAATTACAACATCTTTTAGAACAAAATAGTAACAAGGTAGAAAATTGTGTGGAAATAGCTGTAATTCACAAAGAAAATGACATAAAAACTGAAGTGAGTATACAACAACATCTGGTTTGAACTAAATATAAATTAAACACATATAATATAATATTATTTTACATACTTTTCAGAATAGGCAGAATAGAAATAACATCAATGAAAATTTAGCAAAACATGCTGCAACCGTTGAATCTCCTAAAAAGTCGACTCCAATGCCTGACCGTAAAACACTGGAGAAATTACATCGTAAGGCGCAAGAACTGCTGAATCAGTCGATAACGTCTTCTGATGTGTCCAGCACAAGTGATAGTAACAATCGTGTGCCCATTGAAAAACGAAATGTAAGAAAAACACTAACGAATCACAAAAAGAGAACTAACGAAGATATCTTTGAAAATGGTAAACACCAAATTCATAACAAAGACAGAACCAATACGAAAAAAGCTAGAGAAAATAGATTAGAAACACACAAAAACATTCAGAGCCCAGAAATTAAGAAAAATAAACCTCCGACGAAAAAGGATACCGTACCTTTAACCAAAAGTGGAAGGTAAGCGTAATACATAAAGTTTTAAAATGGAAATTTAATCTAATTTAAGATAATGCGAAAGCAAAAAACACAAATCTAAGCATTGTAATTTTTATAAGCTTTCGATTTTTAGCCCAATAAAAGTTATAAGAGCAAAATTAACAGAAGAAGTAAATCAGCGCCTAGTGTCGCTCGGTGTCGATCCGTTAAGGAAAAGGTTACCTAGAGATATTTTCAATAAACAAAGACTACAACTACAAGAAAACAACGAAATAAAATCAAAGGTAGGAATAATTATCTTATAAAAATTGTTCTTAATTATTTTTGTTGAATTTTATTCAATCCAAAATAACTGTTATATTATTTTTTTTTAGAAAAATCCTGCACGTGAAAAAATTAATCACTACATTATGTCTTATTTGGATAAGAAAGCTACAATCACGAAAAAAAAGACTTTACAAGAAGATGACTATTTTTCTCCAAATAAATCTTCAAAACCATTTAGCTTAACTTCTGTAATATCAAATGTAAAATCGAAAGCATTGTCTTTAGTAAAAACAAATGATGGATTAAGGAAGGAAGAAAAAACTCCATACGATAGTGTTACAAGAAAAGCTCTATCTTTACTTAAAACTCCACCAGGATCTACAGCAACAAGCCCGAAAATTAACAAACAAAATTTGGATAATCAAATACATGACATGAAAAAATCAATAAAAATTATCGAAGAGAAAGAAAAGCCTCATAAACTAACAAATAGTTTTGTTGACAAAAACTCCGAAAGTAGCGAAGAATCTGAGTCAAACCCAACAAACATATCAGACGAAAAACCGAACCAAAACTTTAAATCACCAAATCGACGCCCTGCTATTAGTGGTATTGTCCATGATTATAATATGCAAGGGAAAAGCGGCGACACAAGGACAATGGACAATGCTAAACATATTACAAATGCATTTGAAAAGACAGATTCAAATAAACAAAAGCGTTATTTGAAAATTCACAGTAGCGATAACAGCAGCGATGATAATATAGCTTCCATCACAGAACACGGATTAAGAAATGCCATTTCTGATGAAAATGTAAACGATCAAAAGCAAACCAAAGGTGTACTAAAAAGTGCTTCCTCCATGTCTTCCTTGTATAAGAAAAAAGTATTATTTGATATGGATGCTATACAAATGAAATCTGTCAGTGCATCGCCCTCGCAGAGTATTACTGAAAAAAGTGATAAAAATGAAAAAACTGAATTAGGAATCATAAATCTTGATACTGAAGAATGGGATTTATCGAGGTATGGCTTAATTTCCAAGTATTGGTCTACATTAGTGAATAAATTTATTTATTTAAGTATGCAAAATATATAATTGAATTTGATTTTTTACAGCATAGAAAATGAGCCGTTAAAAGAGAGAACAATAAAACTCAGCACGCGTACGAGTCCAAAAATAGCGGAGTTAAAGCAAAGTATTGAATCACAACTAACTCGACGTAATCCAACTCTTTCAACTGCTTTAGTAGGAGGAGTGGATGTTCTACAGGGCCCGACGATGACAAAAGCCGCAAGCCTCGGCAGCAACACGAGCCTGGGTAGTTCCATTCTTGACGACTCAGAGTTTGTTGTACATCAAAATCATACAGCCTTTGTAAAGCCAAAAAAGTTAACAGATAAAGATGATAGTGAAATTGATATTTCAGAGGTTGTAGACGATATTATTGATAATAAGCATAAATCCTTTAAAAAATAAATTAAGGAATTACTTTGAACAATGAAACGTAATTCTATTATTCAGTACACACTCCCATATTCGCAATGGCGATATTACCCAAAACATACATAAACAATTCAAAATGTCACTGTTGGATTATAAACATCCAAGGTTTGTAAATTGCCAAGGGAAAATTACGGTAAATCAGATATTGCAGAACCTCAACTTGCAACCAAATGGCACTCATGTAGTGCCGAGAAATATTCTTTACAGTTTAACTTAGCAAACTACAAAGGTGCAGGATTCATGATGTACATATTTAGGTTGGTAACATAACATCGTGAACTAAGGAATGTGATCATTTGCCTGTTTGGACAAAGGTTATGAGCCATATTTCTCTTAATGACAAAATATTCCATATGAATTAACAATAATCATTTCAGGGATCAGTCACATAAGATTTACAAAGGGTGGAGAAAGGGAACTAATAATAGTTAATTGAAAGATGCAATGATTTTCAAAAATTTATTTAGTGTATAAAGACATTTTACGTCTCCTTCTTTGTGTCGGTCTTGCCACCACGGATTCTTCCGGTCCTGCGCGCAGCGATCAGACCGACCTTGCGACCAGCTGATGTTCCTCTCTTTACAGTGGAAGCCTTACCTGCAAACAAAAAGATACATTAAACAATGAGTTTTAAAGACATTAATTTAATCAAAATTTTATGGAGTGCATGCAACATGCATACATAACAACATAATAATACAGAAACATTAGTTGTTTTTTTAAACAAAACATGTCATGTTTTTACATTGGGTAAGTCTCATTTTAGACAAATTTTATCCTCACTATCATTATTTTATACCATGACTCTGTTCATCAGGTATTAGAAAAAAGCCTGTGTTCTTAAAAACTGTTCAACATCTATGACAAATTCTAGCAACATCAGTTAAGCCATTCTGGAGATATGTAATAACAAACATCCATCTATCTATCAAAACTTTCACATTTATAGGATTATAATTTTTAGATTGAGAAACTTACCAATATGTTGGTGGTTACCACCACCGTGAGGATGCTCCACAGGGTTCATGCTCACACCTCGTACATATGGCCAGCAGTTACGCTTAACCTTATATTTGTGGTATGCACGACCTGCCTTCAGGATAGGTTTGTCAATACGTCCACCTCCCGCAACAATACCTGACAACAGTATATTACTATGTAACATTTGTTTTAAATTATAATTAATTTTTTGTACAAATATTTGCATCAGAAAGAGCCTCTGTGTAATCATAACCATTCAGAGTAGGTAAGTGAAAGTCATCATGTAAAATTACTTTGCAAGCTAATAAAAAAATCTATTTTTTTGTAAATTATAACAACATAGTTGATTTTTTTAATTTATAATAACTTACCAACCATGCCCCTGTTGCTTGAGGGTAGGACTTTCTTTGCACCAGATGGAAGCTTAACTCTAGTACGCTTGGCATCGGGGTTGTGGCCAATAACAGTGGCAAAGTTGCCTGAAGCACGAGCAAGCCGACCTCGGTCACCCATCTTCTCTTCCAGGTTGCACACAATTGTACCCTCAGGCATGGATCCAACAGGCATTACATTTCCTGGAAAATGACAAATTTTATGTGTCAAAATTGCAGTTTTTGTGGTCCGGAGGATATTAAAATCCCTAAGGACCACTTCCTAGTGGAAACATTTGAAATTTTCACTGTTTTAAAAACTTATGATTTATTTATTAAACTTGATAGTTCACTAAATACACCTTTAACACCACTTTAGTCAGTCAGTGCCGCAGCACAACATTTAAAATTTATAGTCTAAGCACAGCCTACATGATCATTTTAATTGTGAATTGTGGTGTGATTTATTTAAAATCCAGACATACAGACATTTCAAATAATAAACTTCAATCAATTTTGGAATGCTATCAATTCCATATAGTAAAGTAAATAAATAAAGAGCCTGTTTTTATCTGTAATGATCAGTCTAAAGTTTTTCGTAAAGAATAACAATATTACGCACCAACTTCCAGGGTAGCTTTTTTCCCGCAGTACAGAAATTGGCCGGTGTAGAGACCCTCGGGTGCGATAAAAAGTTCTTTGCGAGTCTTGAACTTGTAAGGGTCTCTAAAATGAACTACAGCCAGAGGTGCACCTCTTCCGGGATCATGGATGATGTCCTAAGCATAAAATAACAATATTATAACAAATAGAGAAGTATACAAATGTAAGTGGGTATAACCTTAGTGTGACTATTTACCTTAACAACGCCTTTGATGTAACCATGACGTTCGGCATAATCTAGGGAGCGAAGTTTGGGAGCTCCTTTCCTTTTCTTCGTATGTGATACGAAGACTGAACCGGCACCTTTACGTTGAGCACGAATCACACGACCCATTTTTAGGCACTGTCAGCCCTCACTAGAACAATAAAAATCTTCAAATAAACGTGAACCTAACATTTTTAAACTTAATTAATGTATTTCCTAAGATTTCTATAAGGAAATTAATAAAAAAACTATATGATCAAGATGGATATAAAATACGATGCAATATTTACGTACGTTTACTTTGAGGGACACTTTTGAAAGAATTGTTCAAAGAGTATATAGAGGAATTGTCTAAAGAAGAACCACAGACAACATATCATGTGCAGATTATAACATAAGTTCACAGATTATGTTACTGCGAATAAACTAGCGCCTAACTACAATCCCATAGCCCATCTAATCAAAATATTGTTAAATAAACAGAAATCGATATAAATAGGTAGTAAAACCTTTTATTACAGAATTCAAAAGTACTCCTGATTTAAGTATGGTTCCTCTACACTTGTTCGTAATTTCGACTTACTACCGTTCTATGTTATTTTCTTCAAAGACGATTATGGTAACATTGACAAACGACAAAATGACAGTGACAGTTGGAATTTGACGTTCAAAACATACTATACTCTATAGTATACTTACTATATTCTTTGGTTCAAAAGCAAATGCCAAAGAGTACGAGGTACGTTTTGTCAAAATGTTCCTCGGTGTTCTTGAGACAAAGTTTGAATTTGTTTGTACAAGTAACGTAACTTATATAGTTTTGGAACAATTTCATCCGTGAAAACTAAATACGAGAAAGTTTTCGAGGATTTTATAAATAGAGAGCTTAAGAAATAGAGTCTTTTTGCTTTTTCATATAGTTAATATTTTCAAAAAAGGATAATGAGTATCATGAGAAAACGTGTAAACGAATACTTCTGTACTTCTTCTAAAGTTACCATTCAAAAATGCATATCCTTGTATTAATTATTGACTGATGTAAATGCATTGGCAATACTACTAAATCAAAATTGTTACAAAAATGTATAAAACTACAACGTAAAAGTTTGTATATGTAGTTGTGAGCGCTGTAACTGGTTTAACTGCGTGAGCAAACAGCACATGCGTAGCCACCTGTAGTGTATTTACTACTATATATATATATGTACGACTACGATCGGTCACGTTGCAAGCAGCGTGGAGTGTACGACTTGATATAGTACACTTGTAATCTGTACTGTCTGCTAGGAATGTGTGTTTTCTGTTTATTAACCAAGCATTTAATATTGAATTTGCACAAGTTCTAGAAACTGCAGTAATATAAGTGTAAGAAATTAAATGAAAGTTATTAAATGTACATAAAACATTATCCAACACAAGTTTAGCTGGATTTTTTGTGTCCCAATTGTCAAGTGATTATTGAAATTATATGTGCTTTGTGAGACATATGTAACTTTTGTTATGAGTAATATCAATAAATTAAGAACATTCTGGAAATATGACTAAAGGTGAGACTATATTTATACAAATATCTAATATTAGTAAATGTACATTTTGCCCTTGAATTTCTTATAAAACATTTTGTTGTTTTTTCAATAAAAGTTTTTTGTTTAAAGTTTTAAAATCATAATGTGTTAGACATTTATAGATTTTTTATAATTATTATTTTCATATAACAAATACAATATTCAGTGTGTGTTTGTCTACTTCTGGACATTAGTCTTTCCAATACCTTTTATATAAATGCAGTCCTCTGAATTCCTGGTTAGTAATGTCTATGTATATGTTGTTAGAGATACTCACTCTAAATCATATTGTACGATAAATAGAAATATAGTGTCAAAAATACACTATACTACACACTACACTATTTTTTATTATTTGTTTTGATGTAATGATCTACTAACATACTACTATGTTTGTTTATATCTTACAAAAATGTCAAGACATCCTTCTTAACACATCAAGTGTCCGTGGCTTCCAATAAAAATCCATGAAATTCAGATAAGTTGGGAATAAAGAAGGATGGAAAGGAGAAAAGGAAATAAAAGATTAAAAATGGACCGTACCATAAGTGTAAATACTTGAGTGACACACTTTAATAATTTTACTGACTTTTCCTTTACTTAATGTAACTGCTCATGATATTGGCTTCTTAGTTTAGTAAAAGGGGTGGGGTGGGGGGTATTTATATATCATATTATCTACTTCTACTGGACATGGCTTACAGATAACTACAATATAAATCAGTATTTATTTGTTTCCATATAGTATTTCAAAAACTAATCTATTGTATGTCTCTGTTGTGCTGCATATGATAACATAGTAACTTTTTTTTCATAACTTCCAGATTATTGTTGAAGAAAACCTAAATAAAAATTATTTCAAGTTCTACTCAAGACAATTATCAAAGCCATTTGCTTCAATTAAAAATCTGAAATGAATCACACTAGTGCAAAATTTATGGATAAAATCTGGGACGAGTAGAACTTGGGTTGTGTACAAGTAAAAGGTTACATTTTTGTAAAAGAGAATGGGTTGTGGATAAATTAGCGATGTCAGCAGCGGGTGATACGCTACTGGCGGCGAGCGCGCGGGCGCACGGGCTGACCGCGCCCGCAACCCGCGCGGCGCTGCCGACGCGCCCACCCACCAAGCACACCGTGCACTGGTTTCGCAAGGGCCTGCGCCTGCACGACAATCCCGCCCTGCGGGAGGGACTTGTCGATGCTACCACATTCCGATGTGTCTTCATCATAGACCCGTGGTTCGCCAGCTCCTCTAATGTTGGCATCAATAAATGGAGGTTAGTCTAGAACTCTCTCATTTATAATATTAAAAAATAATGCTTATTATATTATTAGATGATTTTTATGCAGAAGGAAAATAGAGGGAACGCTTTTAAGATGGCTTTGCTGTCTCTCGGAAGTTGGAAGTAATAAAGTAATCGACAATCTAAGACTAATCTAAAGCAGGCTTCAATGAAACCTTTACTACAAAAGTATCCATCACAAAAAATGGGCACTGTCAACTTTATTTATTTTCGTGTACTTAATTTGGCAGGTTTCTTCTTCAATGTCTCGAGGACTTGGACAGTAGTTTGCGGAAGTTAAATTCCCGCTTATTTGTGGTTCGCGGCCAACCTGCCGATGCTTTACCAAAATTGTTTCGCGAATGGGGCACGACGGAGCTCACTTTCGAAGAGGACCCTGAACCCTACGGCAGGGTACGAGACCACAATATCATGACGAAATGCCGAGAGGTCGGAATCAGCGTGGTTTCGAGAGTATCTCACACCCTCTATAAGTTGGACAAGTAAGTGGCGTACTTTACTATTTTTTTGTTCCAACCTTAAGCTACTTTATCGAGTTGTGTAACATTGTGACTCAATCTGTTGTTATAAGGTAATTTCGAATCAATTAATCTTGAAGAAAGCTTAACAGTTTTTTTCTTAATTGAGTTTGATTTAATGGCTAATTTCATGTGTTTAAATTACAAAATTATTATGTTATAAAAGGATGCAAAAGAAATCTTATAATATATCTTTTCATTAAAATATATAAATACGAAACTTAAATATCATAAGAAACGTAACTGATGTTGAATTTACGTTTCACCATATGATTGAAATGATCACAATATTTTCATACAGTTTTCTACATCAATGTTTACATCATACAAACATCATCAGCTCACTATACGTCCCCACTGAGGGGCTCGGAGCCAACCCTAAGTTAAGGGTGATTAGGCCATAGTCAAGCACGCTGACCAAGTGCGGGTTGCTTGACTTCACACATATCTTTGAATTACTCCTCAGATATGTGCAGGTTGCATCACGATGTTTTCCTTCACCGTAATAACGTCGGATAAATGTACATATGTAAATCGGAAAATGAAAAACACATTGGTACATGGCGGGATTCAAACCTAGGACCTGCAGATTGCAAGTCAAGTGCTTGACCACTGAGCCACCGACGCTCCCAATATAAAATCAATGTTTACTCTAAAGTAAAATAATTTCGAAATGTACGAAACACTAGAGCTTAATGAAAGGATTGGAAAATTCCGAGAACAAGATAAAAATACCGTTGCGGGCTTGTTGGCTATTGCGCACTTCTGACTTTGGTAAACTTTTTGTAACGTCATGTAACCGGTAGTTTCCACTGGTGAAACATATGATAAAACCTGAACGAAAACATCTTTTTATACAAATAGTTTACATACAACACACGTTAAACAAAAAAAATATGCATAAACATATAATATCTGGTCGAAATCTAAAACCAACTCGTTAAATATATATAATTTTAACTGGGAATAAAAAGCAGGACTCGTGCAGAACCTAAGTACACATTGTTATCTAATTCCTTGGTTTTGATAATAGTGTACTACGTCATACGTGTGACTAATCCTTGATTTCTGAGACCAAAATCGGTGTTTAAAACATATTGTTGTCCTTCTCATTATCTTTAATAAAATAAAGATAACTACATATATGTTTCATACAAGGGTCTCAGAAACCAACGATAAGTGATGCTAATTAAGCCATTATATAACAAAAAAACTCCCAACAATCACAAGGTTTAAAGTCGCCTAATCTTTGTACACATTGTACTGAGCGATGGCCGCATCCCGTGGTTAACCACGCGACCGTAAGATCTTCATTGAAAAAAATATTTTTGAACGATACTTTTATTTCCGACTGACATTTGAGTTGTTCAATTATATTTCACTTAGCTTGAACATCTTTTAGTTTAGCTTGTACTTTTTTTAGCTTGAATATAATTGTCAGTCATACTCAGCCTTGACGGAAATCGATTTATGTTACATACTTTGCGTTTGCACTTACGAAGCGTTCAAATAAAACACGTTGTCAGTTTATTTCGTAATAAGAGAATTAACATCAAATGGAAAATCAATTTTGAAATGTAACTCCTGTTATTTATAAACATTATTCCCATTTGATGTTTGTTACTCATGAATAAAAACATACGACACTTTTGTTTTTCTTGTTTTATTTTTACTTTATTAATACTTAGTATGTATACGTGCTGCTTCAGACCGATGTTCTGTGACATCGTAATGTTAAACGCTTATTCTATTTATAATTTAATTTGATAAGTTTTATCTGTTTTTATACCAAAAAATAATTGTTATGGTATTATTTAAGGATCGCCAAAGCGGTTAACAATAATGAATTAAGGATTTTAAAAACACAAGGTGTAAATTTCAATAGTAATAATTATAATAAGATTCACCATCATTAACTATATAAATCTTCAAACAGAATACATAACACAATAGATCAGAGATTGTTTATTTTTAAATTACGATGGTGATGTATTCTTTTATTTGGTACGGGAAGACATTAACTGAATAAGTAAATACGAATATTTGTGTTGCTGGAATTAATTGAATAGGATCAATCACTCGTAATTTAGGTGAGTGTTTTCCTAAATCAATTTTCTTAAACATTGTATAAAGAATATAGCTCTATCTATATGTCATGCGGAAAATTAACCAAGGTATGGGCAAATTCAACCTTGCTCTTTTTAAATAACATTCCTTTCGTCTGAGTTTACATTTAATGTATACCTTCATATTGTTTGTTTTTCTGCTTTTGGATAAATTTACTCTATTTTTAAAACCTTTTTTTTACTCTACCTTAATTTACTCTATTTTTAAAACCTTTTAAAAAAAACTTTTGGTCATGTATATAGTGTTTATTAGCTTATAAATTGATTGCGGTATATTATTTAGGACCCTGACAATACTTTGCTTAGTTAACCATCCACGCTTTTTCTTAATCTTCGAGAACTTTGCTTATTTGCATAGATAACCCGTAGTATGCCTTCTGCTATATTTTATTCAGTTATTCAATAATACATCATAATATATAATAAATGGTTACGTTTGCGATTTCATTTGCTCGATTCAGATTGGCGAATGCGTCACGTGTTTGTGCACTTTTCATTCTTTCGTGAGACAAACATCCGATCAACATTATCTCATAAACGCTATTGTAATTCATTTGCGAGTCCAGATATAGAGAGGCGCACAGAAGGTCAACCTGGATCCTGTTATTCTGCATAGTGCCATGTCAACTTGAGGATTTATATAAAATAGTTATTAATTATATTGAGTTTTGTGACTTCTGCAGGATAATTGAACGTAATGGTGGCAAAGCGCCGCTGACGTATCATCAGTTCCAAGCTTTGATTGCGAGCATGCCGCCCCCGCCGGCCGCTGAGGCCACTATCAGCGCTCAGACACTCAGTGGCGCCACCACACCAATCACTGAAGATCACGATGATCGCTTCGGAGTACCAACACTTGAAGAATTAGGTTTGTTTTCATCTTGTAATGATATACAATAAAATAAAATAAAGTTTTGAATGAATAATCACATGCCGTAACAGATACGGTTTTGTAAAACGCAGTGACAGTTATCAATGATCCTTATTATTGGGAATTTAATTTTTCGCGGTTCGTTTATTCCATATTGTCTTTTTATGAAATATTTATGAACTCTAGAATAATCTCTTTCCCGTGTTTAGGATTTGAAACGGAAAACCTAAAACCGCCGGTGTGGATCGGTGGCGAAAGTGAGGCTTTAGCACGACTCGAGAGACATTTGGAGCGGAAAGCCTGGGTGGCATCTTTCGGAAGACCTAAAATGACGCCGCAATCCCTACTGGCGAGTCCTACGGGGTTGTCTCCGTACTTAAGGTAAACTACACCAGTATTTGCATTTATTATTAGAAGAAAGTTTTAAAATAACGCACGTCACTGTTCTTAAGTATAAAATCTTATTTATGTATAGAATAAAATATACTGGATTCAGAAATATGACATTTTTTTCACTGAATTATTGCACAACCAATTTTGGACGTCAACAGGAAACGTTAATTAAAATGAGTGTTTAAATTATATCAAAATAAAATATCAATTACTTTGTAGGCGAATAACAAGTTACATAACTAGGGTTTTATCCAGACACCAGTTTGTACTAAATATTTCCTAGTAAACAACGAATTTTTTCATATAAAAAACCTGTCTCACAAGTCAGGTTTTTGTTTACTACATTTTCATTGTTCTAAAAATAGATTTATAAAGTTCACAAAAGTACTACATTTATCTTATTTTGGAACTGGGATCGTCCAATCTTAACTACATCTCAAAAATGTTGCTTTGTAATAAATTGGTAACAAAATAAAACGAGAACAAAACTGTACCTAAAAATAAATCTTATTGTATGTGCTTATAGATATATATTTACAGTGTTCAAAGATACTAGCATTGTGTAGCTTTTTATTATAAAGTTAGAAATCTTACTAATATTATAAAAGTCGAAGTTTAGATGGGTGAATATTTGTTAGAAGGTATATCCGGAACGGTTCAACGGATCTTGATGAAATTAGGCACAGATTTAGGACATAGTCTGGAAGAACACATAGACTACTAATTAAGTTTTTTTTTCTTCTTCTTTTAGACAGATAGTTAAAAATAGTTTTTGTTTTCAGGTTCGGTTGCTTATCGACTCGATTGTTCTACTACCAACTGACTGAGTTGTACAAGCGCGTGAAGCGCGTGCGGCCGCCACTGTCGCTGCACGGACAGATACTGTGGCGAGAGTTCTTCTACTGCGCCGCGACGCGCAACCCAAACTTCGACCGCATGGAGGGCAACCCCATCTGTGTGCAGATCCCCTGGGAGAAGAATCAGGACGCCCTTGCCAAATGGGCTAGTGTAAGTTGCATTTCTGCACCATTACGTAACACAACACCTAAGTACTGTGACGTCATAAAGCGATGTATAGTGTAATAATGTTTAGGTTTTGCCACATCTTTTGCTTTTAATCCACATTATAAGTAGGTTGGTGGTTCTAAAAAGTTAGATCTAGTATTGTAAAAATCATTCCATGACTTTGGGCTCTATATTCCAGGGTCAGACAGGTTTCCCCTGGATCGACTCTATAATGATCCAGCTGCGCGAGGAGGGGTGGATCCACCACTTGGCGCGGCACGCCGTCGCCTGCTTCCTGACGCGCGGCGACCTCTGGATATCCTGGGAGGAAGGCATGAAGGCAAGAATCAGTACAATAAGCAACTGCTACCGTACACCTTATTTGTAAAGTAATATTTTTTTGCATTCTTTTTTTTTCGGTTTGTCACCTAAATCTTCGACTACATTTTAACTTTACGCTTTTTGTTTTTTATCTTTGTAATTGAATGTTAATGTTGGAATTGGAACTCCAAACACCTATCGAAAAAAGAATTTTTGCTTTGTACTTTTACATTTGTCCAATACAGTATGTCAGGTAGTGTATAGGGGGAAAGCTAAATTAATGTTAAATCCACATTTTAAAAATCTCTCTTACATGGAAGAGGACTTTCAGAAATAACGGTATATATAAAAAATGTTTTGGTTTTATTACTTGGTTTACATATAATTTGTTTATCTTATCAGGTGTTCGACGAGTTGCTGTTAGACGCGGACTGGTCTGTGAACGCGGGCATGTGGATGTGGCTCTCGTGCTCCTCCTTTTTTCAACAATTCTTCCATTGCTATTGCCCTGTAAGATTCGGTCGAAAAACGGATCCTAATGGTGACTTTATTAGGTACAAAGTTATTTTATTCTTTCATATTTACATAATTACCTCATTGTAACTATTTTTAATATAAAATTAAGTTTAAAAATGTTAGTTAATTGATCTGTGTGTATATTTGTAGGAAGTATATTCCGGCGCTGAAGAACATGCCGACGCGATACATCCACGAGCCGTGGACGGCGCCCGAGGCGGTGCAGAGGTCGGCGCGCTGCGTGGTGGGGCGCGACTACCCGCTGCCCATGGTGGACCACGCCAAGGCCTCGCAGCTCAACATCGAGCGCATCAAGCAGGTCTACGCGCTGCTCGCCAAGTACAAGCCACAAAGTCAGTCACACATTGTACACAACGATTACTCCCACAAATCAAACTACTTTAAATCTCGAAATTTACAAAGAACAAATTTTATTTTAGTCTTTGTTTCTTTCAGATTTATTAAATCCTCAAGTGGTGGTGCGGCCTAATGTGATGCAATCGTCACCGAGTCCGACATCAATAATTACAAGCATAAATCAATCGAATTACCTCTGCAGCCAGGCTCCAGAGTCGCAGTCGACTTCGCCCGCACCTTCGCAGCAGTTCAAACAGGCCAACGATGTATTCCTTCGACCGAACAACACCCTACGTGAGGCCAAACAACCCATGAAACAAGTTGTCATCGTACAACAAGCACAAAACTCAAATGTCACTCCCAAAACGACGCAACGTTCTCGCATGCAGGACAAATTTATCAACGGGCAATTGGAAATATCATGCAACATGGACCAAAGTAAACAAAAAAATTATGGCCTTAAGAACTTGGTAATCAACAATAGCGATCCTCGATACAATCAAGATGTTTATATACAAGGAACTCATAAAAATATTGATGGCTTACCACAAACCGTACAGATGAACACTTACACTGATAATAAGACTAAATATTATGTACCTTCTTACAATAAAAGTGACGTTCAAGTACAAAGTACGCACCATAGGAACATGGATACTTCCGACCAGTACATATCTAATACACTTGATAATGAATCAAAAAGTAATGTCACTGATGAAAATTTGTCAATGCCCACAGATACTGTAATATATCCTGGTACAGAAAATCAACCGGAAAAATAAAAACCATACTTAATTTTAAGAAAATTCGTTAATAAAAGTCATTAAATGGCTAACCTTGAACTAATGTGGTCTATTTAACATTTTTGGCTAAATCCATATATCAGCATCTTTGAACATAAAAACGATAAATAAATCCGAACTATATCTATTTAACTACTGTATAAATTTTTAACATCAATGTAACATACGTTCATAAGTACAACACTTTAAACACTTTTGGTTTCTTATCTTATAACATTTATTTTGTATCATAGACCACTCTCATTCCAGGTTCTCCATATATCAATTCATATTCATGTCTGTAAAAATTTTATGTTAGTGTGTAAAGTAATACAAAATATCAGTTTTCAATATTCATTTTTGTTTTATTTACAAAGTGATGCCACTGTCTGCATGTGCTGGTTATACGCCTTCTTAGCTTTCCTTGATTTATTCATTGCCGTCCCTGTGGGTTTATTCCTAACTTCTCTTGCTACTTCATTCTTAATATTATTTATTATTGATACCTGAAGAAATTTACAATAAAACACTAGAGCAATGTTCATTACAAAAAATTTTGGGATGGAAAATTGAAAAATATATGAATTTGATTTGTATGATTTTTTAAATTTATTATCGCAACAAAAACTTATCAAGACTCAAGAGGGACAAGCTTATAGCTTGAGATGATTATATTATGATGATTTATTAGTTACTTACGTGTTCTGGTATATGAACATATCTAACATTGCGACATTGAACAAAAATATTCTCAAAGAAAAATTCATTTCCTTGTGGATCACAATATACAGCAGTTGAGAATGACAAGTTCATAAATCTGCGAAATTTTAATAAGGCAAAAATATACAATGCATTTAATAAAATTATTTAAAGAACACATTTCTTGTATTTTAAGTGTTCTTGTATAAAATAACATTTTTAAAATTGTTATACTACAAAGAAAACAATACTTTAAAGTTTTTAAAGAAGAATATTTTAGATTATATTCATCAATCACTGAGTAATGATGGATTAAATACAACATTTAAACTTATTTTGCTTACCCATCAACTGTTAGAAGCAGTCCACATACATTTGAGTCATTACGCAAATCTACATTTACATATTGTCCTTGCAAAGATTTTACTAAGCATAATAAAGTGTTGAAAAATGCGAACTTTTCTTTTGGTGTTCCAATAAATCTGGGATTCATTTGTTGTACATTCATATTGCACACTGAAATTATTGTTATATCACAAACTTAATAAATTCAGGAATAACTACACATAAAATAAGTTATACAAAAAGGAGTCACTCTAAAAGTAGTATTTGTGTATACTTGGACAATTAGAACTGACTGTAAAAATTTAAACATCAATTATTTGTGATTATTTTTCTCACTTATTACAATTAAGTAAAATAATCATAAACCAGGAAAAGTAATAGTTGTATTATACTAAAGAAAACACAAAGTTTTTTTTTACTTTTTATTTTATATCTATCATGATCTAACTCTAAATTCTATAAGTTAAATAAAATTATCATAATTATATTTACTTCTCATGATTCTTTTAATATTAATAGCCGTTCATCAGGCTTCGACTTTAATTCTAATTCTGCTTTTGCTAGAACCCAATTTTCGCCTTCTTTTTTAATCCAAAAATAGAAATCGCCTTTACCTTTAGGTCCACGAATTGGTATACAATATTCGGCAGATATTGGCTCATTATTAGTGTATTTTATGTCGGCTACTTTACATATTCCATCTTTAATAGGCTCTCCGAGGTAATGTACAGCGCCTCGATGATTTCTTATTTTCCTTATAGCCTCCTTGTAATAGTCATAATTTCTAAACCTATCTACAAGTTTACCGTCGAGATAAAACCCTGTTACACTAAGTACTAGGCCACCCCAACCAGCGATTTTCACTAATGTCCGCGTAGAAACTGGCATATTAAGAAAAGCAATACTCACATAAATTATGAGATCTTTTTGTAATCAAAGAAAATAAGCGGCAACTGCAGTATGCCCTTTTATATGATTTAAATGAAATTAGCTTTTGAAACATTCAGTATATCCTGTAAATTATTGGATTCTTAAATGGCAGCTTTGAATGGATAAAAATCTTACTTGATTTATTCTTAATTTTAACAAAGTACATAATATATCAATTATTTCATAAGACCAATTTTGACAAAACGAAACAAAACCATAAGTTTGGAAATTGACATTTTTGTTTTTGTTGTTAAAAGTTTTGTTGTCGTACGTACGTAAGGGGTTGATAAAATTTTATTGAAAGTGTTTTTGTTTATTATATTAATGTTTAATATTCATTTAAATTTATGCTAATACTTGTCCTGGTCACGTTTAATTATACATAAGTTATTGTAATTTATCTTTTTCGTGTTTTTTAATCTGGCATTGCATTTTCCTCTTTTATATACACTATATCTCATATCTTTTTTGACTAATATTGACAGCTGAGCTGAGCTGTAATTATTTATTGTAACTTTATAATACAAAGTATGTAATGAGAAACAATAAAAATTCAATAATTTGTTAATATGCATTCGTTATAAGACGTCTACAAAATGTTTAAAAAGTTAAAAGATAAGTTAGCTGAAGAGGTGAAGTCTTCACCTCAAAGAATTCAACAATTTGCTCAGGCTGCTCAGGTAGGAAATAAAAATTCTTTAATCTTTATAGAACATAAAATTACGCCTTTACATTGGTTATACTATTTTCTTTAGTTACTAGTAAAGCTTTTAATTAAAGCATACATGAATTGCACATTTCAAGTTAGTGACGACGTGTTACTTTCAGTAACAGTAATTGCCTTGTTTATGAGAATTAGATCTATATTGACGATTGAAATACAACATTTTAACTAGTTGGTTTCGTTTCTAGGCTGCTGTAACATCAGCATCCAGCAGCATTTCGGATATAACAAATAATGACTTATTTTCCATTGGAGATAATGGTAAGTCATTTAACATTTTTAAAGTTGAATTACTTGAATAAAATCAACTAGGATACTAATTTTCAAATATTTTTTTTTCTATAAGCAGTATATATATGTAGTTTGTTAGTTTGAAGTAAGATTTTTCTTAAACCATTTACTTTTATTTATTAATATTGATTTTTGATGTATTGTTGTCACTGTAATTTTAAAAGTGAATGTGAGCGTTGACGATATTTATACACAAGTTACTGCAGTGGATTTCTAAAGTTAGATTGTCAATAATATATTTCAGACGTTAGTCAAAAAAGTCCTATGTCAAGTGCACAACAGCAAACATTCCATGAAATATCTCTGGCCCAACAGAAAACTTCACAATCAGGTTTAGAGACACCAGATATATCATTCCATCATGAGGTAAGTTTCTGGTAAATAATTTGGTACTTTGAGATAGCTTGTTGGTTAATTTTCTTAAAGAAACTAATAGGTTTCATATGTTTACATATTGGAGACTTTTTTGCCTATAATAAAAGCAGCAGGTTTTAATATAATAGATTTTTAATGGTACCAAGTAAGAAGAGGAAAATACTAACATTAAATTATTATTTTTTTCTTAATATAAACAATTCATGTCAATTCAATTAAGACAAGTATCTCAAAATGATGTACACATTATTCTTTTTTAAAGGAAAACTCGAGACAGAGGCGATTGTCCAACAGTTCCTTTGCAAGTGACATATCTTTCAGACTACCAACATATGAGAGTCCATCTATGTATCATATTCAGGTATGTATATATTTTATATATTCTTCATTTGTTGAATATACATCCTTTATGTATGGTGGTGTAATGATTTTACGATATATACAAATTATTGATAATCAATATCGCATCGGATCAGATGCAGACCTATTCTGTGTGTATACATACTATTTTACACAAATTGGTGTAATCACCAGAACTAGTTTTGAAATTAACATGATAATATTCTTTTAAACCGTTTTCAGTCTGATATGGATGTGTCTGCCAGTGAAGCAGAAGAGAAAGGTTTTAGCGGAGGTATGGTAAACCTAGACAGAGTAACAAAGGAGCAATTGTACTCTGCATACAGAAGAACACGAGATAGATTCACCAAGTACAAAACTCAGTATGCAGATCTAGCGAGACATTATAAACTCCTGGAAAGAGAAAATGCAAAAGCGAGGGTATGAAATTACAATAATAAACATGCCAATATAGTTTTGTTAATTTAAAAGTTACTTTTAAAAAATGTTTATTTCAAATATAATTTACAGAATGTGCTAGTTGAAACGCAAGATAAGGCTTTAAGAAGAATTTCAGAATTAAGAGAGCAGTGTACTTTAGAGCAAAGTGCAAAGGTAAAAGGAGAATTTACTTTTTCATTACTATAACCGCTGCACAACCATATTAGTTCAATTAAATGTCATGATATATGTGTGTGAAAAAGTGATAACATAACCATATCCTTTACTTACTGTTCTAAGTTACTAGCTTAAGTATAAATATTTGTTATAGGCTCATCTTGAAAAAGCTCTTCGTGAGGACATTGAAGAGAAAAATATGAAAATAGATTCATTAAATATGAAATTAAAGATTTTGCAAGGAAACAATGAAAAAGATAATTTCAATATTACTCAGGAAGATCCAAATGATAATGAAACTAGCTCACAGTTAATTGATTTAGGCCTTAATCAAGAACAGGCAATAACAAATTCAGAGTCTTTACAATCTGAAATAACAACCTTAAATAACAAAGTTGAGAAAATGGAACAATTGTTGAACAAATATAAAGAGTCTCTGAAAATTAGTAAAGAAAAGAATGCGCAGATGACTGCAGAAATACAAATTTTGTCAACGGATATAGAAAATAAAACCAAGGAAATTGAAGTTTTGAAATCAACTAACTCAGAATTAACAGATGCAAAAAATAAAATAGAAGAGTTAAAGAATAGTATTGAACAGATACATAGTACAAATACAGCCGCAGAATTTTCAAAAAATAAAGAAATTTCAGTACTCAAATTAGACCTTGAACAAGCTCACGAAGAAATATCGGAATTAAAAGGTAAAATTGAAGGTTTAAAGAAGAGAGAAGAAGAATATGCAATTTCATTAGCAGAAAATAAATTGCGTATTCATAAAGAGCTTGAATCAAAAGAAGCCGAAATAAAATCTTTAAAAGATAGTTTAACCTTATCTCAAAATGAAGTCCAATCACTTAACATTATACTCAGTGACTACAAAAAGAATCTATCTTTGTTAGAAGAAGAGCGTTCTAAATCAAATAACAATTTAAATGAACTTAATACCGCTAGATTGAAAATAAAGGAACTGGAACAACAACTTGATGAAGTTAATAAAAATTGTCAGAGTATTGAACACTCAAAAGGAAAATTAGATGAAGAATATAAATGCTTGGAATTACAATTGAAACAAGAAACAGCCGAGAAGTTAGCAATGATAGATCGTAATGTCTATTTGGAAAATAGGAACACTCAAATATCAGAAGAATGTTCGAAAAAGAGCCAACAAATTCATAAATTGGAGGCTGAGCTCAAGACACTAACAAGCAATAAGGATTCTCAATTGGATTCTTCTTTAGAAAACACAAAATTACTTGAAGAAGTAGATAAATGGAAGTCAAAATATAATCAGTTAGAATCTGAAAATCAAGAAGAAAGAGATGAATTAGTCAAACTACAGACAGAAATCGAAAAACTATTATGTAATCATGAATCTGTACAAACCGACAATATTAGATTGCATGCTGAATTAACAGAAATGAAATCGAAAAACAAAGTTTTGATAGAACAAAATACACAAATTAAATTATTATCAACAATATTATTTAATAAAGTCACCAATTTGCAACAAGAAATTCGTATTTTTAAGGAGGAAATGAAGTTAGCTTCAGAAGAAATGATTCGCGATGTAAAAGAATCTTTAAAAGAAAAATTACATACATTTTTGAGCAATATATCGAAGGAAGCTGATGAACGAAATATCGCTCTTAAATCAAGAATATCTGCATTACAACAAGAATTACAAATTGTAACAAATTTATGCGAAAGTAACAAATCTGAGTTGCAATTAAAAATTAAGCTGTATGAAGAACTAGAAGCCAAACTAAAAGAAACAAAGACAGAATATGATGATTTGAAAGAAAAGATATGTAACAATGTCGAGGAACATACGGCTTCAAAAGACGAAATGGTGGTTTTAAAGAAGGAAAACCAAAACCTACATGACAAACTACAAAAAGAAATTGCATTAAAGACAGATATAAATGAAAAAGTTGACAGGCTGAAGGAGGAAAATAAAACATTAGAAGAAAAAGTTCGAATTCTCGAAGAACAAATTGTTTTAAATAAGAAAGAAAAAGATGAATTGATGTCCAAGCTGAAACATATTGAAGAGCAAAAGTCCACTGCACTGCTTGAAGATCAGAGATTAAAGAATTTGCTTGAAGAACATAAAAATGAAAAAATTGATTTGGAAAAGAAGAATAAAATGTTACTTGAAGCAAATAAACAATTAGAAAATGCACAAGATAAACTCAAATTTAGTACAGAAAATTTATCACACAAAGTCAGTGAAAGTGAAATTCATGTCACAAAATTAAAAACAGAAATAGAAACATTAAATAAAGAAATAAATCGTTTAGAAAATTGTAATTCCGAACAAGAATCTAAATATCAAACTTTACTTGAAAAATTAAAAGAAAGTGACGCTGAGAATAATAAAATAGGAGATGAACAAAATGTTTTACATGAAAAAATGAAAAGCATCCAAAATGCCAAAGTGACAGTTGAAACAGATAACAAAGTATTAAAAGATGAAATACATAGACTAAAGTCAAACAATGATTCTTTGAAAAGCGAGAATAACGAATTAAATTCTAAGTTACAAGAGATCATCGCACAAAATACTGCTTTAGATTCCGAAAATAAGAGTAATCTTAAAGAATTAAATGTTATTAAAGATAGTAATACATATCTACAAGAAAAATTGAATATTACAAAGAAACAACATGAAGATGATTTACAATCTCTAGAAGTTTTGAGGAATGGAAATTCGGATTTAAAGAGAAAACTTGATGAAAATAATGCAAAATTCCATGAGTTACAGAAGGACTTTAAAAACCTAGAATCTGAAAACATAGTACTTAAAAATCAGTGTGCAACGATTTCTAATAATGTAAAAGAATTAGAAATTGAAATGCTCCAAGTACGAAATTCACATATAGAAATTGAAAATGAAAAAGATCATTTAAATACGATAATTAAAAATTTAGAAACGCACGCAAAATCACTGGATGTTTTAAATGATGTACATACACAAACTAGCGAATCACAGGAGTTCAACGATAAAAGTGCAGAAACCAGTGTCGAACAAACTCTTGGCGAAACTATAAACAATAATTTAGATACAACTAATTTGACGAGTACTTCAGTTCAAAGTGACTATGCTATACTTAAGGAAGAAAACAGACGTTTGCGTTCAGATGTTGAAGGCCTACAAACTTACCTTACGAAGATTTCTAAAGAAAATAGTGATCTGAACGATAAGCTAAGAGAAGTGATTACATCTAATGATAATTTTACGGGACGAAGTGAAATATCACAGTACGATATAGAGGCCCTTAAAAATGAGATTCAATCTGGAAGAGACAAAATCGACAATTTAACAAGAGAAAATACACTACTTGCTGAAGAAAATTTGGAACTTAAAGATCAAATTCATTTTCAGAGTTTGAATAAATCAGATTCTATTAACGATCATGTAAATGAAGACAAAAATTTCAGTGACATAACTAAAAAATATAATAATTTATTGGAAAGAAAAAATGCCTTAGAACAAAGAGTCAAGGATTTAGAGAATGTAAACTTTTCTGCTAATGCTAATTTGCAAGAAGTACAAGAAAACAATGATAAATTGAGGCTCTCAAATGATAAGTTAGGGAGGCGTTTGGATGAAGCTCTCGTTAGTCTGAGACATTTACATTCGCTACAAGAGAATACTGAATTAGAGTATTTAAGAAACATTTTGTATGAATATATGACAGGATCGGGAACACATTCTTTAACTCTAGCAAAGGTATTATCAGCAGTAGTGAAATTTACCGACACCCAAACTGAACTTGTTATGCAAAAAGAAAGGGAGAGACAAGGAATTGTAAGTAAAGTTATTTATTAGATATAAAAGTTTTATGAATTAAATATTTTTATGCTACTATTAATTTGCTTTTATTTTTCAGTTGCGGCAACTTGGCATTGTATGATAGTAAATTTGGCAATGTGTTTGACCCCAGCAACGTCGGTGTAATCACTTAGTCCAATCAGATACTCTCCCGCTCCGGAAGCAACTTCCAATGATCCGTAGCCACTGACAAATTGCACAAGCTTTTCTTGGTCGAAGATGGCGGTACCGTGTTTTTGGGCCGCCAGAGCTACCTTGTACCACAATAAAATGTGGTGATAGTAAGCGTGTGCTGATGCCGCAATGGATTTAGCATAGTGCTTATCTACGTCGGAGATTGCTTTGTATTCTGCTTCAACCAGTTGGATGTAGCCTGCTGCATCGACAATAAATTGCCGTGCTGGGTCCTCCCACACGAAGCCGTCTCACCGTCAATAACGAACGATTCTAGCCACAGGGGATCATTTGTAAGTGGTGTTTTTCTAGTTGATAGTTGATTAGGCTTTGGAATGATCTTCTGTGTCTTGTTTTTTGGCCATTGAAAGGGTTTTTTCTTTGGCTTAGATGGTGTAGACTTCTGTTGTTGTTGGGGTGTTGGAGTTTGGCTCTCAAGCCCGCTGGTTGATGCATTTTTTGCCATTACGGCTAAAATCCTCTAAATTCAAGAAATAAAAAGGGCAATGTACCAATGTGTTTTTGGCTAGCGCGCTAGACCTGTCGGAACACCATCGACTAGTCCTGCGCGCACCGCCAGGCCCGGGTGTCTGGTTCGCGGGGCTTTCGCCCTACCCCGATCTACTGTCGGGGCGTTCCCCTATCCACCACCTGGGGACGCGCCACGCCGGAGTTCACCTCTCCACCCACTCGGACAACCGAGCAGGTCCGTGGGACTATCGCCTAATCACCCTTTACTTAGGATAGACTCCGAGCCCCTCGGTAGGGACGTATAGTGAGCGACGTAGCTGATGATGATGAAATTTGGCAAAAAAGTTTAAGTATTGAAGGACATTTTATAAAGTTTTTCATACAAAGTGTAATTTTTAAATACTTTAATTAAGGATACGGGAATAAACAATGTTCACATAATATATTAAAATACATATGTTTTTCTAGTATTAAACGCAGAGCTTCTAGGAAAAAAAATCAGATTTATGAAATATTATAATTTATGATTTTATTTTTTAAGTTATTTATTTTAAGTTTTACGTAATTAGTGATGCTTTTTATGGCATATATATACATATAAAAATAGAAATGGTGCTAACTTTACGTCATTCCAATAATACTTACATTGAGGAAGAATGTATGACTGTCAGCAGATTATGTTCTGGTTGTTTCTTTTATCCCATCCCGTTTCTATACTGTCATGGTACTCTTCTGTCACTCCTTTCTTTTTTACATTATCCTTTATGCAAACCATACTTATTCTTAGGCTTACCCCTTATGTATACCTTTACATTCATATCTCACAATTATCTTTTGTTTAAATGTTAAATATCTAATTGATATTAATTTTCTTTAGTAATAACCTTCAAAATCTTCTTGCATGATAAATGCTTTCTCATGCTTGTTTACAGATTAGTTTAATTTGCATGTGTAAAGTGTTATTTTCTTAGAGTCATGCTTTTAAACACTATATTGCTTTTGCTAATTTCCATGTTGTTACTTGGGATTACAAGTTTTAAACTATCCCTGATAATTAAAACTTAATATATCTCGTGAAAAAGGTCTTGTATGGATGATTGTCTATGTTAAAGAGGTTCCCATTGAGCCGGTTGATTGATTTGCCAATCGGTCCAACGGCAAACAACCTCTAAGTAGTTCAGTAATGTTTTAAAAAACGTGTAGTTTTCTCTTATAATTTATTATTCAACAAACTTTACCTAGTCATTTATGACTGGATATTTAGGTTTAATAAATTTTTCTGCAATAATTCCTCTATTTATGTAATTTTAAAGAAAAAATCTTTTATAAATCAGGTTTTTATAAATATGAAGATCATAAGATAGGTACAAACATGAGCTGTTTTCATTGTCGGTGAATTTTTTTTTAATTTTAAATTAATGGTGTAAGTAGGTTAAAAGTAATTATAGACTTAAAAATAATTATTTTGCTGACTACTAATATATATTATAATTTAATTTATTTGAATATGGCGATGGATTTATTAAACTGAAACTATAATTATCCACATGTATAGTTCATTTATTATATAACGTAAGCATAAAAATAAATTGTTGATTTATATAAATTGTCACAGAAACATGAATGTAACCCCGGGTAACTTCCGCCCAAAAATCAATTATAAATGAGACTAATATGAATATGTTTTTTAATTTACCACCTGATTACAATAACAATTTTTTTAAATATCAATCAACATCACTGGATAACTTCACATTTTATAGATTTGGGAACTATATTTATGATAATGGATAAATAATTATAAAATGGTTTAAAATATGGTATTTAAAACGTCATAGTACATGAAAGTTTGTTGTTGGCCATCTTGGACTACAAATAATATTGAAATGCAACTATATTTCTATGACATAATGGATATATGGTGCCATCTTTATTTGATATATGGATAACTTATTGTCTTCCTATTCTTAGTTTATGTGTGTTCATTAATTATTGTTATAATAAAAGTTCAAATTAGACATAAACAAAATGTTATTTATTCATCAATCTCATCCTCAGAAAGGCTCCCTTCCAAACTGGAAAGGTTACCACCCCAGTCATCATCTGTGCTGTTATCTAATTTCGACAACATGTCTTCAATTTGTAACATTTTATCATCACTAGTATTTTCATCTTGTTTTTTCCAAATCCTGAAAAAGTTTGAAAATCAGTTAGCAATGAAAAAGTAGGAAAGTCTAAAACAAAAATGTAACATGATTTGTAATCCAAGCTTATAATTAATCAATTTTATTCATACCTTAACAATGTTCTACGCTTTCTTTCTGGCAAACCTTTTAACAATGACTTTAGCTTATTTTCGTTATTATCAATTTGTTTGATTTCTTCTTCTTGAATACTCTGCAATAGCAAAATTAAAATAGAACTTCGAGAAACCAAAATAAAGTTATGAACTTACAATAGAAATAACTTACATTGATATCTTTATTACATTTTGCGCAAATTTTTTTAACAGATGCACAACTAGTGCAAAGCACATGGTAAGCGTATTTCACTGTTTTTTGTTCACATCCAACACATTTTCTAGGTGCAGCTAGTGGTTTATATTTTTTGAATTTAATTTTCCATTCAATGATTTCCTTACATCGCGTACATACCCCAGTTACTTCTAATGAATTTAAGATTTTAGTTTTCTTACTAGTGTCATGTAAATTATTCTTGAATGCAGTTTTGTTTTGGTGTTTTTGAGCTCTAGTCCGGTTAGTGTTTCCTTTGGAGTAGCTCATTTTTGTACACCAATTAAATGCTTATTTATACGTGTACAAATAGTACCAATATCCGACTATTAGAAGATATTAACTATTTTATAAATAATATTTGAAATCCTTGTTCTAACCTATGTTTTCATAAATACAAAATGTGTTTTACGCTCTGACAGTGACAGATGATAGCGAATGAAACGACAAATGAACATTTTTTTTAATTTTACGACCTGGTAACATAGACCTTAGGTTATCTTATTTAGAAAAAAGAAAAATGATCAAATTATGAAATTTCCAAAAACTAGACGTGTGCAAATCAACTCAGAACTGGATCAATGTTTCAGCTCACCTAAACGAAACGAGTTTGAACCGTTGAGCTGCGACTCATCAACTATATTGACAGTACCCGTTTCATTTATACTACCTATGTACATAAAATATTTATCGCGCCAGAAGAATAATATATAAAATAATAGAATTATTATAGTAGAAGTCCATGTTATTTACTATTAGGTGTAAGTCCATTGAGAGATTGAGAGAGTAAGATATGACCCAAAGGTCTATGTTACCAGGTCATAAAATTAAAAAAAAAATAACTTGATGTGTATAGCATTTTTGAGCTGTAAATTTCGTGAATTCTCAAGCAGCATCACTTTGTGTCTAATTTCCTTTTAATTTTTATTCCTTTATAAGATTGTCGCAATGAATTCTACTAGAAGACATAGCTCCGACTACGATGATGGATTTGATGCCACGGATTGGGATGTATTTGGCGCCGACACAGATGACGGTAACACAAGGTAAACTTTGCTGTTTTTATCTACTTTAAAATCATTAAGTTCTAGTATACCATATCACCTCATTCCTCTTTCCATTATTCTATACTCCCTTTGGCACCACACTTTGAATTATGGGTATCAGTTTTGTTCAACAAAAAATCTTAACTTTTTCAATATAAAACAGTGTCTTTCACAGTACTTACTTGGTGGTGGCATAGGATGAGACACATAGAAAGTGAAAATATCTTTTTTCTGTGGTAGGTTCAGGTAGCTAATTAATGTACAAAGGCAATGACTTTGGGTAACAGTTGTTTTGATTTCTTGACAAATTCAAGTGGCTGCTTACTCATTTATCATCTTTTGCTATAAGAAAAAATTGTATATGATGGAAGGCAGGTAAATTATGAAATTATCATTGTTGTAGGAATGATCGTTATAGTAATGCATATGGTGAATACAGAGGAGGATATGGACCTATGAATAGTGCCAGTAACAGAGATGGATTTGGACCAATAAATAATTTTGGATATGGACCACCTAATCTTGTTAGTTATCCACCTAACCTGATGGGCCAAGGACCTTTTGGACCTGGTCCTCGGCCCTGGTACAATCAAGAAGATTATTATATGATGGGCAGGGGTTATGGTCCTCAAGGTCCTGTGAGACCAAGGAGATACAATGATAAAGCTATGAAATTTCTGTTAAGTAAGTAAAATCTTATTATTGAAAAATGAAATTACCACATTCAAGTATATAAAGTAAGTTTTGCTTCATACAAAGGATTAAAATTTTTAAACCTATGACAAAACTAATGTATAGGATATAGGATGTAAATATGCTTATATTTTATTATTCAGATACATTTAGAGAACTTAATGTGAGTTTGTTGTAATTTACCTAATGTTACATATTAATTATGTTCATAAATGCCGGCTGTTTGATTAACAACAATTAATTTTGTTTTCTTTATATTCTTCACAGAATGTGGGGTTCCAAAGGAAAATTTAAGAAATCTGCCAAAAGCATTGCTTGAATTAATGACTGAAGAAAGTTGTGGATTGTGCGGTCTGACTTTCAATGCATATTCAATGGGTAAGTACTTTTTCATCAATTATCAAACATTAAACGAACTTACTAGAAGCTCACTAAATTATTTTTTATTTCATTTATACTCAAATAAATTTCTTGCAGCTCGCATCCATTATGTTTCTAAAAACCATTACAAGAATAATAAGAAATGGTTAACTCAACATTCCGAAGTTGGATTACAAAACAATGCTGAGGTAATTAGATGATTTGTCAATGTGATGTTTCTCTAGGGTGTTTTGTTGACTACTGGATTCACATAAATGTGTAAGCTAGCCCTAACATAAGTGGCAATTAATGGCAATACATCACTTGTGTTTGCTGTCCACTTTACTGATGTAAGTGACAGTAAAATATCAAATGAAGCTTATGTGAACACTGTCAATGAAACCGAAACTTACATTGTAACAAATTGTCTGGCCACGCGTTACATAAACGCGTGGTTCTTAACATAGTGTATTTTCACAATGATTATACATGGGTATAGCCAATGGCTTTATATTTGTATTTAATTTTTAGATTTTCGTTAAACTTTATATTTGGGATACTTATTTCTTGACTACACGTATTTGGAATGCAATCTCCAATATATTTGATATAAAATTAGTTTTGCAATTATGAAAAACATTTACAGGTTCCTTTTAAGGCCCGTGAATTGTATTGTGAACTCTGTGATGTTCACATCACATCAACACTTCATGCTAAATCTCATTACGCCGGGAAACCGCATCGAGCGTAAGTAAATCATTTCGTTTCTTAACATTAATATAAAATACTAGCTCTTCTATACAAAAAAGAAAATCAGTGTTTTACAAGTTGTACAAAATGGCTAATTAAAATTGACAAATATGTTTCTTTAAGGTCTTATTGTATTGCAATGACTTTTATAATACAGTTTTCTGTGTTTAATTAATCGCATTGGAAAATAAACAATTCCCTTTACAGTGTTGTAGATGGTCGGAAGATGCCTCGGAACCCAATCTTGCTCCAAGAACATATGGCTTCGCGCTTGTAAGTAGAAAATATAATAAAGACAATAGTTTGCCAACATCTTTAAATACTTTATATAAGCCAAACAATTATCAAGTTTTATAAGTTTTAATTATTTTTATGAATAATTCTTAGGGAGCAGCTTATCCGGCGCGAGAAGAAAAGTTTAAAAGCAGTCGAAGATGAAAATGGCAAAGCTGAGGAAACAGCCAAAAACAGCAAGTTAGTACAGTCTGAGCTCTACTGCCAAATATGCAAGGTACATTTATATGAAAATTATATTTCTACTTTTGAGACAATGGAGAGATGCAACCTTACTATCTTAATTTTTACTAATATTATAAATGTGAAAGTTAAGATGGATGGATGGATATTTGTAAAAAACCATATCCGGAATGGCTCAACAGATCTTGATGAAATTTGACACAGATGTAGAACTTTTTATTCCTAGCGGACAGAGTCGCGGGCGGCAGCTAATCTAAAATAATTTAAATTATTTATTAGCTCCATCAAGAATGGTACTATAAATATTTTGTTGTTTTAAAACTTGCAGACCTCTGTAACATGCAGCGAGCAAATGACCCGGCATTTAAATGGTAAACGTCATTTGGCAAAAGAAAAGCAGCACATCCTGAGAATGATGAAAGGCGAATCTAAAGACGACGGTATACTATATATATATTATATTTATTTGATGTTACTTATACGCAATATTCTACCACTAAAATTTAAACTCATTTTAGGCAAAGAGAAGAGCAATAAAAATGGGGCAGAAGGTATGTAGTTGAGAATTAAATTTGCTTCCCACTTAAAACAACCAATTACAGCTTAAATTTAGTAAATATTTATATTGCTGGAACAAGATTTCAATGTCATTATATACATTCTTGAATATAAAATAAATTAAAACATAATTTATTGTAATTTTGTAGTATGTTGTGACATGTAAAGTGTTATTTACTTCAAAGGTGATAAAGTAGGGTGCGATGAAAGTGATGGTGAAGACGCAGGTGATGATGTTGAAGAAGGAAGTGGAGTTGTTGATGATCAGCAAGGAGACAACCAGAAAGGTGAAGAAGGCGATTGGGGAAATGGTAGCGGAGACTGGGATGAACCAGAGACTAAATGATAATTGAAACACTATAGAATTATACTAAAGTTATATGTTATCCAGACAAAAGAACACATTGAAGAACTTTGATTTTAGTAACTAAAATTCAAATGGAAAATAACACGGATAGATTGTTTCTACAAGCATGGTGAGTGGAAATTCACAGTAAGAGTAAAGAAATAAGAAGAATTTAATTTAGTGTAATTTTCGTATTTACAATAGAAATCTGTTGTCTTGCTGGGTTTTTCTATTGAATGCTTAATTTTTGCTATAGATACGTGCTGTAGACTTAATTTGCTTTCTCCTTGTATAGAAAACTCTGTCAGGGTGACTTCTTAGTCTTGCACGCTTTTTTTGAAAACAAATCTATACAGTCCTGTACACAAGTGTTTTTTTTTTATTTGAACCATGAATAATATGTTTACATAACACTATATTACCTTTATATATAAATTTGTAATCGGATTTTCCATGTTTGCGGAACTTCATATTTGTTGAAATAATTGTATTTACAAGATTTGTAGAGTAATGTTTGGGTTCAATCTGAAAATAAAGATGAATGGTTGAATTTTTTTTTCTTGACAAATATCAGGTGATGACTTAGTTTATATTAAATTATCATAGTTCATTGTCAGATTATCATTAGTTACAAATAACATGTATAAAAAATTGCTTACCTTTAATAAAAGATATTCCAGGTAGTTTCAAGTCTGGTATAATCCAACAAGATAATCCAAAAATGGACAAGACCAACCATTGTGGCATATTTATTTTGGAAATGAGTGTAATTGTATAGTAATAACTTTTAGCAATAATTCCTTCTTCGACGCCGTGATAAGCAGCCGTGTGTGAAACCAAACCATAGGGCTATAGAGAGCACTACCAAAAGTCCAATCAATAACACTCCTTGAACTTTTGGATCAGAAAAACTTAAGCTATCTTTCATTCCTGATTTTCCTCCCTTTGGTGCTGACGACACACTTCTCCTGAGAGAAGTGGCGCTCTTGCCCATTTTAGACATTAAGGTTATTACTCTGAATTTCTCCAGTTTGAGTTTTTTTGTATTTTATTTACTTCGAAATTTACAGTAACTCCATTTTGCTTCTTTATTATAGTGTTTTATACGGGCATTTTGTTTATTTAAAGCTACAAGAGCTTTGAAGATGTAAACTTTATCTAAAACTTTGACACATCTGTGTTTGTGTCATTTTCTTCTTTTTCTGTAGACAGTAGTGACAGATATTTGTTAATAAATTGTCATTTTAGTCAGATTGATCATAGATTATTCACCAAAAACCAATTACTGAGATCAATACAAAGAAATTGTCACATTTTATTAAATTGTTAAGCCCTCGAAAATTGTACGACTAACATTGCAGTGTGTACACTTTAAAAGATGCAATCTATAAAATAAAAAAAAAACCCCAATAGGGAAAAGGGCATAAAAGTGATGAATAACACTATGCTTTACGTCAAATTGCGTCGCTTACTGTGGGTTTCTGAGATCAAAATGTCTATATAAAAAATCATCACCTATGTCATTATCTTTGACTAAACAAAGATAACATATTTTATATGGGGTTTTCTCTCTCAGACTTCAAATCCACGGTTAGTCGTATTCATCAATCGTTCAGAATAACTTATTATTCTAGTCAATAACCAGTGTACTAAGAAAGGCTACTGTATCTCATAAACATACTCTCCGGTTTCTTATATTTAAAGAAAAATGTTTCGGAAACAGCACAGCAGAAAGAAATATATAAAAGATAATTTTTAAAAATAACATAAATAAAAACACTTTAATTACCATTATTCACATACCAGTCTGATAAAAATTCACATTTTGGATTTTCAATCACATCAATAGTTCTATTGGCATTTAATTGAAAAGTTACAGATACAGGATAAGAGTAATTTTTTGTAGTGTAACAATTTTTTATGTAAGATAAAAAATAATTTAGACAATCAATTGTCATTTGTGGGCTCCAATTATTCTGTAAACACCAAGATGTAAAATATTATTCAAGCCATGCAAGCAGTCAGGGTTTTTTACAAATGGACATAACATTTCATTGAAGATTTTTTTTTTCACTAAGATCATGTGTAGTCAATAATTTTGATGGGGGTAGTAGAATAATTTGTCACTATGTAGTACAAAATTATTCTGCTCATGTATGTTCCTGTGAGTAGTAGTTATAACATCAGCACATTATGTACATACATTATACAACTGTATAATGTTTTCTCAAAAGAAGGCCATTTAAAAAGTATCGTTAATATTTCTTTCACTTACTTGACAGTATTCAACAATATCTTCAGTATGAAACCATTGTAATCTTTGAACAATACCTTTTTCAATACGAAATCCCACCAGTAAACCTTTCAAATTTGCTAAATAACATTGACACCAACATCTTAGCAATTAAAATCTTCTACAATAACACAATCAAAATCAGAAATCAAATAGCATCAAAATTAATTACCAATAAGTTACCTACCATTATATAATATTATACTACTTACCTAAAAATATGTTCTTGTCTATAATTATCTATATGTCTGTTAGTTTTTAATTCAACATACTCATTATTTCTTAAATAGTTCAAATTACTTTCAACATTGGTATCTTCTGGTGGATTTAACACTGGATAGTTTGTGGTAAGCATGCCATCTATTTGAGCACCATAAAGTAAATTATGTGAACCCAAACTAGCATAATAAAACAAAGAAAATTTTTCATTTTCTATTACTGGTCTGTCAACTAAAGGTTTAGTATTGGGTTGATCTAAAATTAAAATTCAAGAACACTAAAATGAGATTAGTGAAGCACCAGCTGTGCACAAGAATTAAAGTTCTACATTTATTAAGAACTAGCTGTTGCCAGTGACTCCGTCCTTGCAGTGTTAAAGAAAAACTTAATTAGTAGCCTATATGTTCTTCCAGGCTATGTGCTATATCTATGCCAAATTTCAGCAATATCCATTTAGCTGTTCCTGATATACTTTCGAACAAACATCCATCCATCCCAACATCCACATTTATAATATTAAGAAATATTTACATCATACTTTTCAAACTTATCAATTGTATCTACCTGATAACAAATACTGGTCAAATTTATATCCCCAAGCACAAAACTTTTCTTTCTCTTTTGAGTGAGATTTTTTTTTCTTTGTTTCTTGAAGAGTGTCAAGTGTGCATAAATAAATGGAGTTATTATAACAGCAATGGCTCAACATTATCAAAGGCATTACACATTATACTTATTAAAACTCTTCTGTAACAAATAAAAACAATATTTTTGTTCTTAAGATCTAGATAGGTTTTCTGATCCTGAATAAATTGTAATAAAAGTGATATCATTTCATTATTATTATCAAGCAAATAAGATTTTTTATTTTTCTTAGTCTGCCAGCTGACATTGACATTTGACAGGTTGATAGTTTCAGTAACATGTCAGATCAGATGAAGGCAAAGACTTTGTTGATACAGTTCCACCCTTATTGATCGTTATTTATGAAGTATAATATAATATGTTTTTAGATGAGTCTAAGTCCCCCATTACACAATTGAAATTTTCTCCTCGGCCAATAATTATGCGGAACGTTTTATTTTTTTATGTATGGCAAAGAGTATGTTGAAGAATTGTAAAAATAAGAACGGTGTTTAATAATTTACAATCACTGTACTGTTTGTATGTGATTGTAATTATGATTCAACCTCTTTCAAGGACATTATCAATGTTAAAATCATTAAAAATATTATTTGCTTCTAAATATTAAGTATCTATGAATCTATGAGATATCAGCACTGGCAACTCAAACTGTTGTTCGATTTGACAACGATCTAGATTTGTAAATTAACTAATTTGGAACGTGACTGCACATTTCTTGAGAAAGTACCGTTAATTATTAGCTAATTATTTTGCCGGTGGGTAAAATACTTCCGCGCCAATTAATTTAAAGTCTGATCATTAAGTATCTTCTAATAGTACTAGGAAAATGACGTCGGAAATTGCAACGCCTCCATCGGTATCATGGGCGCAGAGTAATGCCCGTGTGTATTTGACTTTTAACGTTGAATGTGATAAACCAGATTTAAAAATAGAAAAAAATGCAGTGTCTTTTAAAGGAATATGCGCCCCTGAACAAAAATTAAATCAAGTTGATATACCTTTGTTTGCTGAGATAGATCCCGAAAAAAGTACACAGGTTAACAAAGGAAGACTCATTGAAGTTGTTTTAGTAAAGCACAAGACTGATGAACCATTTTGGCCTTCATTAACAAGTGATAAAAAGAAACACCATTGGCTCAAAGTTGATTTCAACCGGTGGCAGGATGAAGAAGAAAGCGAGGAAGATCTGGACCCCATGAATGATATGTTCTCAAACAAAATAGGAGATTTTGGAGATGAAGATATTGAGAAAAATGACTCGAGCTCCGGTGAAGAGGAAGATCTCCCAGATATTGAATAAACATTGCTATACATTTCCGTTAGATAAATAGACCATCTGAACAATAAATTTATTGTATTACGCTTTTTTATCATGTATGTTAAAGTAGCTTGTATTAAGAATAGGCAGTTGTTTGCACCTATGTGGAAACAATCAGCTATATACTCACAACCTGAATTTATGTGGTATTTAAAGGAAGATTTGCCATATGAGTTTTTTACTTTTTTTTAATGATAAATTGGAAATCTTAATAATCAAATTAGATAGTCATAAACAAAGATGAGTTACTAAAGAGTTTGTAATAAGTAGTTTACATATTTTATTTTCTTATTTATATGGGTTACTTTAGTGTAAAGATGGCTCTAAGTGAATGTCAACATTATTTGTTGTGGTTTTATTAGGCTACTTGTGTGAACCCTGAACTTATTCCATTGTAGGTTTTACTGCATACCTGGTGTAATTGCAATCATTGAACCTATTGCATTGTTTTTTTAAATAAAGAGAGTACAGATATATATTGTGGCTTTATTTCTTAGAATTAACCTTGGCAGCTGGCTTTAAAATGAACAATCATGTAAAATCATTTTTATTTAAATCTGTTTAAAAACTATTATTTTGTCCTCGATAAGCTTTGTTACCAATAGGGACTGCAATCTTATCCACTTATTTAGATCGGTAATGCTTTGTAACATCAACCATATAGTTAATCCAATTACATGTTTGCAGTAGCAATGTAGAAACCTAATATTATTGTTTAAAGGAAAATCTGGTTCAAAATTAAGGGTACAGTATTGACTTTGGTTAGTAGACAGAGTAGTTGTTTAGTAGGTATCTACATACTCCTAAATACATAAATGTAGTGTAGGATATTTAAGTGAATTCTACATTTCGTCATATGCTGTAAAATACGACGTTTGTGACGGTGCGCTACCTATTCGGCAGCCATACAAGGTCTGCAGTCTGCAGTAGCGAGCACCATTTAAAATCGAACTAGTCGCCTTAAGTCTATTGTAGTTCGTGTATGGCGACGTCACCGTATTTTCATACTTTTCTAATTCTTGGCATATACTTTTACTATGACTTAAAGAATATAGGGTACTCAGCTGTGATCATTTTTTTAAATGAAACGATAATTTTTTAAAGGTTTTTTATTTTGTCCGAGGTCAACCTCTATGGCAATCACAACTATCATTTTCAGTACTTATTAAAATCGTAATTAATGGTAATAGTAATAAATTAAATAACATAATTTCTTATATTACTGTACCTAATTAATAGTATATTGCTACTCCATCATTTATTCATTCACGACCAAATATAATAAAAAAACAAAGTTCTATTTACAACAACTGAATAATTCTGGTTTAAATATTACAGTGTATATACGAAAATACTATTCCTAAGTAAATATTAAGATAAAATTATATAGTTTAATATTGTTCGTACATCATCTACTACATATCTAAATATACTGAAAAACTAGGATTTGTTCATAATTTTAGTTTCGCTCCCGGATCTGCAGGAGTTAATAAATGCTAAATTAAATTCATTCTAGTGATACGTCCTTCAACGGATACCATGTTAGCCATTTAATATCGTTAAATTCATATTTCAAGATTTCAGTTCTATAATATTAAATAACTTTTTCGGGCTCTTTTATTACGATTTTAATACAGGAAAACATCGTGCCAGATAACCCGTTTTAATCCGTTAAACTTTGATACCACAAATCCTTTTAAAGTTTTTGTACATAATGTAGTACGTAAATATTTTTTTGGAACATAACTATTAACTGCATTATAGCTCACTGAATAACTTATTCCTAAAATACTATTCTACGTTATAAAAATAGTTATTTTATTCTATCACTCCGCCGCTGTCGAGGAAAGTGTTTTTCGCGATTTGGTGAAGTTGTGCGGACATCGTTTCGTTTGTTTCTTGCACCATTTTTGTGAAGTAACCATTTGGATTGTTCAGCAAATGATAAGGATGATCAAACTCTACCAGTCTTCCGGCATCCATGACCATAACCCTGTCGGAGTCCATTATGGTGTTCAGACGATGAGCAACCGTCAACACTGTGCAGTCGGCGAATTTTTTCCTTATCGTTCTCTGTATGAATTCATCAGTTCTGGAAAAATAAACAAAATGAGAATTAGAATAGGGAGTGCCTATTTTAATTAGAATTACAATAGAAAGATTTGTTTATTAGTTTCTATACATGTTTTTTTAACTCGATGATTTCTGGCTTTACAATGTCAGCTAAATAACGTGTACATTGGTAAAAAAAGCTAATTCGTCACATTGTTAAAAAGCAGAATCTACAATAAGTTTTTATTAATAAAAGTTTTAAGCAGTGGAAACTCGGTTTGTGTGAAAATAATATTCTTACGGAATGTACCCTATGTAACCAAAGTTGTTTCAATCTGGCATAAATTCTCGAAGGACCTCCGTACTTACAGTTAATGCAAGCAAATTACTTACTTTGGATCGACATTCGCAGTAGCTTCGTCCAATACGAGGATACGGTTTCCGCGCAGGATGGCGCGTGCGAGGCATACCAATTGCCGCTGACCCAGTGAGAAGTTTGACCCTCCTTCTGACACTTTGAAATCTAACGCTGGGATTGCTGCCTTCAAATCAACCTAAAAAAATATAACTTTAAATTACTCTTATTGTAGCACTTGGTTGGTAAAGTAGTTCTCAAGGGTAAGATTAGTATGGGAAATCTACACGAAGCGGTGCACGGCTATGAGTTAAACAAGTGGTGTTTCAGTTAAAAAATATTTTTTCTTAAGTTAAATATTAGCAGATTTTTTTACGTAAAGTAATATATCTTGTACCGTTCCAACGATGTAATATAGATAAGATAAAGAAGAGAGCCTATGTTATTTTTTGTTACCGAGTAAATTTTTATTAGACACTAAAATTAACTTACGGCTTCCAAAGCTTTCCACAATTGCTCATCTTCATAATTATTAAAGGGATCTAGATTATAGCGGACTGTTGCTGAGAAAAGTACCGGCTCTTGTGGAATGATGGATATTTTCGACCGTACTTCCTGTAAAAATAAATAATATAATTAAAATTCTAATAACACGAAACGGTTACGAATATCAATTAACATGGTGATATATTAAGATTATTGAATTAATTTTTTACCTGTAGGGAAAGTTGAGATGTGTCTACGTCATCTATGAGGACTTCTCCTTCGACTATTGCTAGCCGGAACAGAGACGATATGAGAGAGGACTTGCCAGCGCCGGTACGGCCCACAATACCCACCTAAGATTAAGCAAAAAAGATTACATCAAACTTTTCAATATTATTTTTTGAATGTTAATAAGTTATGTCGTAACTAAATCGATCCCCATTTTTAATGTTCGTGATTAGAGCTGAAACTAAAAGCTAAAAAAATGTTAAGAATATTTGTTTGCATACCTTCCAGCCTTTTTCAATAACTAAGTTTAGATTTTTAAGAACAGGTAAATCTTCAGGTGTGTACTTCATGTAACAGTTACGGAATTCAATACGTCCTTGCCATGGCCATCCTTTTGGTGTTTCTTTTGCTGTAAATAAAAATATTTGTTATTATTTAAATTACTCACAAAAGTTAAAAAAAAACATTTAAGTTATATAAATATACATAAAATGAAGCGCACTTGTTAGTTTATTGCTCTATTCATTTTGTAACTGAACTGACAACTGACTTTATTGCATCCACTATTTTGGTAGATACTATTTTGGTAGATGGGAAATTTAATTATTCTACTATTACTAACCAACATTTTAGATAGATATTTAGGATAGCGATTACAGTTACACAAAATTACAAGTTAGCGGGCAACCTTAAAGATTGAAAAGGTACTGTAAGAAGAAGAACAGATAAATCTATCGTTACAGCTACGATTGACATAAGTGATATTTAGGTATAATGTTAAATACGAATAGCAATTAATTTCAATGAATTACCTCCTTTGTCCCACTGCGGTTCCCGTTCGATATGAGTGTACTGCAGGATTCGCTCAACGCTGGTCATCTGTGATATTACTTCTGCAGTCTGTCGCACGCCGAATTGAAGCATCCCAGTTAGGATAAGAGTTTGGGAAATCGCCAAGCCAACGTTACCAGAGAAAATGGTTTCTGAAAAATAAAATCGAGTTACAACAGTTTCTCAATTAATGAACGAAATTAAGTATTTAATTCGAATTAAATTCAAATTAACGTGGTCAAATTAGAGACAAGGTATCAATTTAGCAAAGATTTTTTAGCAATTATAAAGCTTTTGTACGTCAAGTTAAATATAAGGTTAAAATTAAATTAGTGAATCTGCACATTTGTATACTAACTGCTGTCAATGACGAGGAAGGCGACGATAACAATAGTAAGGTAGAGGACGCAGATGAAGTCGAGCCAGAAGCCGAGCGTGACGCCGCTCGCTAGGTAGCTGCTCCACGTTGAGGTATGTATATCCTGGAAGACACACATGTTTTATTATAATATACGCATAACCTAATAACATAGACATGCTTTTTTGAGATACCAAAATAGTTAGTTACAGTTAATTACAATCTATCTGTGAGATTCCACAGATGAGATAACAAAATGTTTATTACAAGTTTTTCGGTTATGGAGTGTCACCATTTAATACACAATATAAAAACTGAAACGAAACAATATGTTTGGTGAATACTATTTATCAGGTAGCCGTCTATTCCTATATGGTACTCTATGTAAAACTCTCGAGGACCATTCTAACATTTACAGATATTCGTAAAAGTATCTCACCTGGAAACGATCGAACTCTTGAATTAATCTCTGTTGGGCTCCAGAAGATCGAATTGTGCTAATACCATTGAGTGTCGCAGACATGTGAGAGAATACAGGACTCCGAGCTAAAAGTCAAATGTTAAATTAATAGTCAACGCGAAATAAATAACTGAAAGCACTAAATTATACTTTTAAGATTTAGTACATACTTGTTCCCTCTAATCGCTTGATGGACTGCGCAGATTTCAAATATATTTGTAGTATGGTGTAGAACAAGAGTAGGATGATGGTGGTAGGGAGTAAAGTCCATACGAGCGCTGCGGCGTTCAGCGCCAAAATGCTGAACATCACCAAATAAATCTGAATACATTCCAGCAGGAACCGCGGCAGGAGTTCATCGAGGGCACCAATGTCTTTCGAGAAACGATTTAAAATACGACCTGAAAGAAAAGAGATTATAAACTAGCTATCCAGATATGTATTATGTTTGTAGCGTGAAAATTTGCTTTTGCAATAAGTCAGGCGCTTATGAACCCTTAGGAAAGATATCAAAAAAGTGGATTAGTAATGAGGCTAATACAATTCGTTATCGTTATTAATAAAACTATTTTATAATTTGAACCGACTACTAAGAATTGATGATTCCTCTTTCATGAATGTAATTGCAATCCGTTAATTTTAATACCTGAAGAATTAGTGTCAAAGAAACGCATGACGCCTCGGAGCATAGAATGGAACATATCATTGTGGAGATTCCTGGATGCCGTCATGCAAACTTTGAAGAACATGAATGCGCGAGCCGTGATGAAGAAGATACAGCACACGATAAGTGCGCTGTACACATATAGGTACTGAGCAGTGTCCAAAGGCCCGATGTATGCGTGAATGTTCAGATCTGAAAACAAACAATTTTTTATTAAATTTTGATCCTCATTTGACGTAAAATTGTTACAATGACTTCACTTCAATAGAATCCAATTGCAGACCGTTTCAAAGGATCAGTCTTGTGATTGTGGGAAATACGTAGGAAGCGAAGCATTTTATTCTTTGGCAGTTCAATATAAGACGTACTTTATAGCTTTTATTTCGATAAAAGGAACAAACATTGCGAGAATTTGTACTCTACAAATTCTTAGAGAGATTATCAAGGTACGTATAGATTTGTAGGTATAGAGCAAAAACCAATTGAATGATACTTTACTGTGGTATGGATTAACATTTTATGATTTTAATATTTGCTTACAATTAGAAAAAGATTAAAAGTTAAGCTTTGTACATATTTTGCGATTAAAATACCTGGTTGTACTTCGATGCCGGAGAAGTAGTTCAAAATGCTAAAGGTACTGTTTGCAGTGGCTTGTGGTCGGTCGTAGTCATTCATTGTACTGTTAGATTCTCTTTCTTTTTGTCTCGTTACTTCATTTGTCCTATAACAAAGATGTAAATCAGATGATGCAAATAAAAAAGTATTTATAAGTCTTTGTTTCATTGGCTTAGTGACGTCGCTTACCAGAAAGTGACCCAGTAATCACACAAAGTGGCAGATAGTTGTCCAATGATTAGCAAAAAGACCATGAATATCAATCTTGGACTCTTTCCTCCAGCCCTCAAGTATGCTCCGTAGACATGCCAGCCCATAGACCCTGACTCACGCTGTTCTTCTTCCATTTCTTGCGCTGGTATCTCGCATCCAGTGGTTGATTCGGTTAGAGACGGCCTTCGGGTTGTAGATAACTATAAAATATAAAATTATTTGAATCATGGTGAATAGAAAAAATAGTTCTAGTAAGAGATCCGTAATCAATAAGGAAGAGAAAAATAAGACAAAAACATAGATATTTGATTTTTTTTAATTTTTTTAATATTTTTGATAACTTACCCTAGCTGAAGTGCGTCTAGACATTGGCAGAGGCTTTTCATTCTCGTTAGTGTTATTCTCATCTTGCAGGGAAGAGAGTAGTACCGCAAAGTCTTTGCCTGATGTAATCAATTCATCGTATGAGCCCTTAGCTTCTATCGAACCCTGTTGAATTAAAATTATTTAGTTTTGTAAAGCTTATATTTCGGTTGAATAGATTTCTTTTTTCTTGCCACTTGTTTGTTATTATTTTCTTCATCGTATTAAGCGTTACATTATAAAAACATTTTTAAAAATATAGTTCTATTAAAATAGAATTGGATAAGTACTGATTTGTTTATAATAAAGTGCTACGTAGTAACATAAGCTCAATGACCTTAAATAAATTGTATGGTATACTAATGGCGTAATAAAGTTGACGTGATCACCGGCATCACGTTACACGTTAAAAATATTCCAAGACGTTTCGAGAATCTTAATAAAGCAACTTAACATTACCTATATTGTCATTAATTATTAAATTATTACCGATGTATTTATTATATATTTCATCGCAAATTAATAACAGTAGAATCAGATATTTCCATGAATAATAATGTCATAATTTTTTAAAAAATCAGACACAAAGTAGAAGATCGCGGGTTATGAGAAGAAGGTTACGCGCAACAAAGCGTCTAATCGTTTTTCGTTACAATAAACATCATATCCTATTAACATACGTTGTTCATGATGACGATGTAATCAGCCGCCTTGAGGTAATGCAGCTGGTGTGTGACTAGCACGCGCGTGGTGTGTCGTAGGTAGCCTGTGATGCACTCGTTGAACAGCTGCTTGCCCACGTGTGCGTCCACTGCCGACAGCGGGTCGTCCAGCAGGTAGATGTCCGCCTAGTAATTAAGACATTATTAAAACCCGATCATAAGTAACTATCGATCGAAGGAAATTTTGAAATGTTTGTAGCAGTGTAAACTAAAATATACTCTCAGAAGTCTGTTAGTCAGGAACGACAAATGGGTGGGCGTCCTTGTATCTAAGTGGAAGGTTACCATTCTGTTATTAAAGGAAAAGTAACAGCAATAATATGCCCTTGACTTAGAACTTGTAACCACAATATTGACATTGGATATCGTACTACAATGGTATTGGTACTCGCTCAGTGCTAACCCTGAATACTACCACTGCTAACTAGTTCGATCTGTAATGTACCTGTCTGTAGACCGCTCGGGCGAGGTTGATCCTCGCGCGTTGTCCGCCAGACAAGGAGGCGCCTCTCTCGCCTACCAGTGTTTGATCGCCGTGTGGGAATTGTTGGAAGTCCTTTTGTAGAGCACAAACTTTGACAACCTAAAATTATAGTAATATTAATGCGTGAAAACGGGATACATCATTTTTAAATACAGGATGTAGAAAATGAATCTGACATCTTACCTCCTTGTATTTTTTAGGATTGTACGGTAAACCAAACAGAATATTTTGTCGCACGGTGGCTACAAACAGCCATGGTTCTTGGCAGGCATAGGACAATGGGCCGGAGAGGTGCACGCGGCCTTGAGTGGATCGCAGCTCGCTTAGAAGAAGTTGAAGAATAGAACTCTAAAATCATAAATCTTTGTTATAATCTCAATGGTAAATTAGAACTCAACAATGCATTCGAAAGTATCTACCTTTCCTGAGCCAACGGATCCAATGATAGCGCAAAGCTTTCCTTTTGGTACTGTCAGGTTGATATTACGGAGCGTCATCGGACCCTTATCCGACCAACTAGCACTCACATCTTGTATCTGTATTCCCAGCTCAGGACTCAATGGTAGAGTAGCCAGCGCTTGATTCATTAATCCTTTCTCGCTGCATTCAAATCCTGGTGTCGAAAGTGAAAAGCAATGTACAATGTGCAAATTCAATTAGATTGCATTGCATTAAGAAAGACTGAATTATTCGTAACAGATAGTGTTACATTTAAAGGATATATAAAATCAGCGAATGTATTCAGCGAATTAATTTTGCATATAACATCGTTTGCTTTGTATTCGCATTGTGTTACAGAAAATGTAACAATGTGAAATTGTTTAAAGAAACCTCGTCCCATGATTTTTAAGTCGAGCGTTGGAAAGATCGGGTATCTATTAGAGATATGCTTTAAATGATTACTGTTTAATTGTATTTTATTGTATGGGACTTTGAATTTTGTTTAAAAGTTGGGGTCGTCGCACTCGTGACTTAAATGCTTGGTGTGAAAACGAAAGATCCGAACGCTTTCCACGTCTATCGAAGCATGTTTAAATTTGTACACGTGATGACAATTTGTAATTAGAGTGAGAGTGATATATTTTTAACTTGGTTACGTTAACGCGTCTCATGTATGCGTAAGCATATGCTATGCAATGCACCTGATCTTGGTATATTTAAATACTGATTTGTTTTATTAATAAATCAGATGTAAGAGATTATCTTATATACATAATTTTATAATGATTATATTTTGCGTTGTCGCCAAGACAAGGTGATACGACGTGACGAATATATAAATTAATGGAATTGTACTCGGAATTTAAAACATATCTTGTATGTCAGATCTACACTTTAGTTGAATTTTTAACAGCAGCAATACTTTATGTTTCACCATTGTCAGCAAACGAAATTGTCATTAAAATCATGTTTGAGAATCATAAACAAGTTACTCGTAAGTTTTGGGAACAAACATACCTGGATTAAAGATTCCATCCTCATCAATTTTCTTGAATGTGTCCGAACAAAGATCTATTTCACCTAAATTATTATTTTTCTTTTGTTCAACTCTTTGCACGAGCTTAGCAATATCAACGTCGGGAACGCTTCGAAGATCTTCGCGTTCATCTGTACATTATCATAAAAAAAACAATTAAATTTAATTTCCTCAACAAATATTTCCAGACCAAACCACTACTAAATGACATCTACATTAACTAAATAAGATTTAATTAGCAAATAAGTTTAAATAATATTATTCTTTGTAACACCAACTAACAGAATAAAATGTCCATAAATACATTAATCATGAAAACATAAATGGTAATACTTGTACAGGCAGCATTGGATGCATTGTTAACATTCCCACGCTGAAGGTGTTAGTGTTTAATAGTAATGACAGTACGCAGCATTGTTAATACATAGCAAACATAGAATTAAAATTTTTAAACATCGAACAACAACCGACGACACTTCAGGACTTCACACGACAACCATTTTGTAAACCGACTTGGTGCAATCGTACCCAATAGTAAAAGAGCCTGTATACGAAGTACGGAAGTGTAGGCCTCCATCGATTGTGAAAGTGTCATCGGCAAGACGATGGCTACAGTCGCTTGCAGTATGTTGAACATTTGAGCCATGGGGAAAGCCTGCGAAAATCAATCGATTTCAATAACATTCACGACACACGATCAACATTCAGATTTGGCTAACGTGATGATTTACATTTAACATGCTTCTTAACATTCATACTTCTACCATGCACTTTTCATACACCAAAACTTGTTGACATTCAAAAATTCCGAAGTTATCTTTGGCTCTCCCAGCTGTAGCTATAAAAAATTTGTTAGATCATTCCAGGTTATAGTAGCAGTATTAATAATCCTTAAATTAATTGTTATCAGACATTATTTCTATTATACACTACAATTACGTTATTCGAGTCAGAGCTATAGTTAGGACTCGTGATACATTGGAAGGGTTAATGCATGTCATGCATAGATACTCTGCGCAGTCCACATCGGGCTCTCACCAAATAACATGAACGCTTCGAGCCGCTGCACAGATATTAACGCTTCTGCCAAAAACGACACAGCGTTTGACATTATAATCGAAAGTGTCCCTTGGAGAGTGTTGTAAAATTGCGCTAAAGGAAATACCTGTAATTTAGAACATTATTTATACCTTTTTTAAGGTGCGATCACACGTATTGTAACTGACAGAATACAATACACCAGTTTACGTCATTAAGAAAAATATACAATAGGTACAATTTTGGATCAATCCCTTCACATTTTATTGGTTTTCTGATTTTTAACTTTAATCTTTGAATTTTTGGTATTGTCAGCTGAATAATTTGGTATGTTATATTGTGTCAATAAAAAAATAAAATATTCTTATTGGTATAACTTACGATGTCAGCAGTAACTTGGTAGCCGAGTAATGAGTAAGAGAGTAGCGTTGTGTAAAGCGTCAGCCGTTCCGTAAACACCATGAAGCTGAGGTACACACCGCGGAGGTATGAAGCAGAAGTTACGCATTTGATTTCGTTCTTTCTTGCCAAAGCCACGACTTTTTCAAAAGGTTTCTCCCAAGCGTACATTTTAATGACCTGAAAAGGTATAAAATGCAGTTTAAGCCACTATGCTATCTAGCTTTGGAGTGTGGATTTATTGTCACGTGGTAATATCGACAAAAACAATATCTTCTAAAACGCTTCCTCCTCATAAAAACCGAGTCAGCTGTATTGACACTAGGCATTAACATTAAAGTACCAAAAGGATTAAATCAGGAAGTGAACGCATACAAATCGTGGAAAATGTATCCCAAATTTTTCGTATTTGCCGATATTCATAGATATTAGGGGTTCTCTAGTGCATTTCCCTCTTTCTACGAACGCATGTACTTCTATAACAAGGAACTAATAATGTTATAATATTACCTGCATTCCGTTAATGATTTCATCCATAATGCGCACTCGCTCATCCGTCTTGCAAGCGGTCTTCATACGCAAGCGAGCAGCCAACTTGCTCATATATGCTGGAATAAAATGTCAAAAGTGTACCTCCTCCATCATCTGTACTCAATTCAATACTCAACTAACTAAATATACGAATAATTATTCCAGGTAACTTGCTCATAAAGATATGTTCTTTTTATTTTAAGTATTAAATTACTAAGCGAGAAACAGTGCAAAAAGAAATTTTGGAAAGTTTTAATTTTTCGCTTCTCGGTTACAGTTAATGTAAATTGGTGTGTTCTGTTTAACAATTTCACGAGTAATATAGATTAAATTTCAAACATAGTAACTGTTTAGAAGCAAAATTATGAATATTATTAGATTTTTGAATATTTGCGTTATTTACATTGTACGGGTATGGTTTGTAGAACAATTCCAACGACGCCGACGACGGCTGCGATGCCGATCTTGGAGTAGATGAGGTAGCAGACGAGGACGACTTGCAGAGGCAGCAGCCAGATGAAGTGCGTATAGATGAAGGCGTAGTCGAAGCGGTTTACATCGTTAGACAGGAGGTTGACGACCTGTCCCGCCGTTGTCTGTGCTAGCGCTCCGGAGCTCATGCGCATCACCTAACAAAAACATAAGAGTTATAATACCAAAACAACTCCTCGTAGTATTTTGTTTCTGCTAGTACAATCAACGCAATATCCTATATATATATATAATCCTATAATACGGATTTTTTTTTCATTTTTTTTAATCGTTTTAACGGCTCGGAACTTTATATGAGTTGCTGCGTAGAACACAATTTTAGGTGAGTCTGGGCGTATAAAAGATTGATAATTGACGATCTATAAATGTAATTATCTTCATATAAATGTGTTTGTATATTAGTGGATGTAAGTTTGTCATTTTAACCACCTCCAAAAAGGGGTGGTTAAAAATTCTTCGTTATGTTTTTTCTCGATAAAATGAGTATAACTATTGTGATAATTTCTTTGGTATGAAAAAAATGAACTTTTTAATTGTAAAAGATAATAATGAGACAGGTAGACAAAGCAAATAAGCAGCCAGTATTACGCCATCATTATGTGTTATCTTGTCTAAAGGATTAATTTACCGTGTTGACGAAGCTTATCTAGTTAACTTTGTCTTCGTGCAAAAAATGTGAAACTTCGTATACTGTTATATAAAGTACATTCCGTAAGATTGTTGTAAATTATTACTCATTAAAAACGCAAGACGATGTTTTAGTTATGCAAAATGTTAATTTAACTGTTCACGTCCGTAGAAAAAGTTAAATTTTATGTTTATTTAGTAAGATCGCAATGCGAGATTATTTGTATTAGATTAATTTCGTATACTATTTATTTCTTGAAGTAGAAGCAGTTGAAAAATAAACCTTACAAATACTGGCTCGATTGACAGAGATATGTTTTATATCCGCTTTAGAGAGATTTTAGGGACAGTTCTTATTAATTAAAACCATTTATAACATTATTCATAGATCACAAAAAATGTTGCTGTATTTCCCACTACGTACGTTCTTATCAAAAGAAATGTAAACATTTGTGATGTAATAACTTACCTTTCTATAAATGAGTGAGCAGGCAGCGATGCGGACCTTCATGCCGAACTGTTGCGTCGAGTAGGTGCCGTGGTGGTTGAAGAACGCGACCAGAAGGGACATGACGATGACGGCCGAGGCGCAGTACACTGCCTGGTCGTACGTCATTGTCGAGCCTGGTTCCCAGTAAGCCAAGAGCATACTCAACGCAACCGGTTGGAAGGGTCTGGTGATAACATTGATTTATTATAAAACTGTAAAACATATATTTTCTTCATGTTATTACAACTTTGATTAAGTGACAAGTCGTCTCGTCTATAATTCATGGGTCACCATTACCTTATCACCAACAATTATAGTACATTTTTGTTACACTTACAAATTCGTAAGTAGCAGCATTTATCCTATGTTTCTACAAAGATGTCAATATTTATACATATTTTGGAACACTTCTTAAGGAACCAGACGTAAACTGGATGCGTAAATCTATTAATCTCAATCTGACGGTTACTACTTGATCTGTCACAATCACGTCATGTTTGATGAACATTGTTACCTGACATTTGTAACGGCAGACGTGAAATCTTTGCACAACTAGTTAATAGTCTTGCTGCTTTGTTATTCAAAGCTTGTTAAATAAACTACAATGTTGTAGAATATGAAATGCATAATATCAAAATAATATACTCTTTGTATTTCGTAGTTATAAAATAGATGAGTTTTTCAAACGTGTATGCTATTTTTTTAGTAACCCTCATATCGCTTTATGTAAGAACACTTTAGAAGTTCTCTACCAACATTAGCGTATTAAATATAAAAATATTACTGCTTTAAATTTTTTAGCGCTGTTTTAATAACGTTAGTTATGTTATAATCTATATAATTAAAAACCACGCGAGTTAAAAAGACACGTTTTTTTAACTGAAATTTATTATATTTATTCATTTTGTCGAAAAATTGAAGTTTCTAGGATATCTTCCGTGATTGATAAGGCTTTATTGCATACCTGACTACGTTTGTAATTATTTTAGACAACAAAACCTTATTTGCATATTCACACGTTAAACATTTTTAAAAAATATATAAATATTTAATAAAAATTAGCTAATGGCAAATAAATGTAGCTAAATGCAGCTGAAAGAATTCAAGGTTAAAAGATTGCGGTTGTCCTGTTTGTCTAATGTTAAGAACCAACATAAGGAAATGCATTTAGCTCCAATGTGAAGTCATCATATTAAAATGATTAGACTTCAAAAACTAATGGTATTAAGATTTTTCTTACTATAAATTAAATACAATTTTATACTATTAAAAAAAACTGTTGCAAAATTTCTCACTATTAAATACAATTTTAATTTTTAAGAAGGATTGTAGGATTCATAATTTCATTATCTCTAACTTATCTTTAATCAGCAATTCATGTTAAAAATTTGTGAGGGTTGATTCAACTGTTTAGGCAAAATTGCGCACACGATAGCTGAGACACATGTACAAACCAACAATCATGTATACGAGTATAAACAGAGGCATTAAGAAAAGCCTCTTGACAGTCACGTAAAAATAGCAATTCGCGTAAAAACGAGAATCGTAGCAACTGATGTAATATGTACTAACACAAGGTGATGTGCGATGTTAATAAATAGCACAGGTATATTGTTATGTACTTAATAAATAATTAATAGATTATTACTTGAGGATGAGGGCTTGAATGAAAAACATGATGCCGGAAGGAGCGTAGCTCAACCAGAATGCCTTGGTCATCGCGCGGAGAAGCGACGGTTTCCGGCCCTGTTTGCTCGCCAAAGCGATTTCTTCCATCCATTTCCTGTAAACAAATATGTCGTGTAAATTATTTTGTATCTTTATTGATATTACTCGTACATATAATATGCAGTAGTTGTAATATTTCAAAACGATTACTACTTTTTTGAAGGTTACGAACGACTGATATTCTAACCATTTAAATGAATGAGTGAAATATAAAACTGAATATAAAATAAGAGGGTAAAAATAAAAATGTGTGTAGTCTACAACGCGTTAGCATTTTGACAGTCTTTTTTTATTTAGTTTTATAATAATACCTACACCTATAATAATAATAGTGCCCAATCACAAATGTCAATGCAAATAATAAAAGAACATCTGTTGCTTAGCCGCCGAGAGGAATGCATTATTTTTTTTTAATCTGTAGCCTCTTTATTGCTTTTTACTTTATTTGAAATACCTTCGACATTTAATATGCAAATAGTTGAAGATGTATTTGATAATGATATCATTTTCACGTTTGACTTTTGAGTATCATGTATCTGGTAAGTGATCATCATATTGATGGAATAACAATCGTTGCTTTGAATTATAATGTAAACTATGAAGTATATTTTTATATCCTAGAACTGGTTAAAGTTTGACAAGTTGGAGATAAACATGCTAAATGGAATAGCACATGCGTGCGCTTACGCTGTGTTGTGACATTGTCACAGTTTTTTGTGGTACTGTTGTGTTGGTTATCTAAGTTGCTTATACTTAAAAAAACATCAATTTTATTTACGACATCAGTAATTGGTACGGTTGTAACAACCGTATTAATCGAAAAACATTAAATCGTGTTGGAGTAAATTATTACAGAAAAATGCATTATTTTTTAGGGCTTTATTTTTTTAATTAGTTAAAAGTTACCACGGAGTAAATGGTTTAAAATAAGTAAAAAATAAAAGAGTAATGTAATGAGTATGATGATAAAAAAAATAATTTTACATGCAATAAATCTATGAAGTCATTTACAAATAAGTTGTACGCACACACATAATTAATTATATCTCGTTCAGTTCCGTTAATTGTGTTTTTTACAAACTAACATTTTATGTAAAATATTTTGATTGTCTTTTGTTTTCCTCGGTAAATAAACATTTAAATTAAAAAAAAAGTACTGTAAGAATAAATCAAATTATGAAAGGTTTTTTTTTAATTTGAGAAAGTGAAACGTTTCCCACATAATCCATTGGTATTAATTACCATTCAACATTACAACACGTGACATCGGCTGGGGGAAGCAATAACATAAATATTGATGTAGTGGTCGTTGATTGGATCCAAGGTAATGTTTATGTAATTATGCTGGTAGCACATGGTAACTTTATTACGTCAATGTTGAATACATGGCGTCATTAACAACTCTATATTATATTAATGTGAAAAATCACATGACACAATACTAATTATGTTAAACATTGTAAATTCTTAGACCTTAAAATATAATCGGAAGAGAGAGTAAAGAGATACAAATGCACAGTACAAATTATAATTTAATTTATAAATCAGTAGCTGTCGCCTGTGACTCTATCAGCGCGGAATTTAAAAAAAATAATTAATAGGCTATGTTCAACTTCTATACCAAATTTAAACAAGATCCATGCAGGCGTTCTGGACATAAGTTCTAACAAACATCCATCCATCCGTCCATCTAAACATTCGCACTTATAATGTTAGTAAGATTATTCTGGGACATGAAAACAAAGTTGGTAACCATGATAACAATAAAAAATATTATAATTATAAAAGAAAATACAATAAGCCCGACTGACTGTATCTCTATGATAGTATGGGGAAATACTTTTTTTATTAAATTTGCGAATTTAATAAGCAGAAACAAACACTAATTAGTTTAATGCCTGAGTATCTCTGATCTTAAGATTTAGTACTGAGTGTTGCAGCGAGGACGAAACGTTCGTAAAAAATCAAACCGTGTTAAAGCTCATAAGCAGGTTTTGATGTCATGGAGCTTCAATGTACTCGTATGCATTTTTTGCTAGCCTTTAAATTTGAATCACATCATTCAGTTATTGAAATATATAACTGTGCCGAGTTGTATTGATGTTTTTTTTATCTTCCTCATATGCCATTGAGTACTTTTTATTATTGAAATTAGTTGTAGACAGTGATTTCCCCCATTTATTGAATGAATGAATGAATTAAAAAAAATAACACTGAAATTTTTAAACTGCATAACTTGATAATTATCAAGATTTTACAAAAGACAGACAGATTACAGATTATAATTTATCTGTTTTAAATTCATATATTTAAAGTCTATAATTAAGTACATACACTTAACGATAGGCAATTGCTTAAAAAATAAGTTTTTTTACAGAAACTATTTCTAAGACATTTTTCTTTATGACAAAGGGTCATATTGATTAGATTACTGTTAAGTCAATGTGTGTGAAGACGAATTTATGAAATAATAAATGAAAGTGATTAAAAAAAATTATTAGGTCAAATAAACAGTGAGCAAAACCGTTAATGTTTCAAGTGTTCTTATACAAATATTGGCCGCGTTTTTATTGACTCTGTACACCTCTAGCCTAGAACCACTAACCGGTATTAGTGTTATCAGTTCATTGATCGGTACTTACATGACACACTTGTGTCATTCTTTTACTTGCCAATACAAATCTGTAGTCAAAAAAGATGGACTGAATGACTTGTTCGGTTGAAGTTAACAATATTGTGGTTTTTATTTTTTAGTAATCATTCTTCTTTTATTTTTAATAATTTTTCGTTTAATAAGAAATTAAATCTTTATAAATATTAATGACATGTAAAAAAAAGTGAAGCCGTTTGTATTCGTATAATATGTATGTGTTTTTCAAACAATATCCGATTCAGGTAGTTAAACATAACAACATACGTGTCTGCAATATTTAACTAATAATCTTACTAATTCTTACTAATCTTACTTCTTACTAATTATAAATGACAATGTTTGGATGGATAAATGGATGGATGCATGGATGGATGTTTGTTTGAAGGTATCCGGAACGTCTAAACGGATCTGGCTACGGATAGTATGGAAGCTGGAAGCTACTTATTCAGTTTTTTTTTTAATTTCGCGCGGACGAAGTAGCGGCTGACAGCTAGAAGTACAGTCAGCGTCATATAGATCGTCACAGACAAGATATTCAAATATATAGGTACACCAAAAGTATTCAATTATATCGGTACAACAAAAGTCCTCAAAATAATAGATACATTCACCCTGCTCAAATACATCGGTACATACACAGCGTCAAATATATGAGTACATGCAAGATGCTCATAAATATCGTAGCAGCCACAGCGTCATAAGTAACGAAGCAGTCAAGGTGCGCAAAAATATCGGTACATTTGACAAAATTGAACTCTATCTCTATATACTTGTGATACAATTTGGAATAAACTACTTCTGTTACATTCATTTGACACTTTGTATTAACATTCTAAGTTGTCCGGAAAGTTCGTTCTGATTTTCGATATAAAGCTTACAATAGACTGTAGCTGAAGTGGATTCATTTTCGGATTTCCACCATTATCAAACGTCACAAAAATTTCTATATTGTGAATAATTTCATTTCATTGGTTGAGATAAAAACTAATTTTTAAAATTTTATCCAATAATAAAAGACGTTTTAGGTATAGAGTCGTACCAATATAATTTAAAACCATTTCCAAAAAATTAAGAGAACAGGGTTTCAATTTTCCTTATAAAGCGGCACGAACTTACTGGGCAACCCAATATTTTTCTTCTCCTGTCATAACGCTTAAATATAAAAGTTTGTCACGCCGAATATGACAGATACGTATTAACTAATATAACATTTTGCCTTGTCACGATATATATAATACTAGATTGGCGCAGTATTCTAGTATGTTTGCCGTAATATGTAAGTTTACCGGTTCGAATCTCAGGCTACTTTTTTTCATTTTATCAATCACGGGGTT